GGAGTGGGAGTGGTGGCCGGGGGGGGGGGGGGGTCGTGGGCTCCTGAACCCTGGAGATACTGTACAGTAGTACAGTAATGGGAAAAGGAGTGAAAGCTCGGGCCGGCGCTCAGCTCATTACCTTAGTCTGCCAGAATGTCTTGGTGCCTTCTGGCCTGCCCGGCTGAGGAAATATGAGGTGATGCCGAGCATGTAGGTGCCCTCATGTGAATGAACTGCTGGCGCCACTTGATGGTAAGAGAGTGCGGGACTGGGACACCCCGGAGTATCCGAAACAAAACTCAGGGCTATGGCCTGCAGTCTGTATCCCGCCATCTAGTCGATCAGTCTTGTTGGGGAACGAGAGAGAGTGCCTCGAGGGCGAGCTATAACAGTTGCCGTCTGAGGGCATCGTGAGATGAGGAAATGGCAGAAAAGGCGGGATGGGGAGGAGGAGGGAGTACTCCAGCAGAGCAGCTGGGTTAGGAACCAAAAGAACGGCAGCAACGACCAGCTCAAGGCGACAGGTCAGAACAGCGAGGTGGATCAGGCAAGTGCCGCTTTGGGTGCGGAGCTCCTACCACCCGGAACTTGCCAGGGGAGCCAATGGTGAGCTCGGACTAGGAGATGATGGGGACGGGGTGCAGCAGCGCCAGCGAGCAGGACCTTCCTGTTCCACATCGTCGTTCTGGTGGTGCTTGACATTTGAAAGTCTTGGCTCTCTTCCTTTTTCCCTCTAAAACATGAGTTCGGTTTCTTGGCGGCCTGCTGGGCATTGGTCACAACGTCGCCAGCGCGCTTGGCGTTTGCACTTGGCAGCTCATCATGCGCCAGGTGCTTCAGATCGCCTGCGCTGTGGCCCTTTTGCCTTTCGCCTTTTGCTTTTCTCCTCCATCCTCTCGCCTCTGCTGTCTGCCTTCGCCCGCATGTCTGGGCTTGGCTCACGCGTCTCCTTGGCTGCGTCTTGGCTTCACTTAACTTTGTAACTGCAAACGACGGCAAATACGGCAATCCCTCAGCGGAAACGATAGCGAGTCGCCCGCCCAGCGCCCAGAGTCCGGCGCCCAGCACTGCCCAGCGAGTGCCCAGCGGCCCTAGACCGTTCACGAGCATCGCCCCCCTCCTTTCCCCTTCGGCGCCCTTGCACTGTCCAGAGGTCCCCGTCACCACTGCCAATGGCTTTGTACCGCGCATGGTGTTTCATTCTTCAATGCTGAGACCCTCAGCTGCCCATGCCTTTCCTCAAGAAATTACATTTATATTTTTATCTGTCTCTTCCTCTCCAGCACATCTGCCGGTACATCTGGTTTTGAGAGGCCCCGATTCTATTTCCGACAGCCCACCAACCCCCAACACGCCCCCTCGAACTACCGCCACGTCTTCTCAACCGGCAGCCAATTCCCGCCAGCCGACTCGTTCTCTGTTCTGCAGCGCGACTTGAGAGAACGATACTCGGCTAGACGTATCCGGCCCTACGTCACAATATCTACTTCCTAGCTTTCGATCGGTGCAGGCTGTTGGCGGCGAGAAGATAGCTCGTCGCCGTCGCTTCTTTGCGCGACTGGACACCTCCCTCTCGACGACAGTGCAGCCACAAACCCCCAGGAACCGCCAACATGCAACGCCTTTCGCCCTTTGTCGCCCTGCTTTCCACATACCTCCTCGCCATTGGGGCCCATGCCAAGGATCAGGGAACCGTTCCCATCTTCCTACCATACTATGATGCCAAATCATGGTCTCTTGTACGGGGCAGCGTCATCACAAGTGTACGTTCGCCCTGACTATTATCCTCTCTGAACATTGACTTACCACATCTGCGAGCAGAAACCCGACGAAACTACGTATACAATCTTCTGTGCGCCGCAGACCACGCCCAGCTGCGATCTGGCTCTCGAACTTCCATTCATATTTGCCGAAGGCGACAACACCCTCCGCTTCGAAGGCACCCTCACTTCTACCTAGTACGCCCTGTCTCTCATGAGCCTGCCGCTTCATTCGACAGAAGCCCTTCTGACATGTCACAGTACTGCGAATCTTGAATGTAAATTAGGCGGCACCACAGCGGCGACATGCTCGGCGTACTCGAGCTTGAAGTCTGGCTTTGTCGCCGGTCTTTACACTGGCCCGACGGAAATCAGCTGGACATCAACACTCAGTGGCTCAGAGGTTCAATGGGGCACCCTAACCCTCGCCGACCAGCCTTCGAAAACGGGCACTCCTGATGATGTCTCCGGCACCGCCCAGGCCACCGGAGACCCCAATTTCACTGAAGATTTCCTCTTCGACGGCACGTTACCCACGAGCTCGCTGCCTGTCGAGACAGGGCTCAGCAGCGGGGCGCGACTTGAAAGCACTTGGCTGTGGGCCGGTTCATTAGGCTGCATGGTCCTAACAGCCCTTCTTGTATAGCCTGAACAGACTATACAAGGTGGATAGAGAAAAGCACGAACGCATCTGGCGCATGGCCAAGACGTGAGCAGGATGCGACGCTTACCAAGGACCGACTTGACGGCGTAGTCACGTCATGAAGTTTGGCAAACGACTCACGCCAGCGTTGCGTACCGGATTGGAGTAGGGCGGTTTTTTTGCTTTACCGTGGCAGAGCCATGCCATTGACAGCTTCAGAATGCTGTCTTACGATATAGTCACTCCCTTTTCTGGAGTTATACCCCCCATTAGCGTTGAATTACAATGAAACGGGCTGAAGATCCCTTCCAATTTCACGATGACACTTGGCTACCTCGCGCCTCATATATCGTGTGTCAATAATCTTGCAGATCAGCATCTTCTTAGGCAGCGCTTCTGATTGTGTAGCATCGGGGCCTAAACTCTCAGGCTCATCATGACCACACGATGATCAGCGCCGAGCCTCCCACGTTCCCCAGCCACGGAGGGACGACGCAGTCAGAGGCATACTTAGCGTCCGTCGCACCCGCATCTACAAACAGTACGCTCCCCGTTCTAGCCGCGGGAAACCTCAAGAGAGGCTCTTTCTTCAAGCTAGCAGAGACGTAAGTGTCAATCGCTGTGATAGTACCTTGCGTGAAAAGAATGGCGATCCTTGGCCCAGTGGTGCGGAGAGCTGGTGGGGTTCGCACGGGTTGTGCCGCATCTGCGGCGCATCAGCCGCAGGGGTTTGCAGTGCGTTTTAGTGGCCGGTGGGTGTTGGAGATTAAGAAAGCTGGCGAGGTTATAGAGACTTCATGCCTCACAGTCTAACGCCAGTGGTAGAGATACCGCCATCGCAGAATGCCTTCGCTTCCCGTGCCACGCTCTTTCGATCGTTGTCTGGTCACTGTTTTGCGGCAAGATTGTTGCTGAATGGCTGATGTACTCACCCCTCGATACGAATGTTTCATCGATTGGGACTCTCCTTACAAGAAAGATGCTTAATGCATGACACCTTCGATTGATCTCGGTGCAAGACTCATGCTACAGAAACGATGTCGTCTTATAAGGTAAACAGTAAGCCCCTGGGTGCAGCAGGCCCTATGCCAAGATACAGTAAGACCCAGCGAGGGTAGCGGCGCAGACACGAATCCAGCTTGATAAAGCCAGTCCACCTATCGTGGTTCTGCCTCCACTCGTCTCATCATGATGGCCCCCTTCATGGTGCACATCTACCTCTTCTTCTGTCAATCTTCGGCGTTAGTCATCCTGGTGAAAATGGATAATCAAGCAAAAGCTCATGTTAAGTTGCACTCTGGGCTCTTGAAGGCAAATATCTCACCAGGGCCGGAAACACTTTGGTTCGTCGGGACCGTCTGTGCGGTTTTTCTGCCGTTCCAGCCCGTGTGCCGTGCAGGGTCTATCTCGCCATCACCGAGAGGTGACCGTGATTCTCCAATGAGCAGTCCTTGTATAGTCTCGAGAGCGCACATTTGCTGGCCCAAACCCACACGGCCATCAAACCCGCCTATATTCCACTTCTGGCCACAGGTGACACTATTCTCGCCACCAGAACAAGCTTGCGCCGCGGCGACTGCTGAAGGTTCGAGCAGACTTTTGACCTGGGGCAAAAGGGAAGGAAGGTGATACGTAGATTGCCACATGAAGCGAGCGAGGTATCCCTTGAGGAACTTCAAACTTCAATTAGCACGACCACTGCCACGATGAATCGACAGGCACCTACCTTCATGTCGTTGTTGCAGCTGTCATTTGGCTCACAGGCTGGTTCGTAGAGGATTTTGTTGTCAAAGAAGTATGCCGCAGCCTCCAGCAACTTGTGAGCACGATCGGCCCAGCGCTGCTCGCCGGTGTACTCAGCCATGACTGCGGCTCCGTGTAAGAATATACCGGTCGTATAGGTGAATGCCACATAGTTAACCTCTCGGCAGTCGTCACTGCCATGGGCACCGTCGTACACCGTGTATCTGTCTCCGATCAGACCTATCTCGATACACCAGTCCCATACCTTGGCAGCCCAGTCTGCGTAACCTTGCTGGCCTGTTGCGCGTGCAATGCGAGCAGCTAGCTGGAAGAGGCCTCCATTGGTGACGGAATTCTTGTAATTGATACCGTTTGGGTTCGAAGCAAACACCTGCCAGTACACGCCACCCCTGCAGGTTGTGGTGTCCCAGCGGGAAGACAGGGCATTGAAGATATTGAGAGCCATGGTCAGCTAGGATGGTACGCTGAGATCAGGCTGCGGGAAATTACGCTCGGCAGCAGCCATCACGGCGAACCCCCAGAAGCCAAGATCATCATTACCAAGTTCGTCAAAATGTTCGGGCGGATTGTAGTCGTGGTGTGGACCGGTGTTGACGGGAGCAGTCAGGGCTTGTATGACGACATCATTGTAGCTAGAATCACCAGTAAAGTGGTAATAATCCAACATGGCTCCCCATAGTGCTCCAGCTTGCCACCAGTAGTAAGGGTCAGGAAGATCACCTACCATCTACGGGCATGTCAGCTGAGTGATTGCTGAGGTGATGGCAGGGGCTTACCTCAGGCTGGCCAGAGACATTGCCATTATAATGTGACATTGCGCCGTGTGCAATGGTGCTGGCGACATTGCGGATCGAGTCTTGTATGGGTCAGGGCAGTGTTCCGAGTTCATAGAGAGAGCGAGGCTTGCCTGAGCTCGAGCTGTCCAACGACATGGCCCAAACAACGCCTGGTACGGCCATGCCTATGATCCTACAGATGAGACGCATGTTCGACAAATTCTTGAACGTTTGGAACTATAGGGCCTTTGATGTTGGTCAACAATGGTGCAACAGGCCTAGGTTGCAAGGTATGACTTCAAAGGCCAGGCAAAAGCACCAACCGGTAGCTACAAGGATTTAAATCGTGGCGGTCACAAGAGAAGCAGCTGCGGCCAAATGAAAGGGCAAGCGCTGCAGCGCAGGTGCAATGGCGATGAGCGCCTTCTTGAAGCTAGGTACCTACCTAACTACACATCGAGGGCACCTTCCTGACATTCGCATTTTTCAGCACCACGGCCCCTGTCAGAGCCGGCAGTGTTGATGGGTAAGTTCAAGGTCCCGGCATCGACTACCACATATCTGTAGCACGAGGAATGAAAACCATGGTCTAGTGGCTCGGTCTGGGAGCTGTGTCGACGCTGTATATATGCAAAGCGCGCTCGAGAGATGCTCAGTTCTCCACATATCTCAATTTGTTGACGTCTGCCACCAATATTCATTCTGCTACCTATGATAGAGCCGGTTAGGATCTTTCATTAGTCATAAAGCAACCGAGGCTCTAAGCGACGATACCGCTAGCCGCCGCCTCCTTCTGCTCTTCGTTCTTCTGCTCGCCAACACCGCGGACCTCGACAAGAGTGCGCTCTATGGATCCAATAAATCGCGTCACTTCCTCTTCCGTGCCGACCGTGATCCTGAGGCATCCCTGACAGCCGTGCTCTTTCCCCCTAAATCGTACAACGACACCCTTGGTCTCAGCGAGACGTTCGTAGACTGCTAGCGCAGTCACGTTGTCCGGATTGCCAGCCGTATCTAAGATCTCGAAAAGCAAGAAATTGCTCGCCTCGCCACCTCGCAGGCGACCAACTCCGTTGATCTTGGGAAGCTCAGCCAGAAGGCGGTCTCTCTGGGCACAGATTTTGGTTCTGTTGGCCCGCATCACTTGCAAACCCTTCTCAGAGGCAGCATACGAGGCCAGCGCACTCGTCGGGCTGGAGATATTGTAAGGGGCCTTAAGACTGTTCAATAGGCGGGCAATGGGCTCCGATGTGAAGGCAGCACCCAACCGGATGCCAGCCATGCCAAAGGCCTTGGACAGCGTCTGCATGACGACAAGGTTGGGCCACTCGGTGACCCATTCAGCAAGCGAGCTGCCTTCGGGAGCGAAGTCGATGTAGGCCTCGTCCAGGACCACGACCCCATTCCATGTAGGGTGCTCGAGAATCTTTTGAACGTCTTCTTTAGCTAGCAGGCTGCCGGTGGGGTTCCCGGGGCTGCAAAGGTAGGCGAGTTTGACATCCTTTTCCCTGCTCAAAGCATCGCAGATGCCTTGGGTATCGAGGCCGAATTCGGGCGCCGGCTGGAGTGGGACTTTAACGAGGCCGACGTCGTTAACCTGCGCAGAGACGGAGTACATGCCGTAGGTAGGCGGGCACACGAGGATGCGGTCTTTGGCAGGGATGCAGAAGCATCGAAGGAGAGCGTCGATAGCTTCATCGCTGCCAACCCCGACAAAGAGGTTTTCGGGCGTCAGGTTCTTGGAAGTGTGTACGTGAGTATTGCGAAGATTGCACAGAAGCTGCTTGAGCTCTGCCTGGTGAGGGTCAGGGTACCGGTGGAGGCCGAGGAAGTCAATGTCAACAGCGCCCTTGGGAACATCTGACTGGAGAGAAGGACCGAATGCGTTCTCATTGGCATCTAGGAGGATATTCTTGCCGTCATCCTTGTAGTCACTAAGGGCATGTTAGCCGAAGATCTCGTACATGGCGGGGGCCTGAGAGCTGCTGTAAGTTGAGTGACTTACTCTCTGGCACAACGGTATGGCTGCAGGGCCAGGATATTAGGCCTGGCACATTTTTCCAGGTTGAAAGGCGACATGATGTGAGACGCCAGAGAAAAGTCAGATGAGTACCGGAATTCAATTGACACCTTTCGAGTCCGACGAATAGATCGGTACGTCCTTCCGGTCGTCTTATATCTCTCTCTTGAGGTCGCAAAAGAGTCATCAACTCAGCATCTGAGTAGCATCGAGTCTGAGTCAAATGGAAGTCCCAGTCATCCAGGTTGTGGTACGTACCGATTCCTCCCTCAGGCGTGCACGGATTATTGGCGACCCTAGCGCCGATGTCGCTCCACCTAGCGCTTGCTCCTCTCTTTTCACGCCATGGAACCATGACGATGAATCAATCTGATATGACCATCCTGTCAATCGAACTACCTATCGCGCATTGCACGTAACGATGTATCGCACTGCGGCTGGAGATAGCGCCGGAATTTCTTTTTCAGCGCGTTGACTTGAACATGGCAAGGATCATGAACCGAATGTGTTTCCTCCAACAAGGTACAAATCTGCCTGCTGCTCGGAAACCAGGATAAAGCAGCATTCAGGCTGATTAGGTACACAATGGCATCGGCATCCCTGTCTGTTTTCGTCAAGACTAGCACCTTGTCGATGATGTGCGAGACCAGAAAAAACATTGAGAACGCCTCGTCTGGCCAGTAACTCAGACCTTCCGGATTTTCAAGCACTGCTGTGAGGATCTATTTAGCATACCACCACACGTATTGTGTGAGCACATCGTTTGGGCTGCTTTTGATCGAAGGCGGGTGTCACGGCATCTTCATCTGTCGAGCCCAGAAGTGCCGGGGCTAGTGGCCTCGGAGGCACGGAGACGGCGACGGCTTTCTGGTTCCGCCCTCGCTTGACCCCTCTGTCGGATGAATGGACAAAACCCCCCTCACGAGATCGACAAGTGTCAAGCATGATGCCCATGGCAAGAATCAAGGCCCGTTCTTCCCGCAGGCTCAAGTACATAACCGTCGGTGCTGGTCGCCGTTGACAGGATGAGGCCTTCTTGACGGACCCTCCAGCTCTTCGTCTCAAACGATCCTGACTGCCCACCATGCACTCTCTCTCCGTGCTCGCTCTCGCCACTGTTGCTGCTGCGGCGTCTTCGTGCGGCCTGCGCAAGTTCGAAAACCTGGTAACCTTCGGTGACAGCTGGACAGACACTGGTCGTTTGGGATACTTCATCAATAACGATGGCAAGGCCCCGCCGGCCGGCGAGTCTCTCCCCGAAAGTAGCAAGACCGCAACGGGCGGGCTGGCCTGGGGCCAATTCGTCGCCAACGAGACTGGCGCGAAATACTTCAATTACGCCGTCAGCGGCGCATGCAGCTCGGACGAGATCATCAAGCGCCAATTCGATCTGATCAAGCGGCCATTCCCGTCGGTCCTGGACTACGAGGTCCCGGCATTCGAGGCAGACATCGCTTCGGGCAAGTTGTACGACAACCGCAAGGCCGATAACACGCTTTACGCGCTGTGGATCGGAACCAACGACCTGGGTTACGGTGCGTTCCTCAGCGATACGCAAGCCGCTGGAACGACCATCTCGACCTTCGTTGAGAGCATCTGGACGATTTTTGACCGGCTCTACAAGACGGGCGGCCGCCACTTTGTGCTCTTCAACGAGGCACCGCTCGAGATCTCGCCTCTCTATGCGCCTTCGGACCAGGGTGGCTTCCAGGATAGCAACTTCTGGACGAACAAGACGGCGTATAACACGACGGCCTACTCGTTCAAGATGCTTCAGTACACGACAAACGTCAACACCCTATTCGACTACGGCGTGCCTTTCAAGCTTCTGGTGGAGAAGCGATGGCCTGGCGCGACCTTTGGTATTTACGATGTCCACAGCCTGATGCGCGACATTCATGCAGAGCCCGAAAAGTACCTGACGGCTCCGGCCAACGTGCAAGGGGTGTACCATCAGTGCAACCCGGCCACGGGTCAGTGCGTTGATTCGTCGAACCCGCTGTCGAGCTTCATGTGGTACGATGAGCTGCACCATTCGGAGCGAACTGGTGAGTTTAGGACTCGGTGACTGTGCTTGTGGGACGTGACGAGTGTTAACAGAGTTTGTGATAGCTGAAGTCATCGCGGAGCATTTCGTCGACGTTGTGCATGGAAAGTCGACATACGGGACCTACTACGGTTCAGCCTCGAGGGGTGGAAACTGACGTACCTGGACATGGCTCTGTTGACAGACACGTACCATGTATCTACTATTGCAATGTTCATCTTGGCGCTTGTTCTTCACGTAGATCTATCCACATTGAGGACCCGAGAGATTGATCGAGAAGTGCTATCGTGCTGCCAGAGAGCCGTTGGAGTGCTCGGTGCGCCATGTAGAAAGAACCATCTGCTTGGATGGCTCTCGCACCGCGGCGACTACTCGCCGGCCTGCCAGTGAAGCGACGATGGATGGACCTGCATCGCCGTGGCGCCTCTCCCTCCGTCGCGACTTCCACCCCTTCATACCTACCTACTACCTACATGTCGGTAGCTTTTGATGAAGGTGGATCCGATAGCCAGGCAATCCTCCCGTCTCCTAAGGTACCTACCTACCTAGGGGCCTAAGGTACTTGTAGGTAGGTAGATACGCATCTTGTCGACTGCAGGCAGGTTATCATTCTCATCAGGGAGGGCAGAGAGCCGAGGCCAGACACCTTGGCTGCAGGCACCCCCTGCCGGGCCCCTAGCACAGACCCCCGCTCAGTGGGTGACGCCTTCCCACAAGCGGTTAGCTCTCATATTCCACGCAAACGTGGCTCGGCGGCCTGGGCGAAGCGCAAACACTGGCATGCCCGCAGAAATCTTCTTTCTCCCCTCTCATGCTGGTCTCTTTTTGCCTGCTCGGTTTGATGACACGACACACGCACACCGCACACCGTACACACACACACACACACACACACACTTTTCGACTCCCGGCCTTTCCGCCAGCCCGCCCAGGCACAGCGCAATTGAACAGACGCCGTCCCTCGCACTACGTCGGAGCCGTTCCCACACGGACGCAAGGCTCTACTCTGCCGGAGCCCGGCCCACGTCCGAACAGTAGTTCTGGCCGTCTGGTTGCCTCCCTCCCTCACTCTCACTGCCTTTGCCTCCTCACACGATCCAACGGAGAATCCCTGGTTGGCCCGCTCTCCGAAACATCGATAGAGTCCCTGACTCTCCATTCTATTGTCGTTTCTAGTCTCTGATTCGCCTCCCCACGTCGTTCTCGTTCTTCTCCCTCGCCCGAGCTTGAGCTTTGGCTTTGGCTTTGGCTTTGGCTTTGGCTTCACACCTCCCTTTGTCACCCACGCCCGCCTCCTTCACGAGATCGCGAGACAACCCCAAGCACGCACCGCTCCTTTATTGAGAAAGAAAGAGAAGACCTATGAACCTGCAGCCTTGTACCTAATTGCGCGCATTACTTGTTCTCACGGCTCGCCTACCTATCACTCGCTTGTACTGCATACCCCACTGCGACTTGTCGCCCGTCGCATCATTCAGCTCGCTGCGGCTCCAACAAAGCAACGCGACGCAACCATCACACTGGTTTGCCGCGTCCAACAACAGCCTCTCGATCGTCGCTCGCGCCCCCCCTCAAGCCATCCGTCGTCCTATTCTCGGCCTCTCGACAAACTCGACTTTCACTCATCCTTGCCACTGCGCTGCGGCCACACCTCCGCCCGTTCTGGCCCCACGCCGCGCCCGCCCAGCCCCGTGCCTGACACTGACCCTGTTGCTGAACCCGTCTGCCGGGCCAAGACCACCCGGTCCCCAGTCATAAACCGCCAGCACAACAACCATGTACGGCCCAGGCTATGGCTCGACTCCCAACGTCAATGTCCCTCCGACATTCAACAACGCCGCCCCACCTCCACACCACAACCACAACCCTCACCTGCAGCCCGGCGCGCTTTCGTCTCAGCAGCCACCCCAGATGTACAACCCTAATCAGTTCGCTGGTGGCATGCCTCAAGGCCAGCAGCCCTCCTTCCCTGGCGCCGGTCAACCCAATCCTGCCATGATGTCGGGTCCTGGGCCTGCAGGCATGATGCAGAGTACCGCCATGCCACAGATGCCGACCAATGGCCAACCAAACCAGAGTAAGCTCCCTACCGTTCCATTTGTTATTTGTCCTCACGCCGTTACTTCCTCTGCCCCCCCCGGTCACATCGTCACGCTTCGTTCGCCCCTCCCTCTTTGCCGACAGCCTGCCACATCTGCCCATCCTTCGCCATTCATTGCCCTCTCTTCGCTGCCCACCTCACCGCAGGTCCTGGACGTGGACCACCTTGCACACAAAGCACCTTATATCACTGTCGGGTCACACCAAAGCGTCGACACCCTGACCACATCATCCGTCGCGCTGGGAGCGTACAAAGTGCGTCATGGAGATGAATACACCGTGTTTGCGCCCCAGTGGCTCAATATCTTGCGCCCTGACACATGGCGAGGACAATAGCTGACATACATGTTCCCTCCAGTGGCCTATTCGAACCAGCAGTTTCAGGGCAATGCTGCCGGCCAGCAGTTCCCTCCCAACTACATGGCGGCTGGTATGCCTGGCTTCCCCGCGAACTCGAACATGAACCCTCAACAGCAGCAACAGTTCATGCAACAGCGCATGCAACAACAGCACCAGCAGCACCATGCGCAACAACAACAGCAGCTCCATCAACACCAACAAGCCCAGCAGCAGCATCAGCAGCAGCATCAGCAGCAGCAGCAACCGCAACACCATCCGCAGCAGCAGCAGCATCCGCAGCAGCAGCATCCGCAGCAGCAGCAGCAGCAGCAGCAGCAGCATCAGCAGCAGCAACAGCATCAGCAGCAGCAGCATCAGCAGCATCAGCAGCATCAGCAGCAGCAGCATCAACAACAACAACAACAGCATCAGCATCATCAACAGGCCAATCAGCAACCGCAACACCAGCAACACATTCAACAACACCAGACGCAACCAAACCAAATGGGTGTGGTGGGCAGTCCGACTCCTCAAAGGCCGCCTAGTGCCTCGCAAGGCACCCCGAATCACAACATGGCCCAAGGACAGCAGTCCCAGCACTCGACTCCCCAACCTGCACCACAAAGCCAACCCCCTGCGAATCAGCAGCAGCCGAGTGCTGCAGCGACGCCTCAGACACCGACCTTTCCCTCTAATGCACAGAACCCCGCCGTCAACGGTGCTCCGCCTGCAGCAACCCCCCTCAGCCCAGGCTCGGTCACCAGAGAGCAGGAGAGGATGATGGTGCTGTTGAGCATTAACAATGAGCTTCTGTATGAGTCGATCAGGATGCAGCAGACGTTACACGAACTCAAAGAAGATTCCGGGCCGCCAGAAGCAGGAGCTCCTCCATCTCGGGAGGAAATGATGGCCCAGCAAGACTACAACCAGTAAGTGAACGCTGTGGAGTAGCCATTATTTTAATTCTGCTCACATTGTTCTAGATGCATGCGGAGGTTGCAAGGAAATCTGAGCTATCTCGCTACCATGGTTGACCGCGACCGCAAGCCTGCGACACTTCCCCCGAGCCCAGCGTATCTGACGCCTCCACCACTGAACATGAAAATTCCCGTCAAGTCTCATCCGCCCGGAGCTGACGAGGAGACCAAAGCCCTCGAACCCATGGTGGACCGCGAACAGAGGCAGAAACTCATGGTAGAGCTGTACACGCAGCTGCAAGGTCTATACCCTGGTGTCGATCCGAAGAAGGAGCCAACATACAACAGAGCACCAGGCCAGAAGCCTGGCACGGCGCAGGCCAGTCCGGTAGTCACGCACTCGCAAGGCCCGCCGCAGACGCCCACGTCAGCGACCGCCCCTTAGCTGCCCCTCGTGCCGTCGTGAGCTATCGAGGTTTGTCGCGATTCAGGAAAACTTTTACAGGGATGAGCCCTCGAACAATTGGAGCACGGGATATTGATTGGGTCGTGGTGTATTAAGGGGGGAAAATTGTACAGAAAAGACATGTTCTCACGGCCGGGCGTTATTAGTGGCCTGGATATATAAGCGTTGCAACGTACTTACTCAGGTGTTAGCCGGGAGAACAGCGGCATCCGGCGGTTGGGCTTGCTTGGCCTGACAGAAAATCTAATGCGACGAGTAAATCATCACTCTGCTCAACATCAGTCGTCTATGGTACAATCCCATGGCCCGTTACAGGTTTTTGGGCGACTTCAGGGCATCTGAAGGTCAAGAAGCCCTGCATGTTTACATGACGATACGGGCTGTGGTTTTGACAAGGGTGTGCCGACTGACTGACCAGCACATATTCTTACAATGACAGCACAATGCGCAGGTAGTAGTGCCAGGCGGCAAGATGCGAGGAAGAACCCTGCGAGCCCTGCGCTCTGTTCCTGACCGGGGACACGTAGATGAAAGACGTCATGGTCAGAGGCGAACCATCCAAGGGCAAAGCATGAGCAGTGGAGCTACGATGGCTCACCTAAACCCGAGTTCGATCGCTCGGTCGCACATGTATGGCGTCGTAGTATGGGGGGGCTTCTCGACAATAGAGCTGGTTCGGATGCTGTCAGGCAAGTCAGGGTGAGCCTCGCTGGGACACCTCACCACAGCGAGTGCTCAGTGCAGCTCCCCGCCCCGCGAGAGCTATGGGCAGGCTCAGGGCTGGCACAGAAGGCGATTCACTTGAGGCTTGGTAGGTATGTTCTGTTTCTGTTTCGAAAGTGGGTATGCAGATGGATGGGGCACCGAGATTTCGCGACGTTCCCCTTCAACCAACGGTGGGGAGCGAACTTGCTCTGACGGAAAGGGAAACACTTCTGTAGGTCCTGTCTAAGGTCCGATCGTGCCCTCATATGGTGCCCGTCGGCACGCGCCTGGCAGACACGTCGAGACAATACAATCTGCTTTCGCGCCTGTGCAGTCCGTTGTCCACCCCTTGGGTGCAGCATCCACATGGACAATGCAAGGCTGGGGAGAGAGATCCTGCCATTGGTGTCATTGGGTGGGATTTTGGTGGGGGGCTTCACGGACTCAGGGGCAAGTCAGGGGATGTGGCCATCAATATCAACAAAACGAGCCAATCAACGCGCGCGGAGATGCGAGGAGCGGAAATTGTGCTAGCCTCCTCCTCGCCTCTCATGCTGGTACCACCCCCTCCTTGATGGCCGCCCAGGGACTCTCTTTGATGGGTCAGATTATTTTAGTGATGGGAAGAAGTTACGTGACCTGTAAGATGGCCTGAACAGGACGACTAGACAGGGTTGCTTTTTGGGTAGCGTCGATATCGGGCCTAGCCAGCCTAGCCGGCACATCAGGGGACCGCATTACAGTGCGGTAGACGAGGAGGACGAGGAGGAACGGCCGATGATTGATGCCCTGAGGAGCTGGATTGATTTGCTTTGCACTTCGCCGGGGTCTCGAATCGTTCGGCTCATCAAACCCTCGTTTCTCGAGATCAGCTAGCTGGCTGGTTTATTTCATTTCATCATTTGCTGTGAATCAATTGTCGTTGAAAGTCATCTCGCCCGTCGCACCTGCCTCGTTTCCCGTTGGAACTTCTTTCCACCCCATCGAGACGCGGTGTTTCAGCCTGCTTGACTTCTGGAGTGAAACAGCGCGAAAGGCAATCACTAGAGATATTGACGAGGCGAATCCCATACTCTTGCAGTCTGGCACCTCGCCCGACGAAAGGTTGGGTGGCCAACCGACAAGGACATCCGTCAGCATCGCCATCCTCGTCACCAAAGGGCATGCTCGAGCGCCACCTCGACTGAACAAAGGGTAGCCCAAAAGTCGAGTCTTCCCAGCTGCCTCGTACCAGCGAAGCATTTCGAGATGGAACCCTCGATCGAGAAACAGGTTTCCCCACCGGCCATCCCGTCGGCCGATGTCGAGATTCCAACTGTTGTCAACCCGACCATCGGGCCCGCCCGTGACATTCCAGTCGCCGACACTGCATCGACACCTACCGCTGCCTCTAGTCCAAGAAGCTCCATCCGTTCTTTGGCGATGGATTCGACAGCAACGCCGGTATCTAACCCAACACTAGAGCTGGAGCCAGAATTGGCAAAGGAACACGAACAAGGTCTGGAACAGACCCAAGATTCAACGTCGACGCTACGACCAACATCCGAGCCCGAGTCCCTACACGAGTCCGAACCTCAGTCGAACGAAACCCTCTCTCCTATCGACGAGAACACCTTGAAACTGGCAGATGCCGTTGTCACCGATACAACAGTAGAAAAGCCTGCAGAAGACAAACAAGAAGTCGCCAGTCCGGTGCCCGAGGCGTTTGCACCCAACGTCCCTGGCAGCGTGACGCCCAAGATGGCCCACGATTCTATGGTCACTGTCAGGCTGTCGGAGCCGCCCACACTGACTCTTGATACATCGGTGCTGCTCGAGGATGCCACAACACTGCGACGACCCAGCACAGTACGGTTCGACAAGACGCCCCTCGCTCATGTGGTCGAGCGAGATGACAGCCTCGACGAGGTATCGAGCGACCCTGCTACGCCACTTCCGCCAACGAACTGTGCCCGAAGCATCGAAGAGGAACTGATGGATGCGAAGGCTGAAAGTTGCGTGGAATCACCCGCGGACGACAAAGATCACAATGCAAAGGCTCGCCGCTCGTCTATTTCGGAAGAGGTCGACTGGGAACAGCTGCAAAAGACGGAAGCCGAGGAGCCAAAGGACGACGAGACGGACAAGGTATGCCGATTGACTTCCCTAAGCAGCGACGACTCGGTTTCTGACACGTCTCGCACAACAGTCCACGGCAATGCTGCTCGCGATGCTCGAAAAGGAGAACGACTTGTTGGCTACTAACCCCAAGAGTGTCAAGGTGCAGGCTGTCGAGCAATTATCGAACCAGCAGCGCGTGAGACCCCCTTCGATGGCACAGCTGCGAGATATGGTCAATGGACCTCAACCTTCCGCCCTTCGATATTCCATGCTGCCACCTCCTCCAATGACCGACCTCGAGTTTTATGCTGCGCTCGTCAAAGACTACCAGCAGACCGCCGCCAGGCTGCCGACACTTCTTTCCAATAAGATCCGCAAAGGCATTCCGCCTCCGCTGCGCGGCGTCGTGTGGCAGAGCATGTCGGGCGCTTGCGACGCATCCTTGGAAGAGCAGTTCGAGCGGTTCTCGGGCGAGTCGAGCCCGTATGAGCCGATGATCGGCAAGGATCTCGGACGGAGCTTCCCCGGCGTTGACATGTTCCGCGATCCGGAGGGTGACGGCCAGCGTATGCTCGGCAGGGTGCTCAAGTGCTTTAGTCTCTACGACCAGAAGATTGGCTACTGTCAAGGGCTGGCCTTCCTTGTTGGCCCTCTGCTCATGCACATGCCCGACAAGCAGGCATTCTGCGTCTTGGTCCGGTAAGAGCCGTGAAAGGCAGCTGCATCCTCGCACCACGAGACCACGCTAACCGTGACATGATCAGATTGATGGAACGATATGATCTGCGCAGCTGTTTCCTTCCCGACCTGTCAGGACTGCACGTCCGCATCTACCAATTTCGGGAGCTGTTGCGCGAGAATCTGCCCCTGTTGTCGGGACACATGGAAGATCTACAAGTTGACCCGGCATACGTTTCACAGTGGTTCCTCAGCTTCTTCGCGACAACATGTCCCCTGCCAATGCTGTTTCGCATCTACGATGTCATCTTTGCAGAGGGCGCCCCGGAGACCCTCATGCGTGTCGCCTTGTCGCTCATGCGCAAAAATCAATCCCGCATCCTGGGCTGCAGCGAGTTCGAGGATGTCATGCAACTTCTCCTGTCTCGTGGCCTCTGGGATTGCTATCACTACAACGCCGATGAGTTCGTCCAAGACTTTGTCAGCTTGACCGGCGTTGTCAGCCGAGGAAAACTACTGCAGCTCGAGCAGGGGTACATGGAGGAGAAGATTGCGACGGCCAATGCGGCACGCACATCAGATGTGACCACTGCCGCCTCCCGATTCTTGGGCCGCATATGGGCCACGTCTTCTACGAAATCATCCAACCTGAGCCCTGGTCTAAGTGCCGCCTCGCGACCAATGAGTATTTTACGACGCAGCACCTCGAAGCAGAGCCTTGCCTCGACTCTCAACTCGATGGAAGCCAGCTCAGCCAGTGTGTTGAGCTCAACTTCCACCGACGCGACTGGGGTTTCTCGGGACTCGTCAACTACGACTGCCGATGATGGCGCCTCGATCAAACCCAGCAATAGCACGAACCATAAAAACACCGAGGAGAGGAACCTCCACAACCAGATCGAGGATCTCCTCACCGCCCTCAGCGAGCTGCAACGGAACAACGCATTGTTGGCGTCAGACCTGCAACAGGAGCGTGAGCAGCGTGAAGAAGACAAGCGAGCCGTCCGGTCGCTGCTCGACGGCCTCCGCAAGAAAGCCAGCAATGATTCGGTTGGGACTGATGCAAGCCTCGAGACTGTCAAGGCCAATGAGAGCACAGATGCTGGGCAGCAAGACGAAGAAGCCGACAAGAGGAACAGCACCTTGGATGCTGAATCAAAGACCCCCACCGCCGACGACCTCTCTCAACTATTGGATGTTGTCGAACAAAGATTCGCCCTGCCGCAAGTGACCGCACGGCACCGTTCTTCAACCATTCAGTCTAGAACGTCGCTGCGCGATGAGCTTAGCCATGCCAAAGATCAACTTGCCAATGCCATGTCTCAGTCTCAGGACTACGGGAGAAGGATATATGACTTGGATCAGGAGGTATCAGCTCTGAAGGAACAAGTCAAGGAGAGCCATGCTCACACCCGGGCCCTGCATCAGGATAAACAAAGGCTAGAGAGGCAGATCCTCAACATGCGGGTGCGGGCTTCTGCTGTTGAGGTCGACGACCGCGCTAACGTGGCGGCCCATCCGCACACGAGCACGTCCAACATGGGCGAGTGGCCCAAGGCGGCGACGGGTGCTGCTGGAGGACTTCGCGAGTTGAAGCTCGGCAGAAGTAGGTCAACACCATCGCAAGCCGGATCGGCGTTCGGCAAGAGAACATCGTCGCTCCCCAAGCCTCACGATTCAACGATTCCTACGGTTTCCACGCCATCACCCCCGGTCAGCGACCATGAAGCGCTTTTGCTGGAACTCGTGCAGGCCAAGACATCTGAGGCCATTGCCAGACAAGAGGCAGACGAGTCAAAATTGAAGCTCGAGAGCCTTCGAAAGGCGTATGGTCTGGCACCAGGGGACACACCACCAGTTTCTCAAGCACCATCGGCTGCTTCGGCTGCCATGGGTGTCTTTGGCCGCTTCACAGGCGGAGATGCCACGAAGGCTGCTGCGGCGCCCGCTGTGACGACACCACCTATCGAGCAGAGACCCGCTCAACAAACCCAGGCTGGAGGGTTCTGGGGCTGGCGACGGGCCTAGGCTAGATGGTGCTTCAATTGTAGGCGGGCAGACAGCCATCAGTGGAACAGATGGGTCATGGTGTAAGGGACGGCGTGCGAGCTGTGAGGGCGGGGATGGCAGTACATTTGACGCAAGACCAGAAGGAAGAGGATCAGTAAAGGGGAGGCGTGAAGTATCATATAAACAAAAGGACAGGCGGAAGTGAACACAGCGTTAGACTGACTTTGCTCGCACATAGCCTTGGAGTTGAGCGGCGTTCTGGAGGTTACAAGGGCCAGATGAGCCTCTGACTGTCTGTCTGGCTTCTCTTCGTGGGATTACCTTGGGCGCTTTTGCGAAAGACTTTTGTAGTCCTGGTGAGAATGAAACGAATTATTTGTCAGGTTCATGTCGACGTGTTTGTTTGTGATGCGGGCGCACCCTTAAAGTTGCCTCGAACAGGCGTCTGTCTACGTAGCTCATCATCGGCCCGTTTTCCGAATGCCCTCAAGTCACGGTCCTGGGAGGCAGCGAACCAGCAAGGTCGTTCTCCCAAGGGGATGACGCTCGAGTCGCGCGCGCGCATGTCGTGTTCTGGCCAAGTCGGGCTTGGTCGGGGTGGTATCGAAAGCGGGGAATCACATGCAACGGCCAGGAGACAGTCTCGAGACAAAACATCACTACCTGGCCCTGCTACCCCTTCGAGCTGGGGGCGCGTCATGGGGCATGCCCCATCATGCTGCTACCTAGACTCCGTGCCATCACCATCAGATAGATCTGTCAAGTTTTGGTAGGGTTTTTTTTTTCCTTTCGAGCTTGAGGCCAGATAACGAGAGGAACGTGGCTGTTGCCTGTCTGTCCTGCTGGCGGGGGCACGCTCTGGTGCGCGTGTACGGGTTGCTTGCATGTCGTGGTATGACGACAGCGACGGGCGTTCCAGGCTCTCTGCGTCGCGAGCCGATGATGGGAAATGTCGCAATGAGTTCAGGGTCGCGGTGGGGCGCTGTAGGGTGGACACTGCAGAAGGTATAGGGTACTTGACAATGCACCAGACCGGGCCTTGTCATGGTGTAGACGAGACGGGGGGAAAAAAAAAAGTCGTATCGATTGTTGCTGTGGCACACATGCGTCATCGCTCGAGCCAGCTGGATGCACTAGCCACAGTGGAAGGTCCACCCAGGTGAAGGTAAGCTGGAGCTCCTGCTCCTTACCTTGCTGCAGCAGCTGCAGCTGGCACAACCTACTGATGCTCTTCTGTCGGCAGGTTGGTCTGAGCGGGCATACCCCCCCCCCCCGGCCAGCCCGCCCGGGGAGGGGCCACTGAGCCCGACAGGACAGGCAGAGAGGCTCAGGCAGAGGCTAGAAAGAGAAAGCTAAGGTCTCTACCTAGGTACCTAAGGTATGTAGGCAGGGAGAAGGAGGTCAGGGCCTGTTTTTTCGTTCCTGCCCCGGGTGGGTTCCAGGTTGCTCCTGCAGTCCCATCATTTGCATCACCACGCTTGTGAGCAACCCACACAAAGGGGTGCTTTTCTCTCCTCCTCCTCCAAGCGCTATCTCCTGCTCTCCCACTCCCTCTTCCACCATCACCGCACACAAAACTCCCAAACCCTCTCCCACCTTACCATTCACCTTCCTCGGAATCACTATTCTCGAACCTGCATCTTCGCGTGCTCTTTGCCATCCATCTTCGCCTGTCGAGCTCGCTACCCTTTCCACACACGCTCACACGACCACATCCACACGACAACACCACCGTCACCCGATCGCAATGGCTGACTTCCCCGACGCCCCTACTGGCAACCCCGGTGCCAATGGCAACTCCTACGTCCAGACTACCAAGGAGAGTAAGGTACGTGAATGAAATGCAGATACTTATTTGCACTCCCTCGCTTCGAATCCTCGTTATCTCTGCCTGGGACCATTGTTCGCTGACCCGGATGACGACAGTATTCGAGCTCCCCGCCGCACCCACACAAACGCACACCCTGACTACAGAAGCTGACCCTTGATCGCTAGACGCCGCTGCTGCTTACCAGCAGCTCGCCAACGGTATGTTTGATTGTGTTTTTGGACCATGGCTGATCTGCCGGCGCCTTATCTCTGTCGCCAGGAAAATTTACTGACCAAGCTCTCCCTCTCCAGGCCCCATGGCTGAGAACGTAAAGGCCCAATCGGCCAAGACCTCCAACGAGTTTGGCAACCTCGCTGCCTCTCGCAGGACTCCCTCGCAGCCTGCTGCCACCGACCAGCCCCTCACCCACTACCACTCGTTCTTCTCCGAGCTCCTCTCTTGGAAGAACCCTCGTACGTCATGATCTTCTTGCTTCCACCTGGCTTTCTTCGAACCACAGAAACTGATAAGCATGTCCTAGGTGCCTCCGCTATTGCCTATGCCTCCATTGTTTCGGTCATCTTTGCTGTTCGCTACCTGGATGTTCTCCGCTATGCCTTCAAGCTTACATGGATGGTTCTCGGTACCACCGTCCTTGCCGAGCTTACCGGCAAGCTCGTCCTCAACAACGGCCTGGCCACCCAGCTTCGCCCCCGCCGCTACCACACCATCTCGAGGGAGACTCTTGATGCCGCCATAGGAGATGTGCACGAGCTCGTCAACTTCTTCGTCATTGAGGCTCAGCGCATCCTCTTCGCCGAGAACGTCGGTGCTTCTGCTGCTGTAAGTTTGTGCTCGTGAACAGATCAGGTATTTCACCAGGCTGATCATGGATTTAGGCGTTCCTCGGTGCCTTCATCTCCTACTACCTTGTCAAGGTCATGCCTCTCTGGGGTCTCGCCTTGGCCGCCACTACCACCCTCTTCGTCGTTCCCCTTGCCTACACCTCCAACCAGGAGCTCATCGACCACCACCTCAAGCAGGCTGGCGATGTCATCAACGACCAGACCGCTCAGTTCCGCTCCGTTGCGCAGAAGCAGGCGGCCCAAGCCACCGACCTGACCAAGCAGTACATGGGTGACTACACCACCAAGGCCCAGCAGTTGCTCGGTCGCTCGCCCTCTCCCGAGGCGTCCGCCAAGCCCGCCCCCGTCGCCTCGGAGCCCGTTGCCGAGAAGGACTTCCCTGCTGCCCCCAGCACCGAGTTCAACAAGGTCGACACCACGACTGAGCCCGTCGTTCCTGGCGAGAACCCCCAGCTGGCTTCTTAAATTCGCCACTTGGGATCAACAGCTACCTGCGGCGAGCAGACTCGTGAGCGAAAACCGCGAAACGATGCCGCTGGTCGAGTGACGACGATGACGCATGGCATGAGACGAAACGACGCGACACGATTGTGACTGTCTTTTCCACCGGAAAAGGTGGCATTGACGTGGGCACGACAGCAAGATCATTCTGCGAGCTTCTTGACTCCGGCGTCGCTTGGGTTTCTTTTTCTCGCTTGATTTTGGAAGCAGGGTTTTCTATCGGATCGGAGTGTGTTTTCGTGCATCAGACGAGGCCGTGCAGACCTGCAGTGGCCTGCACTTGTCACGAGGGAGAGTTTTGGTTTGTGTGTAACGATGTACTGTACTCTCGATGACGAACCTGGGTCTCATGGTTGGTTTTTAGTTTCGCTCCCTTTCATGATTTCCGGCGATGGCGAAAGGAAGACGGACACCCATCAGATTGAGATTGCCGCGGCAAGGGAACGGAACGGTTCGTAAGGGCCTCATAATATTATTTTTCCATAACGCGTTCACCTCAGTGCTGTGCATCCGATCCTGACAGCTCGAGACTTTGTGCACCTAGCAGTATCGCTCTTTTATGTTCACCCAGTTGCAAGTCCAACTGCCGAGTACAATGCTCAGAGCGTCGCACAAGTAGACATCAAGTAGTATCACGAGTGGTGGGAAGCAATGTCAAGCCAGTAGTGGTATCCACGCACCAATCCGAGATGTACTCATACAAAAACATCAAGGTGACAAGACTCGATAAGGAAAACGAAACTAAAGTTGGGGCTATGTCTAGTCAGACAAGGAAGATACCATACCATTCACAAGTCTGGTCTTGGATCCGTAGCAAAAGCAGGAGGGCGGAGGGGGAGGAATGAGAAAAGGAAATAAGAAGGGTGGGAATTTCCGAGCCCGAGAAAAATGCTTGTTCATCAATATCATCGCATCCATCTGATCTGACAGCCCTTCCCGTCCGTGAACGCCTCGCACTCGCCAAAAATGTCGACGACTCCTTTTAGTCGCTATCGCTAAAGCCATCATCCTGCGGCTCGTCCATGGCCACGGAGCTCTCTTCATCGTCGTCGATGATGTAGGTGGGCTTCTTCTTGGCAGCCGCACGACCCGGACGGCCTCTAGCCGCGGGACGTGGGGGCGGCGAAGAAGGCTCGGCGTCATCGGCGTCAACCATCATATCGTCGCTATCGTCGTCGTCGTCGCTGAAGACGGTCTTCTTCGCGGGCTTCTTCGCTTCCTTGCTGGCCGAGTATGCCTTGGCAGCAGGTGAGAGAGGCAGGGGCTTCGCGGCGGCTTTGGGGGCTGCTTTGGGAGCTGTTTTGGGAGCTGCCTTGGCCTTGGCCTTGGCGGCAGGAGCCTTTGCTGTCGCGGCGTCATCCTTCTGCTTGTTCTTCATTCCCGCAGGGCGTCCACGGGCCTTCTTAACCTCGAGAGCCGGTGGAGGCACGGGTTCCCGCGACGACGAGGATGCCTTGGAAGGCTTACGAGCGGGCAACGAGTCATCACTGAGGAACTCCTCCAGATCATCGTCCTTGCTGGCCACAGGCTTGTGGGGCGACGACCGCACCGCGAGAGCCTCATAGTTCGTCTCGTCGTGGCTGTCGTCGTCCAGAATGTGCCTTGAAGGCTTCGACTTGAGCTTTGGAAGGGCTGCCTCACGTGCGCCATGGCTGGACTCGGGGCGGTTCATGCCGTGCAAGCTGAGTCTACCATTCTTCAGCTCCTTGGAAGGATCTGTTGTCGTCGGCTTGTACCCGTGGACCATTTGGCCAATGTCACCGACATCGCCAAAGTCGTTGTCGCTAGCATCCGACTCTGACAGGTCGAAGACAGGTCGGGCCTTGGCAGCCGCTGCTCGCTTCGTGCGCCCACCCATGACCGGCTCGGCTTCAGGCTCGACAGACGCAGTGGGTTTCTTTTTCTTCGCACTCATGCTGGTCAGGTCGCCGTCAGAGAAGTCGCTGGAGTCAGCGAATTTGGGCAGAGTCTCCTTTGCCTTCGGCTTTGGCCTCGAGGCCGGCACGCTGCTCTTGCGTGCAAGAGCGGCCGTAGCGGTGTCATCGTCTGACTCCTCGGCCTTGAGTACAGGCTCCTTCGCCTTGGGTGCAGTCTTTGGCGCAGCCTTGGGCTTGGCAAGGATCGCAAAGTCATCGTCAGAGAAGGCGTCGACTGGCGACTCGGCCTTTGCGATTTCGAGTTTCCGGTCAAACTGTTCCTGAAACCTTTTGGCAGCAGGTACCGGTTTCGCGGCCGCCTTCGCTTTCGGAGCTGCCCTCTTCCTCTCGGGCTCGAAGTCATCGTCAGCCTTGTTGCGGCTGACCTTGCCTCCGCCAGCACCGATCTTCCTAGATCGTCGGCGGCCCATACGGTTAATCTTGGACTGGATCTTGTCATCCATCTCAAGCTGTGCCTCCCACTCTTCGGCAAACTCATCGAGATCTTGGCACCAAAGGTCTTTCTCGCTCCGGGCCAGAAGAGCGTCGTGCTCGCCCTTCTTCTTCATGATCGCGGAGTTCAGCCTTTCCAAGCGCTCGAGTGTCAAGGACCAGATAGGCAGCTACGAATGGTTAGCGCATTGTGTACTCCAACCTCTCAAGTGTGGATTACATACCGAAAGTAGATAATCATAGTCGGCAGCGCCGCCAACACTGTCATCCTCATTGTCGGACGCATCCATGTCCTCTTCTTCCGTCGTCGCCTGCTTCTTGCCGTCGTTCTTGGGGAACGCTTCGTACTTGCGGTCGCGTAGTTCTTGCACGAGAACTGGCTTCCGCTTCTTGGAGACGATCAACTCACCGTCGATGATCTCCTGGATGAAGCGCGCCTGGTTCTTCAGCTTACGGTAGTCTGAGTGGTAGACTCCGAGCCAGTGCTTCTTGCGTGCGCTGTACATGTCAAGGCGGTAGACGTAGAACTCTTCCAGTATATCCTCGACCTTCTCGTACTTGCGAATGCGGCCGGTGCTGTCAAATGCCACCAGGTTCGACGTCGCAACCTGCTTGTTCAACTTGAACCTGTCCATGATACCTTCGTGGGTCTTGTGGATGTCCTTGTAGTGTTTTTCATCAAGCTGAATGACAAAATTGACATTTTTATGATCGTTGAACTCCTTGTAGTCCTTGATCCAGGCCGGGCCCTTGGCGCCGCTGATCACTTCTTCCAACTTCGCCTTGAAATCATCGGTCCACATTCGGATGGGCAGCTCCTTGATGATGATTTCACCCGTCTTGTCGTCGGTTTCGTAGATGCCGTTGAACTTGTAACGGTCCTTCTCGGCGGGTTCAGGGGTGCCCTTCCAACCACGGAACCAGGGCATCATCGTCTCAAAGGGTTTGCCTTCGGTGTCGTCAGAATCAAGGCGACCCATGCGTCTTTTGATGGCCCTGACAATCTCCATTGGGTGATAATTGGGAATCGAAGTGCTCCAACCTGTACCAATACCATCGGCGCCGTTGCACAGAACCATGGGAATAATCGGGGCATAGACCTTGGGTTCGATCGGCTTTCCGTCCTCCATTTGAACTTCCAGGTTGGGCTCGTCAAGAACAGAAAAGATCTTTCGGGCGAATGGAGACAAGCGCGTGTGGATATAACGGGGGCTGGCAGCGTCTGATCCACCGGCAAGACGAGAACCGAAGTTACCACTGGGCTCGAGGCAGTTGACATTGTTTGAACCGACAAAGTTCTGAGCGAGGCCAATGATCGTCTGTTGAAGAGACATTTCACCGTGGTGGTACGCGGCCTTCTCGGAAACATAACCGGCCAATTCCACGACCTTCTGGTCCTTGATGAGGTTCCTCTTGAAGCAAGCGAACATAACCTTTCGCTGACCAGGCTTCAGACCGTCAAGAACTGACGGGATGGAACGCATATTGTCAGCCATGCTGAAGAGGATCAACTCTCTATTGACAAAATCATCGTACGTGATGGACTTGGTCGAGTGATCGAGATACGTTCCCGGAACAAAGTTGCCAAGCCACTCTTTACGAGCATCTGCCTTCTTCTTGGAGAAGGCAAGATCGAAAAGATCCGCCTCGGAGGATTGCATTGTGTCAAACTCCTTGAGATGATCGTCGAGATTGGTAAAGTAGACCTGGGCATCTTCGTTGGAACTGGTGCCCAGACCCTTGTAGTACTTGTACTCCCAGCGGCTGATCTCATTCTTGTGCGCCTCCTTCCACTCCTCATACTGAGGCTGAGTGAAGAACGCCTGGAGCTTCTGGGGGTTCTTGGGGTTCTTGCCTTGCCAGACTTTGACAATCGGCGTGATGAACTCACGGAAAAAGTCGGGGATCTGGAGGAGGGAAGGGTATTGGACCTGTAGGAAGTTGATGAGAAGGCCCTTGATATGACTGCCGTCGTGGTCCTGATCAGCCATGATCATGAGATGACCATAACGCAGACCCTTCGTATCTGTATAGTTTTGCTTGTGTTTCAGTCCCAAGAATTGCTTGATGTTCTGGATCTCTTGGTTCTTCGTGATTTGTTCAATGGATGCATCGCGGACGTTCAACATCTTACCACGAAGGGGAAAGACACCGATGCGGTCAGGGTCGAGAATAGCGCGACCCGCAACAGCCAGACTCTTGGCAGAGTCACCCTCCGTCAAGATCAAGGTGCACTCATGTCCGCGCTTGGTGCCCGCCAAATTCGCGTCGACGAGTTTGGCATTGTTGATGCGCGATCGCCTGTTGCCATCGCTCTTGGCCATCATCTTGTCCGCCTTCTTCTCGGCAAAGCTCATGATGTTCTGAATGGCATCGGAGGCGGCAACTTTCTTTAGGAACGCTTCTGACAAGACACACTTGCTACCAAAGCTGCTAATCTTGGTAGTCATTTGCTCCTTGGTCTGAGAGTTGAACGAGGGGTTTTCGATGCGGCAGTTGATGAAAACGAAAATGTGGTTGCGAATATGTTGCGGCTTCAGGGCGTGGCCCTTCTTCTTCTTGTCGAGGTACTTCGTGAGATATTGGACAATCTGGTCAGCGACGTAGTTGACATGTGTGCCACCGGACGTAGTGGCAATGTTGTTCACGAATGAAATGTGCTGGAATGAGCCGTCCGACACGGTGAATCCAACATCCCATCGGGGGTTGTCATTCTTGTCCATTTCCACGGTGACCTTGGGCTCACCTCCCTCCTCAGAGGCTCGTTCTTTGGCGATAGCCTTGGCGTACATCTCGCTGTAGCCCTTGAACGCCGACGGCTTGACCACGGTGCCGTTGAGGTGAACTTTGATGCCCTTGATCGTGCCAGCCATGTCGTAGACTCGGCGGTACAACAAGGCCTCGAGGTCATCGTCGATGCCCTCCATGCTGAACCGTTTGAAGTCGGGCTTGAAGGTGATGCGCACAAAGTCGCTGGACTTGCTCGAGGTAATCTTGGCCTTTCCCATCTTACTCATGTTGTCGGTCCAGGTCTGTTTGTATCTTTTCCCGTTGGCAGAGTCCTGGCACTCGACGGTGAACTCTGTGCTGAAGACGTTACAGAGCTTGGCACCGTAACCGTTGCGACCACCGGTTGTCTTCTTCTCGTCGTCATCGTAGTTGGAACCTGTGAGGAGATGACCGAAGATCATCTCAGGCACATAGATGCCATGTTGCTTATGCATCTCGACAGGAATACCCTTGCCGTTGTTCTCGATGCTGATCTGACCGGCTTCGCGGTCAATGTTCACCTTGATGTGTGTGACAGGTTCTTCGCCGCTTTCCTCGCGACGGACTTTGATATCCGCAGCGTTGACGAGGATTTCGTCAAAGATTTTGTAAAGACCGGGAACCGTGGTGACCTTCCGGAATTCCATCAACTGGGTTTCCTTGTTGTAGACCCACATGGGCATTTCGGTACGCTCAACGGAGCCGATGTAGGTATCGGGACGCTTGACGATGTGCTCGAGTTGCGTGAGCTTCTGGTACGTTTCTTCTACCGTCTTCTTTGTGCCCTTGACCGCAGGCGCGGGGGCGCTGGGCTCATCGAGCGCCATGCTGTCGTTTTCAATCTCGGCAAGCGGGTTGCCGCTCGACTTGCTGGCAGCCGGGGCCTTCTTCAACTTCTTCGAGCTGGGAGGGGTGTTGGAGAGCCCGGAGGCTTCATCATCGCTGAATGACACTGGGCGTTTCTTCGGTGCTGCGGCCGTCTTGAGGGTCGTCTGGGTCAACTTTTTGGCTGCAGGCTTCTTGGCCGCCGGGGCCTTCTTCGCCGGAGCCTTGGCTGCCTTGGGCTTCTGGGCAGGGTTAGCTGGAGAACTAGAAGCTGGTGTGTTCGGAAGTGATGAGCGAGGGGGTATTGGACGAGGGGGCGGTAGCATAGACATCTCAACAGCTGGAGGAGGGATGGTTAAGAGGCAGTTGGTAGATTCGAGAGAGCCTTGTCCGACAAGACGAAGAGGGCGTGGAGTTGGTGTGATCGCGGTTGGCAAGGGGGGCGCGCGAAAGGGAAGGAACAGATGCGATTGTGGTGGCAGGGCAGGCACAGAGTCATCGTAAGGGCGGTCCGCGCATTCATGCTCTGGCCATGAGTCGCGAACCGACATGCGAAGGAAGGGGACGTTGGACCAGAGAGAGGGGGGGCGGAGGCACTTACAGGTTCGGGAGAAAAGGCATCCGACTCCTCCTGCGCGCTGAACATTGACTCGTCCGAGAAATCCATCTTGTACAGTGGTGTAGACCTGGCGCGCGAGGCGTCGTGATGCAAGTGGTGTACAGACAAGGAGGGGCGAGCAATAGGTTGACAGTGGTGTACAATGGCAAAAGGGGGGAACAGGTGGCGCCTTGCAGTGGACGCAAAGGACCGTACGAAGGAGAGGGGAAAGAGAGCGGATGCCACGATGGCGGGTGTCGTGCTCACATATGAGGTCGGAGGGCGTCAAGGAGGTGGGATGGTGGGATGGTGGGATGAAGGAGGACGGCGTACGTGTTGTGCTAGCAACAAATCCTCGATGTTGACGTTCCGATCTGGGACCAGAGTAAACATTCCCAAGTCGCGACTTCTTCAGGGTCCCTGAAAACACGGACCGCGACGGCTTCTTCCCATTGGTGCCTTAGGCCTGTGATCCTGGTCGTGTGGGGTTGGCCCTCACTTAGCCGCTGTGTCGATTGATGCACCAGGTTCATTGCTGCCTATCTGCATTCTGCCTACAGCGATATAAGTTCCGTTGACGCTGCCTGCGAATTGTGCGCCTTGGAGTAGCTCTCTGCAACACGGTGGGCAGTCGTCGACCTGCAGCCCCAGTCCAGATGTGTCTGCCTCTAAGGAAGGGAGACACTCCATGGAGATGCTGTAGAAGTTGAGAGTACGAGTCCGCGTCGTTCGGAACAACGTACATCATCAACTCTGTTGGTTGGCAGGTTTCTAGCCTGACTTGCTTGCCTATGTGCCACACAGCACATCTGTGCTCTACCTGCTCGTTCGACTGCGTTGTCTGATCTCATGGGAGTATAGCAACACATGGACCACAATCCCTTCCTACAGCCTACCCATGGCCCCCTTTCCTGAACGCCAGCCTCGACTCGGAATTTCTGACCTCCTACGCAATGAACTTACCGCCACAGCCTCCACACAACTCCACGGCAGATGGATCTACCACGGCCTCGACACCGTGCGTCTCTGCAATCCTGGCAATCTGTTCAGCAGCAAGGCAGCGACGGCCGCAGACACCGCACGCACGAGAGATACCGGGGGCTAGGATGGCTAGACCGCTGGCTGTGCAAGTCGCTATACGTCATGATCAGCACATCCTCCTTTCTCACGATCCCCATGAGGGGACGATACGAAGGAGCGGTTCTTACCAAACGTATGGCCATTGTCGCAAACAGTGTACCGGCCAGCATCCCTCAGACCGGCCTTGCAGAACCCACAGACCTGCGCTTGAAGCACGCTCCTCAGCTGCTCGCGCAGCGCCTCATCGCCCTTGGGCCTGTACTCGGCCGCCCAGCCCACGGCGCCGCGCACGGGTGGGCCGCCACCGTACATCCACTCCCACATCTTGCCCTCGGTTGTCATCTGCACCGCGCCGGAGGGCTCGTCCTGGCCCTCGCTGGCGGTCTCGATACCCGCAGCCAGGCGCGGTTTGAAGCCCCAGAGGATCTTAGATTTAACCTTTGGCTCGGGCCCGAGGGCGCTCTGCTGGGAGACCATGGCGGCATGCATGCCGCCACCGGGGGAGGCCGCGAGGCCCCAGATCCGGATGCGCCAGGGGTTGACCTGCTCGCCGGCGTCGGTGGGCATCTCAAAGTCGTCATCCGAGTCCGACTCGGGGCCCCCGACCTCGCTGTCTGAGTCGGCGTTTTGGGTGGCCATGGCGACGGGAACAGAGAGGGAGATGATGTCGTCGACGGTGCTGGCCCATTGGGGCACGGTCACCTGGTCTTCGAGGGCTGAATCGGAGGGTGCGGGTGCAGTGGTTTGATACCAGTTGTCGTTGGTCGCGGACGCGACGAGGCGGACGAGCGAGTAAACGGGGGCTGGGGTTCTGTCCACGGTGTTGGGTGGGTGGATGATGATGCCTAAGCAATGTCAGCTAGGGATCGAGGCGGTGATGACTTCACGAAACATACCGGTGGCAGGGTTTCCCTCGTTTGGAGAGTTCACTGGGTAAAGAGTATTGCATATAGTGGGCGAGTGCTGCTGTTGTGCAGGGGCTGCAGGGGAGTTGAGGATGACTTGGAAGGGTTTTGCATCGAAAGGTGAAGCGACAACGCCGCGGCAGATTTTGTCATCGCCGTCCGTCCAGACGCCGTTCTCCCACTCAACGAAAGCATCGGTCATTAAATTGGTGCATATGCCCAGCAAGTCTGTCTCGTCGACAGTGACGGCAGCCCTCTCACCACGGATCCAGTCGGCAGGAATGGTGACTTTGCGGAAACCAATGTAGCTGCGGCTGATTCGAGCGATGACGGCGACGCGTTTATCGCCTATGACAGCCCAAGGACTCCATTTGATGGAAAACGCCGAGCCAGAGGGGACAAAGTCAGGGTCCATGATCTGCCACCTCGTTAGTCAATGTCGCCACAGCCTAGTACATCTTGTCCTCACACTCATCTTGGGGTGGGGGCTGTCATTCGGGAAGCGAGCAACCTCCTCTACCCTCCAAGCCAAGGTAGGCCCCTTCCTGATCTTGGGATTGTCGAAGAACTCCACAGTGACGATGATGATTTCGTCCCGGTCGTTGAGATATGCGATGAGGGCGCGGCCAGGGGCGATCTTGTGAGCCCAGGAGAAGGACTTGATCTTGTCCCCTGCCAAGTGGCTGCCGTCTTTGACCTTGCGGTCCGGGAGGGGTAGGACGCCGCCGATGCCCCAGAGAACCCTCCAGGCATCGAAGCTGCGCTTGCGAACACTGATGTCGGTGACGGCAGAGCCCTCTTGGCCATATATCATGACAGATCCATTGGTGAGAAGAACAGAAAGGACGGGGCGCAAGTTGTAGCCAACGCCGGTAGGAGACCATTCCATGACAGACACCTGGTTCAGGGAGCTACCCCATCCGGTTGGCAGTCCGGAACCCACACCAAAGTAGGGCTCCTCTTCCATGTCGTTACCCGGGCACCTCAAACCGGCAGCGTCGAACAGCTTGGCGTTCATACGCGGATCGGGGCGCTTGATGGTCATGTACTGGCCGCGGTGAGTGTGGTACTGAATGCGCTTGTTCTCGTCGGCGCCGACATCACGGTTCCCGCGGCGGGTATCGTCCTCCGGGGTCGGGAACTCAGGGAGCATTATGTGCACCGAATCATCGGCGGCCACAGCGAGTTCGGCATCGCAGGAGATGGTGATGGCGTGGGTCGTCAGCGGACGGGACCGCAGGGTGATGGTGTTCAGCTGGGGTACCTAGTGGGCGTCGGCCATCGTTAGCCTTTGGCATCTCAGATTGTTAACTTCGGTATCAAAAGTCATTCCATCTTGTTGAGTGCTGCAATCTCAAAGACAGCCTCTTCAATGTCTACATGCTCTGAACGCTTCAAGGGAGGCAGCCATGGTAGGGTCAATCTGATGTATATAGCGTGGCTCACAGGCTGATTTGAGTTCCCAACTCTCAATTAATTCGGCGATGTTTCTTTCGAACAGGTGCGCCGTGGAAGGAGCAAATGCGTCTGGCCTAGTTCCTGCGTCAAGAGCAAAAGAGCAGTGAGAAATCGATCTCGCAGTGTCTTAGGGGTGCTTCGCCTCACCCAAGAAGGTCAAGCATGAAAGACTCCATAACGAATTGTGCACAGTAGCCTGAGGTTCCAGCCTTAATGATTTGACTGGATCCGCAATGTGAAAGTGCAGACATATCACGTTGCAGGAGTTCAAAGTAGAGATGAAAAGCAGACGCGGTCTCACCTTAATGTTGTCCATGGCGCAAAAGTTATTTTGTGACGTCCCTCCATAAGGGAAATAGTGATTGATCACCAAAAATGCTATTATACCCAAGACAAATGCGACGGGTGTCGGCAAGGCGCATACTTGGTCATGACGAATATTTGTGGTAGAGAGAGATAGTCTCAAAGTGATCGTGCTTCCAAACATCAGCTAACAAGTGAGGATCGTGTGAATTGAGGTCTGCCGGAGAAACATCGGCTAAACCCGATGGTAGGGACGCAACACCCTTCTCATTCCCCTCCGTTCCTTTGCCCATTTCCTAAACGCCATGCCCCCTTTCAATGCTCTTCGTGGATATACTAAAAACGGCCAGATTCCAATGTCGCACCCATGCCTATCTATGCCTTCACCTTGGCGGATCCATTTTGTGCCTCCTTCTTCTCGGCCTCCACTGGGTCCTCTGCGTCTTCACTCCTGGACGGCTCTAGATAGGACCCCAGAACCCAGAGCCCAACACACGCCGCCAAGGCGGTGGCTCCGATGATCTTCTTGGCCCACCAGTTGTCGTTGGTCAACGGCTGAGCAAACTGTATCTTCTTGGTTGCGGTCACAGGTACGCCCACCGCCGGGGCCGTCGCGTTCCGCGCAGCTGCATCCTGTTCATCCGCCTGGATCCTCAGCGCAGCAATCTTGCGGCTCAGCTCAAGAAGCTCCTCCTCAAGTGCCAGGCTCTTGGCCCCGTCGACCTCGACCTGCTGAACGTTGCCGAAGAAGTCGGTGATGCGGCGGCTGCGCGCCTCCTCGGCACCGCCCTTGAAGAGGTCGTAGCGCACGCCCGGATGGGAGTGTATCTTCTCAAAGTCGTAGCTGTCGAAGAGCTCGCCAATGGTCTTCTGACTGCTCATATCCTTGACCTGGTTCTCGAGGAACTCGAGGTTATAGTAGGTGAAGCGGTCGATGACGGCGACGCCGACGTCCTGGTCGGCGTGGTGAGAATAGGATGACTGGTCAAGCTTGGAGGAGCCAGTAGCGATGATGTTCGGGGAGTAGAGCTTGCTGTACATTGTGTTGGCCTGGCACGTGTCGATCATGAAGAGGATCTCATTGTATCTGCGGTCTCGGATTAGTCTTTGTGTCGTTAGAACCGGCCCACGGCTAAGCATACCTCTTCTTCTCCCACATTTGCTCGAAAGCGTCTGCTAGGTCGAACGCGCCAATTTCCTCGGCATCCTGGAACTTCAGGAACTCATTTCCGCCGTGGCCTGTCATGTACACCAGAATGTTGCTCCGCTCATCGGTCAAGAGACGCTTACTGCGAGGCATCTCGGCGCCCACACGATCAGTCATGAGTCGAATGAAGTTCTCGACGGTGACTTCATAGCCTCGGTAGTCGACCTCGATGTTGTCGCCGTACAGATCGACGGCGCGGTCAGAGTTGCTGTAGACAGTTCCCGGGAAGGCGTTGCGGGGGTTGCAGGCCATGTCGTCGGGCAACATGAGGATGATCTGGGAATCGGGGATGCCTAGTCGCTTGACGGTGCGGTAGATGGACAAGACATTGGACATGTGGCGATAGTTGAACCAGAAGCGCGAGGTACCGACGAGAACAGCCCAGTTGCTGGTGTGCTCGGCAAGAGCTGCTGGCGCCAACGCAGCGGCGGCCAACAGGACGGGTAGCTGGAGGACGTTCGACAGCAGCATGGCGACGGTCGGATTGAGCGCAGCAGGTAGTTCAGAGGATGGATAGGGACAGGGGCGAAGATATGGGAACGACGACTCGAACGCGACTCGGCGATGGGGTGAGGTTGGAGATGGGATGGACCGCGGCGGCGTTTGCCCCTGCCTGGCTGTCCACTAAGGGTCGCCTTACCAATCCAGGGATCTGGACAACGCTAAGGGGCGGCGCGGATCTGGAGGTGAGCGCACGGACCATTTTATTCTTCGCAAGGGTTTATTCGGTTTGACTCTGGCGTCTGGTCTGTTTCTGTCGTCTCTGTCCATGTCTCTGGTGTCTGTCTTGAAATGAGAAGCCGCCTGTCAAAGCCGCAACGGACTTCCGTGGCGGTTGCGTCGCCAGCATGGACCCTCTTGCCGCCCTTTCAGGCATCAGTGCATCTGCATCCGCTGATCAATCAAGGCCAAGGTTGAAGCCACATAGATGATGAGCGTGCAGAGGGAATGAGGCAAGCCACTGAGGGAAGAGACACTAGGGTTGGACCACGGAAGCTCGCCCTCCAAGTCAGGCCAGGTTTGCCGTGCCCCCTGGCTTTGGTGAACAATGACACCCAAAGTTTTGGAGATCAATCATCGGCCAGCCCTCTAGTAAAAGTAGACAGAGGGGTGCTTGAAGCCCTGGGCCACTGTGCTGCGGGTGGGAAGAGACTGCACTACATTCACACTGTCCGATCTCGGGGACGCATGCATAAACACCAAGCAGCCGACCAAGAAATTGTCACGATGCCGAGCCGCTCCAAATTTGTCGCTTGTCGGAATTAGCATGCTCTTTGTCCGCCTGACTCATCGACTTTGGAGGCGCATGGCTCGCCCATCCGGGTCTAACCCAACATCGTGAAAGCCGAGTTGGCCGCCTGACCGGCCAGTGGGGGTCGCCTCTGGTTTTTTTTTCTGCAATGTCGCCATTCTCCAGGACCCTCTTTATTCTAGCGGCAGAGTTTGACCGCTTGTCAATCAATCTCTACCTACCTTACCTACTCCTGCCTACCTAGGTACCTAGATGCCTCAGCAGACCGCCAAGGAGGGTGGGCTGGGACATCGGGGCTCTGGTTTTGGCAATGCGCCTGGCAGGTCAGCCTTCCAGGTCGAGGAGGCGCAACACGCGCCGGAGTACCGAAAAGCGTCCGCCCAGGCGGCAGCATGCGTGCGGCCTTTACAGGTACGTGCAGATAGCCATGACGTCTCGACTGTGCGGGTGCCTGGGTTTTTGCATCAAGGTGCGTTGTAGTGAGATGGAGGTGTGGGTGAGTCGACAGTCGAACGACGTGGGCCGAGAGAAGGAAGAAGAACAAACAGACAGATCCGATATGCAGAGTGCCCGCCCATCCTGAGAAGAATCACATGCAGGGCACCATGCATCATTGGTGTATTAGTCCCCTGGAGATTGTTCCACTGGCGTCCTCAGGTCCTCCCCCAGGAGGCCCTTGGTGTGAGGCGCGTCCAGTGCTAGAGAATGTCCACCACGGCCCCCGACTACTACCTAGGAACCTGCAGCAGCCTGCCTCAGCCAGTCTCGGGCCTCGCTCCCAGCGCCACCCAGCTGTTGGCAGGCTGGCTGCAGGGATGCCCCTCACCTGAGTCTGCGTTCGGTGCCTGTCGTGCATCATCAAGGCCCCGCACCATGCTTTCGATCTGTCTGTCACCCACCTTTCAAAGTCATGTCCCTCGGCGGCCCCAGCGGACAAGGGCCACCCAAGCGCCAGGCAAGAGGAACGAAAAGGACATCGTGATCACACGGCCTCGCCTGGTGTGAGCCTAGTGTCCGTTGTTCGGGAGATCATCTATCCTGACCCCCGAAAAAGGCAGAACTATAGAACACGGGAAAGCGAGCCATTTCCGACATCCTTCCTCCTGCTTGGCCTTCCATCCCACCTTCCACGAGCCTCTCTCCTCCGGGTCTTGATCCTGGGCAAGGGTCCAAACACACGCAACACCCGTGACACTTGCCTTGCCTCTCTGCCTGGCTTTGTGCGACGAAACTGTAAACTCCGTTCCGCCTTCCCGCAACTTACCTCGCACTTTCCATTCCCATGTTCTTTCCTCCCTCCCTTCCTGGTCGTCTGACAAACCGAAACACCATCCAGCGGCAACTGTCCCCGCCAAACCAAAGTTGTGCCCGCCAACCTTCCTGAGCAACTTTACTTACACATTGTCTTCCGTTTGCTGTCTCGCCTCGCCTCGCCGATCGATCGACCCTTGTGTCTCGGGTCACCTTGGCTTCATACCACGCGAACATATTTCAACCTGTCGAGCTCCCATAAACCGAACTCCTTTCCTGTTTCGCCTGCACTGTTCCTCCGTCGTCGCAGAGCGCGTCGTCTCCCTCCAAGCCGTCCATCATGGGACGCCCACCCGCTTACATCTTTGTCGTCAGGTTGGTGTCCCCCCGAGTGCATGTCTTCTCCAACAACCCCTCACCTTCGTCCTGGTCTCCCGCCTCGAATGACGTTTGAGCTGACTTGGCCCCGCGCCCGCGCAGACACGGAGCTCGACTCGACCAGGCTGACAAGAAGTGGCACCTGTCCTCGCCAACACCCTACGATCCTCCTCTGACCTACGGCGGCTGGCTGCAGGCGCAGGCTGCCGGTGCCAGGATCGCTGCCATCCTCCGGCAGGCGCAAGAAGACGCCGGCAACGACTCTCCGACAGCCCCGAGCAACAAGAGGAAGTTCAGGATTGTTGTCCACAGCTCGCCCTTTCTACGGTGCATACAAACATCCGTCGCCATCAGCGCCGGACTGGCCCATGCCGCACCCCAAGCCTCAGCCACAACACCCTATCATCTCTCCAGTACAGCCCCTGAGAAGGTCAATCCGCTGTCGGCCGACCCCAGCGTGCAGCCACTGTCAGGCGTCATCCAAAAGACGCCCATCCGAGTCGACGCCTTCCTCGGAGAATGGCTGAACCCCGAATACTTTGAGGCCATTGCTCGCCCGCCGAGCTCGCAACACATGCTCGGCACTGCCAAGGTCGCGCTCCTCCGACATGAGACCATCAGCGCCTACGAGAGCTCTCGTCCCCATGCAAGCTCCATGACCTCACTGTCTCATGGCCAGCTCTGGAGCAGCCCCAAAATGTCAGCTGCGAATGAACGGGCGAGCTCGGTAGACTCCAACTCGCCCTTGGGTCTCGATGGCCTGCCCGCCATGGCCAGCGCCCTGCCGAGGAATCGCGCCGGTAGTGCGAACAGCGCCTCGAGCACCAGACGGTCTACCAGTCCCGACGACGGATATGTAGCGCCGACGCCCAATTATGCCATATCCACCAGCGGAAAGATCCCCGACGGCTACGTCGCGCACGCCCGCGACGCCTGCGCCGTCGCTGATTATCAGTGGGACTCGATGCAAGAGCCTCTAAACTGGGGTGACGGTGGTGTGTTTGGCGAGGAATGGATCTCCATGCACCGGCGGTTCAGGGCTGGGTTTCAGAAGCTCGTAGACTGGTATGCGACGGCCGAGAGCCCGGCCGAACTCGTGACTAAGACTGTACGGCTCGGTGCAACCACAACACCCCATGCGCCTGTCTTTGACGATGCCGACGATGACGCAGAGGCTGTAGTCATTCTCGTCTCACACGGCGCAGGGTGTAATGCCATGATCGGCGCCATCACGCGCCAGCCGGTCCTCATGGATGTCGGCGTGGCCACCGTGACGATGGCTGCGCGAAAGGACAACGTCGACGGCGACGCCCCTATCGTTCCATTCAGCGATCCCAGCGCGCCGATGGTGCCGGGCAAGATCCCGATCGACCAGTACTATGACCTGAAGATCCAGGCGAGCAATGATCATCTGCGGAACATGTCCTCTACTGGCGGTGGCCTGTCGCGCGCGGCATCCACCTCCTCGGCCCATGTTCACACGCCACATCCTCAGGCCAGAGGCCGCGTTTCGACCATGTCCTCCGCGACGGGATTGGGGTTTCACGACTTTGATCTCGGCGGCTCCAGGAGCAATTCGGCTAACGCCAACCTCGCGAGCATGCGGCGCACATCTTACACAACGTCGCCCATGCCTCGGGGCATCGCGCTCAATACGACCGGTATCACTGTCGGCAGCGGCGCCACAACCTTTAGCCAACCCGTGTCTACGGGTCTCTGGTCGCCCTCGAGTCCTGTCGTCAGGCGCAGCGAAAGCGACGACGACGACCTCTTTCCCGACTTTGATGGCCGGCGATTCGCGGCGCCCAAGGCGCCGAGCCCAGAACTGATCTCCCCGTCAAGCAGCCATCCGCTGCAGAACATCAGAGAGGAGCAGCCAAGGACCGTTCGGTCTCCCCACAGGCTGCAGGAGATCTCCAGGCCGCCGTCGAGGGACGGAGACGACAGGATGGAAGAGACGGTTCAGGCGGTGCCGGTTGCCAGCACGGGGGCTAGGGGTCTGTGGGGCGCGTGAAGCATCATCCGCGTGAGATGCCTCGCGATGCGGTAAATGAACATGTCGAGCGTACAGAATGTCTGATCGGAGTATGGGCGTTGGTTGGTCGGAATGCCGGGTTGGGGATATCATAGCATGGCACTGGAACAAGGACAAAAGAATCCTCCCACCTCGAAGAGAAAGAAGAAGAAGAAAAGTCGGGTGACGAATGGCGTTGAATCACGAGTTCCCCCATTTCCAATTTGAGAGCGTTGACCACAATGAGGGCTTGTTTCTTAATTGTAACTCTCTTTGACACCACCGAGAAAATGGTTCAAATCGCTTGCTTCAACTACACCAAGGGACACGTGAGACGATTATTGTTGGCAAAAAAAATAATGAATATTCATAGCTCGAGATGCTGGAAGAAAAACGGTCTAGCTTTGTGTGCCACCTCGTCTACGTCTCCAACACGAGCGAGCACCCATGAGATCCTGTCATATGTACACTCTCTCCTCCCTCCCTCCTCTACCGCCGTCATGTCTGCCCTGCCTATTCAAGGCAAGCGCCACGTCTCTTTCACTTTTTGTTTCCGCACTGGAAGCGCTTAGCCGCCGAACGCCTTGTTCATGGCCTGATGCGCCAGCTCGACACCGAGGAAGGTGGCGGCGTTGGCGGGCACGGCTCTCGCGAGCGCGGGGCCGAATCCGGGGAAGAAGGCCTTGAGGCCGCCGTTCGCGTAGACGCCGCGCACGACGCCGCCAATGGTGACGTGGCCCTCGGCGGTCTGCAGCCTGCTCTTGACTGTGTCGACAGGGAAGACGGGAATCCACATGGCGATACCGGCGGCGGCACCGGCGGCGGTGATGGCGGGCAGGGAGATCTGCCCCGTGCTCTCGCCGGTGACGGGGTCCTTGGGGGTGAGGCGGCGCTTGATGTACTCGTAGGCGGCGAAGTAGGCGGCGGAGCCAGGGCCGTCACGGGCGAGGGTAGCGGTGGAGCCGCGGAAGACGGAGCGCAGGCCACCCTCGGCGTAGAGCTGGCGGACGACGTCGTAAGGGCCCTTGTAGCGCGGCGCCTGGCCGGGCTGGAGCTTCTGGGACTGGACTTGGAGGATGACCTTGATGCGCTCAAAAGGAGCGGTGATGGCCGTCATGGGAATGGCGGAGAAGAAGCCGGCAGCGGCCGTCTGGCCGATCGTGAGGGGCTGCGAGACAGGGTGTTCGGGGTAGATGCTGCGGACAATGTCCTTGCCCAGGTCATAGGCCCAGAAGGAGACGGCGACTAGCGAGGATGGTCAGAGGAGGACTGTTTGCGAAGGCCGACAAGGCAGGTAGGATGCGGGAGCACACTCACACATGGGGGTCACGCCAACAAGGGGCGCAGAGACACCGGCGTACAGACCACGGCCGAGGCCATCGCGAGCAATACTCTTGCGGACAACGTCAATGGCGGATGTGTAGACGCCCTTGTCGGCAGTCTGCAGGCGGACCTTGACGAGATCGAAGGGGTGGCCGACAATGACGGCACAGATACCACCAAAGCCACCAGCAGCGAGGGAGCGCAGCTGGGCGGCGCCAGCGCTGACGGCCTTTTTCGCATCTTCCTTCGCCTCAGTCTTGGTCTCGGGGATGTGAGGGACCTTGTCGGCAACAGCGGCAGGCAGGTTCGTCTGGACTGCCTCGTTAATCTTGGCGGCCGCCGCCGCGGGGTCGGTTGAGGGGGCCATTTTGTTGTGAAGGGAGGGGGGAGAGGAGGTTGGTTGGTGAGACCTCGAGGAGGGCGCGTGAGGGATGAGGATGCGACGAGACGGGCTACGCGAACAATTGGTGGTGAGATGAGAATGGTGAGATGTCTGCTGTTTCGACTGGATCTCTTCGACAAGAAAAATCAAGCGTCTCTGCGTGGCAGGTCGCGCGCGCGTCAAACGTGAGGTTTGGAGGAGGTGGTGGTGGTGGTAGTGGTGAAGGCGGAAAAGAGAAAGGGTTCCGTCGGCCCTCGCGAAACAGATCTTGAGCTTGCCCTGGAGCTACTAAGGCAGTAGCACTCGGTAGGTAGGTGCTAGATCGTGCCTGCACACTGCAATCCCGGTTACGTCACAGCCGCAGCCTCGGCACGTCTGTCGGTTGCTCTTTCCGAGGAGATGGGAGATGTTGTGGTGAAAACTACAGCGTTTTCTGAGGAGATATAGAGCAAACTGGCTATTTTTTCCAAATCAGTTTCAAAGACAAAAACTTGAAGAGTCAAGATGGAAGAATTGGTGGAACAGGAGATTTCCCCAACTCGTCACCCATTCACATGTCAACTCGCCCACGTTTTCGCACATTTCACAGTCCAAAGCCCCCTCCTCCCCCCAAGAATCGGACCCCATTCCCTAGGACCCTCCACACCCCTCCCCCCTTCCCCCAAAGAAAGCCCCAAGCGCCGGTCTCCCCAAAGCCCCCGGCCGAAGCTTCCCGTGCCTCGGTCGTTCGGCTCATTTCCCTTCTGAGCGGCCCTCTGTAAGCTCGACCTGCCCCTCCATCGTGGGGTTCGCCCAAATAGCGTGGGGGGGGGGGGGCGGTGAGCCGGGGAGGGTACTGTACACGGAAGAAAGAGCTGACCCAGCGCCAGCCAGATGCCATACGCCGAATGGTCAGCACCGTTCGACCGGCTGCGGCCAAAGTCCTGGAGGCGGCTTGGCCCAAGGCACGATGGCAGCCTGTATCGTCATTTGCACCTGTCACTTGATCCCGGCAAGGCTGCATGGCACACAGCTCCAAGCTCCCGGTCGGGCGGGCGGACCTCATCTTCCCCGTCCCACTGGTGACCTGCCATACGCGCGGTGCTGTGGCTTGCTTTTCTCCGGCGGTGTCGATCGTCGACAGGAGTAGAACGTGCCGAGCCCCCAAGCATCACTGATCGTCACAAGCTTACATTTCGACGGAGGGCAGTTGGGTATCCATATATATTTCTCTGCTGACAGGTCGTTTGTACTCATGCAATGATGAGAGAGGGTGAAAAAAAAATGTACACGTCTCTCCTAGTCCCTGACACGTGGAGAAGACAACTGAATAAACATGCACCTCCTGCGAAAGGTAGGGGAGGGGAAAGACCCTCCAACATTCGTTCGTGAAAACCAGAACACCGAGACAATGCCCAAAACTGCCTGCCTCTACGCACGTGTGAAACCAAACAACGCACCTCTCCAACAGGGCATCCGACTTGCAAAAAATAGGGAGACCAAACGGAATAAATCTAGTCCGTCTTGACCTCGTCTATGTGCCCGGCAAAGGTCGGCCGCGGCAACCTCGGAAACCCGCTCTAAAAGCCCCTCGGACTCACCACCGCCGGCGACAGCAGCCTGCCGGCGCCGCACCAGCAGTTTGTCTCACCCTCCCGCTCGACCTGCACGACAATGTCGATGTTGTGCGCCAGCAGGTGTTCCCTGACGCGGTCGCGCACATCGTCGATGGCCGCCCCGCGCGCCGCCTGCACGTGCACGATGCCGCGCAGCTTCTCGCCGGCGCCGCCCTGGGCCGTGAGGATGTCGTCGATCCAGAACTTGGGCACGCTGTAGCTCACGACGCCACGCTGCTGCGTGATACCTGCGAGCGTGTTGCGCAGGTTGTACTCGACGCGATCAGGGATGCTGAGGAGCAGGTTGCGCGCCGACGAGGTGAGAAGCGGCCAGGCTGCCAGCACAATGAGCACCGAGACGACAATACCCGCCACGGCGTCCCACCAGGTATAGCCCGTGTACATGGTCAGAATGGTTGAGATGGTCACGGCCACGCTGCCCATGAGGTCGGCAAGAACGTGGAGGAAGATGCCGTGCATGTTCTCGTTGTGGTGGCCATGGTCGTGGTCGTGGCTGTGATCGTGGCTGTGGTCATGGTCGTGGTCGTGGTGGTCGTCCGTTTTCTTGCTGCTGGGGCAAGAGCCTCCGCCATGCGAGTGTCCGTGATCGTGGCCGTGATGGTGGTGGTGACCGAAAGCCACGAGTCCCACGACGTTAACGAGGCCGCCGAGCACGCTGATAGTGAGCAGCTCGGACAGCCTCTTTGGTGGCGTCCCCTCCATCATGCGCTCAAACGCCTCCCCGATAATCTCGACGCTGAGAAGCCTGCATGATGCGCGTCAGCATGATTAAGCTTTCAGGCTGCACACGCGCCGGTACCATAAACTCACACTAGGAGAATGCCGTTGGCGAAACCGCTCAACGTCTCGACTTTGCCCAGGCCATAGGGGAACCGCTCGCTCGGTGGCCACTTGCTCATAACAGCGGCGCAGAGCCCGACCAACAAAGCGAAACAGTCGAAGAACATGTGGACTGTATCGCTCAGTAGGCCGAGTGAGCTCGTGGCATAGGCGTAAAAGGCCTGGACGCCCATGAAGGAGAAGTTGAGGCTGTGGATCAATGGGGTCAGTGCATGTTACAGACGACGGCGGGTGGCAGCAGTGGGCTGTACGTACGACAGGAAGTAGAAGATGCGCCGCGAGTCCTTCTCGACCAGAATCGAATGAAGGAAGGGGAAGCTTGGCGTGACGCGCAACAAGAGCTTGGAGAAGAAAGATGGGTTCGAATGACCGTGGCCATGGCTGTGGCCGTGTCCATGACCATGTGCATGATCATGGGAATGTCCGTGGCTGTGATTATGGTCGTGTCCATGATCATGGTCGTGATCGTGGCCGTGGTCGTGACCGTGGTCGTGATCGTGGCCGTGGTACTCGATCGTCTTCTCGCCAAACGAGTCAATCTTGGGGGTTATAATCTCCCGGCCGCCAGGCGTTCTCTCGGTCTGCCAGCCTTCTACCTGCGATAGCGGTGTCGGCGGCACCTTCTCGCGCAGGTGGATCGAGCTCGTCGAGTTTGGTCGGTGGGACGTGTGGCCGCCAATGACACGCGCCGAGGTGTGGCTGTGGTTCGGCCCATGGTCGTGGGAGTGCGAGCAGGTGCTCGAGTGGGTGTGGGAGTGTATTTCGGGGCGGGATTGAGGGTAGGATTCAGGCTTGTCGTGGGAGCCGGATCGATTGTGGGTGAGATGGGTGTAGGATGCGTGGTCATGGTCGTAATCGTGATCGTGGTTGTGTTGGTGTTGGTGGTCGTGGTGGTGATCGTGTGCGTGCCCAACACCCAAGCTCTGGCTGTGTGCGTGCAGCCCATTGCCAGTCATGGTGGACTTGAGGGTCTGGAGAGAGGGTGGGGAGTGCGAGTGGGAATGCATGTGTTGGCGGTGCGCGTGTGGCAGCGCGGACGAGGGCAGAGCATACGAAGATGCCATGTCGTACTGGGTGGGAGATGGGTGTTTGTGGTGATGCTGCGATGGTTCCGGAAGAGGCTAGCAAAGACTTTTTCTCGTTTGAACAGATCGGTTGTGGTCGTGGATCAGTTCGGGGACCAGAGGACTGGTCGAAGCTCGAGACGGTTTCCAACAGGGCTCGAGTCGTGGCAATGCAAAAGGCAAATGCTGGGTGGTGCAACGTCAGAAAGGAACTCTTTCTCTCTCTCTCTCTCTCTCTCTCTCTCTTCCTGTCTTTTCGTATCCACCAACCACCGAGCCAGTGTCTTGCAATGTTTCCTCCCCCCAATTGATGGAGAAAAAGGCTTGAACAGAGGCGTGTGCTCCGTGGTTGACGAGAACAGTTCGTGACACTGCGTCGCCACGGTTCTGGGGCCGGGGTTGGGGTGTCTTGGGTGTTTCCCCCCTCTTCTGTTCTGATCTAGAGGGCGGCTCGCCCCCTCCGACTGTCTCGCTCAAGCGACACAAGGCGTTCAGGGGTTCGACGATGACGAGGCTACAGGCAGTGGATGCGACAGGCGACCTTTTGTATTTTTTCCCTTCCGGTGCGAGAGGGGTCCTCGGATCTGGTGGTGGAAGGGCTGTACGGGCGGAGCACGATGAGGGATGACGGCGAGGAGGAGGAGGAGGAGGAGGGACAATCGTCGTCAGTTGGATTCCAGACGGGGCAACGTCGTCACTGTAAAGGCCGTGCCTGGAGGACCCAGGCGGAACAAATGTTTATGAAGAGCGAGGCGCGCCTCCGTCGTTTGCAAGGTGCCCCAGCTTGTCAGGTCCCGTGCAGAGGCGACCAGGAGGCCCAGGAGGCCAGCAGGTAGCGCGAATGTGGCCTGGCGGCGACTGGGCGGACGACTACCTCCCCCTTTCAGATGCCGCATCCCAGCCGCACCCCTGCAGGTTCCCTTCCCATTGTGGGGAGGTGCCTCGACACGTTCACGGCCGAGACGGCAGCCATTGGCCCTGTGAGCCCCCTGTAGGCCCCCTCTCCCCCTCTCCCCCTCCCCTGTGGACATGGCCAGAGAGGTGCATAGTGGCACTATGGAGACGCTGGCGGCAGGGCCGCTCCCCGCGATAATCTCTGTTGAGCGCAGCGGCTATACCTGCGCTCTTTGCCCTTGTTGCACTAACAGCAGCCATCTTGGCAAGCTTGGGCACTGATAGACCAAGGTCGTGGCGCTTTGCTGATCTGGGCAGCTCGATTGGCCATCGCGGGGCAACAGTACCAGCATAAACAACCTCACCGACTTGCTTTTGATCACGTCTTGCGCTCACGCTCTCCAGATAGATTGGGTTCATAGCTTTTTGGATCGGATCAATCGACGGATTCAGGACGAGGCACCGACTGTCGACCTCTGGCCCTCGACTGCCGACCGTGCGACCGTGCGACGCATCCGAATGACGGGCGCAGAGTTTATTGCCCCTGAAGTCCCAATGAGCCGGAGGCGTCGTGTTGAGGTTAGTCGAGCGCCTTGATGAGGTAATGTGGGTAGACGCGTCGAAAACGGCAATTGTCTCTCTCTCTCTCTCTCTCTCTCTCTCTCTCTCTTACGGTGTCTCTTGCAGTCGCTAGCGTCCTCTTCCGATGATGCTCCGACTCAAAGATAAGGACTTGCTTATCGCGCTTCCAGTTCCCTCCCACCGAAACTCACCGAGAAGTCATGATCTACATTTCACTGCATGTGCATGTGAAAGGGGTCTTCGGGTCTTTTCTCCAGAGGATCACGAGGGCCACGTCGCTGCCGTGAAATCACCAACTGCAATATACCCATGGCACTTTGTTCTGACTGCATTATCGCTGGCGACCGACACCACTCTTTCAACCACAGGCATCACGCCCATCCCCACAAGGCATTCTGAAATGACACCTGGCACGGGCGGCTCAAACTGACGAATTTCTCCTCTCACCAAGACAACCTGCGCTGCCGGCTTACACACGCAACATGGCTCTCGTCAACCTCATCACCTCCACGGCCCTGGTCACAATCTTCATGACCCTGGGCATTTTTTTCTACGCGCCTCACCTTGTTGGCTTCATACCCACGCGCTACGTCCCTTCAGCCGATGCCAGGGACGACCACATCCAGGTCCTCGTCCTCGGTGACGTTGGAAGGAGTCCACGGATGCAATACCATGCCCTCAGTGTCGTTAAAAATGGAGGGCGAGTTGATCTAGTCGGCTACAACGAGTCACCTCTTCACCCCCAACTCGTCGATCATGACCGGGCGACCCTCTATCCTTTGCCCGAGCTCCCTGCTCTCTTGAAGAACAAGAAGCTCCCCTTCTTCATCCTGGGCCCTCTCAAAGTCATTTGGCAGGCGTGTGCCACCTTCTATGTCATGGCCTACCAGGCTCCTGCGAGCCGCTGGATCATCATCCAGAACCCGCCCTCCATCCCAACCCTCCACCTGGCCCTCATCATCTCCGTCCTTCGAGGCAGCCACCTTCTCGTGGACTGGCACAACTACGGCTGGTCCATCCTGGCCACGACCCGCGGCCGCTCCAACCGCTTCGTACAGACCTACCTCGAATATGAGTCCTTCTTCGGCCGCATCACGCCAACGGCCAACCTCACCGTCACCGATGCCATGGCCCGCCAGCTCCGCAAACTTCCATACAGCTTTGAGAAGCCCATCTTCACCCTGCACGACCGTCCCGCCGACATCTTCCAGCCCATCCTCGACGCCACCACCCGTAGGAAGACCCTCGCCCGGGTCCTGGCCGCCGCCTCCGTCACCGACGCCACGACCTCGGCGCCCCTGGTCGACGGCATCCTGCGCGGCGACATTCGCCTCATCGTCAGCAGCACCTCCTGGACCCCCGACGAAGACTTCAACCTCCTCCTCTCGGCCCTCGTCGCCTATGCCGAGGGCGACCGCGCCGAGACGCGGCCCCTGCTCGCCATCATCACGGGCAAAGGCCCGCAAAAGGCCGCGTACGAGGACAAGATTCTGCGGCTCACGAGCGACGGGCGCCTCAGCGGCATCCAGATCAAGACGGCGTTCCTGACCATCGAGGACTACGCTGCGCTTCTTGCCGTCGCCGATCTCGGCGTCTGCCTGCACATGTCGAGCTCGGGCGTCGACCTGCCGATGAAGGTCGTCGACATGTTTGGCGCCGGCCTGCCTGTCGCGGCGTATTCTGACTATGAGAGCTTTGGCGAGCTGATCAAGGAGGGGGAGAATGGGTGTGGATTCGAGACGGCCGAGGATCTCGAGGCGGTGCTGAGACGGCTTCTCAGCGATGAAGGCAGAGACGAGCTCGCCTTCTTAAAGAGGGGGGCTGTGGAGGAGGGCCGGCTGCGGTGGGACACGGAGTGGGATCGAGTCGTTGGGAGGGTTGTCGGTCTGGTCGACCCTTGAGCTGTGTTGCTGTATTTTCGTACATCATCCGACTACGTAAACTTTCATGGGAGTCAAGATACTGTTTTGTCCCATGCGTCCGTTCCCTGTGCGGAGAATGGTGATCAAAGATGCGTAGAAGGCATGACAGGTGGGCTCTTGGTCATGCACCATGCTTGACGGGCATTAGCGCCCAACCCTGGGCAAAATGCATCTCGATGTGAACACGAAATCTTTGCTGATATGCCTCGAAACTCAGCAAAATTACATCCGTTCGTGGCGGGTGTGCAAATCGCAAAAAGTGATTCAGGGGAGGCTCGAACTCCCGACCTTCAGTGTGTTAGACTGACGTGATAAACCAACTACACCACCGAACCTATTGTTAGAGAAAGAGCCAAAAACATCATCTCATGTTGCCACAAATCCAAGGGGCCTCAGTCCGCTTTTGTTCGATGAGCTTGTGGGGGTCATGTTGATGGTGGGGGGCACGGCAACGACATCATCCCCATCTAAAGATACTGCACCTCTGGTAGCACTGTTGCATGACGCTTTATTCAAATTTCAGATGTTCTCAAAGGGAAGGGAAAATCCATAGAATGCTTTGAACCTTTGTTTGTCGGTTTTTACACATTTGTTCCGGCCGCTCTGTCCATCATGCTCGTAGTCTGCCTTGTTGGCCCATTTCCTGACCCTGGCATGAAACCAGGCCGCCTTCGTGGTACTAACAACGACTACGATGGTACGCAATATGTGACTGCCCAATACTATTAAGTCGTTACGGGTCTATTGGAAAGACTGTTTGTAGCCAAGCTATTGATGTATCAAACGGCGCGAGAGGCAGCCTGCAGCCTGTGGGCAGCCTCGCAAGGCATGCGGTGAAGCAGGTTGAAGGAAATAATAAAAGGACAGACTTTCTGTACTGTTGCCCAAACTGAACTCAACACAGACTCCATTTTTAATCCAGCTGACGCCAACGCTTTTGCCTGCTTTCTTCACCTGCTTTCTTCACCTGCTTCGATCGCCCCCTCCCAAACCCAACCGCCCGCACTATCACTCTCCAGAATGGGCAGCTTGACGATGACCGAACCTCCTGCTACTCTCGGTGACGAGGTTTACGTCAACATCATCGACAAGCTCCGAGAGTGCGGTATTGCTGACCAGGTTTCTCTCCCTCAACTTGTCGTGGTAGGTGACCAATCATCTGGCAAGAGCTCCGTGCTCGAGAGCTTGACAGGCTTCGCCTTCCCGCGTGCGGCTGGCCTCTGCACCAGATACGCGACTCAGATCACTTCTCGTCGTGACGACTCCGAAGGTATTGATGTATCCATCATCCCACACCCAAACTCCAGTGAGAGTCGCGCAGAACAGCTCAGGGGTTTTCGGCGTTCTATCAACACAGAAGATCTGGCTCTGGCCGAAGTGTTTGCCGACGTGAGTTGCTTGCCCTATTCATTCAAAGGCATTCATTTTACTCACTCCATGTCGAGGCAAACAACGCCATGGGCATCCGCGGAGACGGGGATGAACCTTCTTCGACAGACTTGACAACCTTCTCCGAGGATATTCTCAAGATCGTAATCAGTGGGCCTACCGTAAGCCAACCCACACGGGACGCTAACAATATCTTGACCATGTTAGGGACTGACATTGAGTGAACTCAGCAACAACATCTTACTATCATCGATGTTCCGGGTATCTTCCGCACCTCCACCGAGAATCTGACGACAGACAACGACATACTCCTTGTCAGGAACATGGTCATGAAATACATCACGGACCAGCGCACCATCATTCTTGCCGTTATTCCTTGCAATGTTGACATTGCAACACAAGAAGTCTTGACCATGGCCAAAGAGGTTGATCCGGACGGGGTACGCACCTTGGGCGTCCTCACCAAGCCTGATCTCGCCCCCGAAAAGGCCATGCAGCAAGCCATTTGCGACTTGATCCAGGGCCGGAAAAATCCACTGCGCTTGGGATACTACGTTGTGAAGAACCGTGGTTCCGACGATATCGGCAGCTCTCACAAGGCCGCTCAGCAGAAGTCGGAGCAGGTCTTCTTCTCTACGCCGCCGTGGGCAGACCTTCAGTCAACTCGCAGAGTCGGCACCACTGCTCTCTTGACAGCGCTAAGGGATCTCTTACGAAGCGTCACAAAGCAGGAGTTTAAGAATGTAGCTCTCGATGTGAAGAACAACCTCGCCAACAGGGAGGCTCGACTCGAAAGGCTCGGTCCGGCCAGAGATGGTTCGAATGCCCAGAGGCGGTGCCTTACTCAGATCAGCACCGCATTCCAAAGTATTGCTCAGAGAGGTCGCCAAGGTCTCTACAATGGAGTGGAGCTCTTTGCTAATGACCAGTCCCTGAAGCTCATCAGCCACCTTGTCAAGCTAAATGAAGCGTTCAGCAAGCAGTGCAATGACATTGGGCATACCCTGGAGTTTCAAGACCAAGACGTCGCAACGGTGGAAGCTTGCAAACGGGCAGATAAGGATTCATCAGATGAGGAATCATCAGATAAGGAATCATCAGATAAGGAATCACCAGATGAGGAATCACCAGATGAGGAATCAGAAGTGAGAGACTCACCTATGATGGACATGTTCCAGGGTCCATTCAAGGAACTTCGAGAAATCTTGCAGGAGAAGTTGCCGGTGGCCCCAACCAGCACCCGATTTACCTTGATGGAACAAATTGCGAGGATCTACGACTCCTCCCGAGGACCCGAACTTGGAACAGTATGTTGACGAGAACCCCGAGACCGATAAACTTGCACCCATAGCTAACATGAACACAATTAGTTTGGCGGCTCCGCTCTAGCAGAAGCCTTCCGACATCAGTCGCAGAAATGGGAGCCTTTGGCTCTGCGTTACACCAGCCAGGCCATCCGTATTGTACATCACTTCATCGTTGAGCTTTTGAAGGTGGTTTGTCCGGACGAGAGCATGCGCGGCCATCTCATGAGCATGGTCCTTCAACAGAAGTTGTGCAACTCATACAAACGCGCAATGAAGCATACCCAGTTCATCCTGGACATCGAGCGAAACGGCCCGCCCTACACGTTGAATCACTACTTCAACGAGAATCTACAGAAATGTCGCACGGCCAGACTTGCCGCCTCTATCAGAACACACTCTGTCTTACAGTCCTCAAGTTGGGATAAGCGAGGCGGTCAAAGTCGCAAGGTGGCCATCGATCCCTCGCAGCTGAGTCAGATCACGACGCACAAGTCAAACTCTTTGCAGGTTCACGAGGATATTCATGACATTCTGAAGAGCTATTACAAGGTAGCACGCAAGCGGTTTGTGGACGTGGTGTGCCAACAGAGCATCTTGTACTACCTCCTTGACGTCGGGGACGGCCCCCTGAACATCTTCACCCCTGAACTGGTCTCGGAGCTGGATGACAAGAAGCTGAATGCAGTTGCTGGCGAGGATTTTCTCACCCGAAACAATCGAGACCAGCTAGTGCGCGAGGTCGATAACTACAAGAAGGCAGCTGCTGTGCTTGAATTTGGGGGCTAGGTAAAGGCAAGGCCACTGATGCTGGGTCTACCTACACCGGCAATCCCTTGCTTCTAGACAGTTGTGCTTAGGTAGCTTAACATCATGAACAAGTGGATGGGAAAGACTCGATGCTGATGTTGTGGATGATGGTTTTTTGTAAGCATCCGTGAATGAGTAGCTACAGAACCCACGTCTTCTACCATCAGCACCAGTCACCCGTTTTCTTTTTGGCACAAGGGCATCTATCCTGGGGAACGTGTCACATTATCTTCTTTCTATTTTTCATGGCTGCTTCACTTTGGACAGCATCATGGTCCGCCCAGGCCAGCTCTATGGCCAACGCATCTCACCAGCGCGCCGGAAGTTGAATCCGGGGCAAATCATAGCTGGAAGTTGAGGGGCGGACAAAGGCTGCATCGAGCAGGGCAAATCATAATCTCATACACGACCGACATGATTGGTCAGGATCTACATTCCCCTCCTACCATGCCGTAATGTCCTCGACTTCTGCCTCGCCGAACGTGCTGCTCTTGGTTATCTTGCCGACGCCTTCCTCCTCGACTGACTGGCTCTCCTTGTCCATGATATCCGGCAAGACCTCTTTCAGAAAGGCGAGGACGTATTTGTTGACCTGCTCAAACTGCAGCAAGAAAGCATCGTGGCCTTCTGGACTGTCGATGCGCTCCAGCTTGCCGAGCTTGATGTGCTCGGCAATCTCCTCCTGCTCGGCAAAGGTGAAGAGGCCGTCGCTCTCAATGCCGAGAACGAGGGTGGGCTGCTCGATGAGGGCCAGCGCCTCGGCCACAGAATCCGCGCGACCTCGCGAGACGTCGTGCGTGTCCAGCTTGCGCGTCATGGCGATATAGCAGTTGCTGTCGAACCTCTTGACGAACTTGCCGCCCTGATAGCGCAGGTAGGACTGGGCCGAGAAGTACGTCGACGTTGGCAGTTTGTCGCCGCCGGTGAGGCTCTCCGTCTGGGGGCCGTGGAACTGCGGATCCGCCGTCGGCAGGACGGACGCGGCGTCGACGGTGGCCGGCGTGCCGATACTCGCCTGGCTGCCGCCGCTGTTGTGGCGAGACATGCCGGCGCGAGAGACGCGGTGGCCGTCGTTGTGGATGTGGAAGTGGGCGCCCGAGGGGGTCGTGGGCCGGGGCCTCTCGCGAATGACCTGCCTTTTTGAAGGGTCGGGGGTATTACGGCCGAAGCGCGACTCGAACGAGTTGCGGCTGCGGTAGGTCAGGAGGGCCGACATGCGAGCGGCACCAAGACCGGCAGCCGGGGGGTCCTCGAAGGTGTAGTAGCCATCCTCATACTTGGGATCGGCGTAGATGCTCTGGCGCTGAGCCTCGCCCCAGCTGATGCCCCAGGCACTGTGTCGACTGGAGGTGGCGATGGGGACAATGCAGCGGATGTAGTCCTTGCCAAAGTAAGCCCATTCGAGGACGAACATACCGCCGAGAGAACCACCAATGACAGCTGCTACTTGCTTGACGCCAAGTTCATCGAGGAGGAGCCTGTGAAGACTGCCGCACTGTTAGAGACACCCTCTCGTAGACACATGATATCGCGTGCGACTTTTCTCGGAGGTGGCGGGCAAATTCTCACTTGACATCGTCCCTGATGGTGGTCAGGGGGAATTCAGGGCCATATCGGCCCTTGGACGGATCACCATCCTTTGCCGTGACAGGACTTGCTGTGCCATATGGGCTGCCGAGGCTGTTCATGCAGACGACGAAGAATCTCGACGTGTCGAAGGACCTCCCTGGGCCGCCGAGCAAAGGACCCCACCAGTCGCTGACATCTGCGCTTCCCGTCAGGGCGTGGCAGATGACCATGGCATTGTCCCCATTGGAATTGAGCGTTCCCCTTGTTGTGTACGCCACGGGGACATTGTAGAGCGTCACCCCAGACTCGAGTGTGAAGGAGGGGATGATGGCGATTTGCTGCTCGGGAATGAGACCAGCGAACGGGTTCTCAGGCTGCGTTTGCGTTCTTTCTTGGAAGTATTCAGTCACTGGTCTTCTCAAACTATACTCCACGCCACGACCGTAAGATCAGGAGTGAAGAGTGGGACGGAGGATTGATACAGTGAGGTGAGGGGTGAAAGCACGAGCATGAGAATACTGACCGAATCGTGGCCGGTCATCGGCCTCCTGAGTTTGAACCGCCATCGTGGAAGGGACCCTGTCTTTCCAACAAGGCAGTGTTGCTATGCAGACTAAAAAGCCAAGTTGACGGAAACCGGCGGATCTATCCTCTACTATGCCAGGTGCTTCCGATGTACTACAAGTCTGTCACGTTGAGTCATTTGGCAACACAGCTTGATCGGGATGCCGAAACTGATGGAGCCAGAAGCGTCATCACGCAATCCAGACGGGATAGCCTCTTATTGGTTCTCAGCACGCATGAGTCAGCAAACAGCCGTCTTCCGGAGTTGCATCCTTGGGACTGTCTTGGGGACCTTGGTCAGTGTGCTCTGGCCAGCGAAAAGTCAAGTCCCCGGAACCTTGAGATCCACTCCACTGAGTTCAGCCTCGCCATTCGGCAGGCTCCTTTCTTTTTGGTCTCCACCTGCCCTTGCTTGCTCCTGCTCTGGCTCTTGCTCTTGCTCTGCGCGACGAATGGATTTCTTAGGCGGACCCCAACCGCAACTGCCTCGCAGCCATCGTGTCGACGACCACATCACAACCTCCCTCCACCTCAGGTTCGTCGAGGATCTCCATCACCTTGACCTCGCGCCTGCCTTCCGCTGCCTTTTCGCAATCTGGTGCAGCTGGTCGTGTGACGTCTACGACTTCTTTGCGACCTACCTAGGCAGCCGACCCGTGCCTTTATTCCGCCACACTCGGTCGCCAACGGAGCTTCGAAACCGCCCCGTCAAGCTTCGCGTTCCACTCCGATTTTCTTTGTCGACCCATTTCACCAATCCCCATACCGACACCAATATCAGCAGCCCAATCGCATGCTGTCATAACCTGTTGACCTGGTACGAGAACCCGTCGTCTTGTCGCGCGTCTCTCGACTCTGCCCTCCCTTACTGATCGCCAGGCTAGTCATCTCGGCAACTGCTGTCGACACGTACACATACGCATCTGCTCCTCTCACCAATGAGCCCGTGACCCGCCCATCGCCAGAGCAGCCTCACAATGGCTCCCGCCAAGCGCAAGCGACCCGATCAATCTTTCGACGGCAACCGACCCTCGCCCCACCGACCTGCAGATACCGCCATGGGTCAACGCGGTCGAGATGGCCACGATGGTGGTGGAAGAGGTGGCCGTGGTGGCGGCAGGAACGGCAGGAGGAACGATCGTCGCGACTCGACGCAGAACCAGGCTGGACAAGGCGCTCCCTACCACCATCATCAACAATACGCTTCTTCACCGACGACCTCTCGCCACCAGACGCCACGAGCACCAGCCGCCGCCGCCGCCGCCGCCGCCGCCCCGCCTGCTCCTCCTGTGGAACAGCCCCCTCCTGCCGCACCTGCGCCAGCAGCGACTCTCCCGGCACCGATTTCATCCAACTACCCCTATGAGATTCTCACCGATGACAAGATTGCGTCCTGGGACAGCGGTTCGAGGCAAGCTCTCATCGAACACGGCGTGCAGTCAAGACAGGATGTCGACATCACCGAGCTGTCCAGCCTTTTCCAGGAATTCGTGCAGTCAGTTGCCGAATACCGCCTCAACCCTACTGATGCCGGCGCCTGTGTCAAAGAGATCCTTGGCCCGGAAACGAAGGAGGTTATTAAAGATTCTTACTCGTTCGAGCCACACACGCTCTTGCTGGACACGATAACCATCATCATGGACAACCAACCCGACCTTTGTATCCCGGATTTTCGGGACTTCCTCATTGCGACGGCCATATCGCCGACGCTCATCCGCCAAGTGCTGGATGCCCCTCTTCTTCAGAAACTCGGCCTTATCCGGGAGGTTTTTGGCAAGATGGCCATTCGTCACTCCACCAACATGCTTTACCGGCAGGCCAACTACAACCTGCTGAGAGAAGAGTCGGAAGGTTACTCAAAACTGGTGACCGAGCTATTTTCATGCGTTGATGACTACGACACACCCACGACCAGGGAGGCCGAGGCTGCTTTCGAGAAGATCAAGGGGCTTATTGGAACCTTTGATCTCGATGTTGGCAGAGTGCTTGACGTCGCCCTCGATGTTCACGCCACGTCTCTAGTCAAAGCCAGCAAGTTCTTCGTGAAGCTCCTGCGCGTCAGTTCATGGTGGCCTCGGAGTAACACGCCTTTCGATGCCATCATTCAGGGTGGCCTTCCCGACTGGGCTCTTCCTCTCCCCTCCGAACTGGATGAGTCTGCTATTGCCGAGGTGAGGCGCCAAAGGGACATCGGATTCTGGGAAAGAGCACGGGAAAAGCAGATCCAGGCCTTTTTCGAACTCGGTGGCCGACGAGCGTCAGAGCAGGATCTCGAGCGCGCTGCAGCCGATACTGCTGGCGCCGCGACTGAAGGCGAGGCCCTGAGATCGTGGATCACGGCCACCCGCACGCTTCCCCCCCAAGGGAATCGTGTCGCTGCACAACTTTTGGGCTTCAAACTTCGATTTTATGCGTCCGATTTCAGGGAAGGGCAAGCTCTCCCTGCCAACCTGCTTTACTTGGCAGCTCTGCTCATCAAGATTGGCTTCATTTCTCTGATCGACCTCTACGCACATCTCTTTCCTTACGACGATGACATGCATTCCTTCCGAGACAAACGGATCAAGCAACTCGAAGAAAAAGAACGCGAAAGCCGCGGCGAGGCTAGCAAGAATGCTCTCCTAACCGCTGGTGCACTCTCTGACGACACCCTGCCCCCTCCAGTACGATCCAGGGATACGACCACCAGACCGAAAGCAGCCTCGAAACCTGACCAGGCGGAAGGCGCGGACAAGAAGGAAGAAGATGAGCCCCATGAGCAAAAGGGTGCCCTGGTCATCAGCCTTCTGACCATCGGGGCCATCCCCGAAGCTCTCTTTCTGATCGGCCGCTGGCCCTGGCTGCTACAAGGCTACGCCGACATCACAAGCCGGGTGAACAGGATCTTGGAGTATTCCATCGACAAACTCTACCAAGAAACCCGACCCACCACAACATCCTCCATGGCGTGCCCCCCGAAGAAGGTGGCCGATTCAGACCAGAGCGGCGTCACGAAAGGTTCAGTCCGGCGATCCGAAATCCCCATTCGAAAATCTATGCGATGGCCATGGCCAGATGGCCGCCTCGGCGTCAGTGATCAGCACTACAGGTTCTACTGGGACGAATGGTCCGACAACGTTCCAGTCTGCCAAACAGTCGACGACGTATTCACCCTTTCCTCGTCGCTTCTCAACATTGCAGGCGTCAACATTGGCAAAAGCGAGCAGCTCCTTGTCATGTTGGCGAGCATTGGACAGAAGAGCCTGGCAGAGGATCAGTCGAAACACAACCTAGACCGGTGGCAGGACCTCCTCCGCCGTATCCTGGTGCCTGCTCTGAGCACGTCAAAGGGTGCTCCCGCGACAGCCAACCTTGTCTGGTCTCTGCTGAAACAGTACCCTATTGCTACTCGGTATAGCATCTACGCAGACTGGTTCGAGGGGGCCCCCAACCGCGGCTCGGAAGTACGTCGAGCCGCCATGGTCAAGGCCTTTGCCGACACGAAGTCTAAGGCACAAGGTGTCATGAAGCGTATCTCTAAGGATAATGCCGTGGAGATGGGAAGAGCCCTCGCAAAACTCACGCATTCCTCCCCCGGCGTTGTTTTCAAGGTCGCACTCGAGCTAATGATGTCTTACGGCAATCTGAGTGACGTCTTCGCAGAGTGTGTCCGCTTCTTCACCGACTTAACCAAGGACGTGATGATCTGGTCGCTGCTGTCTGCCCTCGGCAGCAATCAGCGGAGTCGTACACAGGCATCCTACATCCTGTCCATCAGCCCATGGCTGCTTGAGCTGTCGAAGCTTACGGGCAAGCTCTTCAAGCGTTATCGAGAGCTGGACGCGACACCCATCCTTCGCTATGTGCATGACCAGCTGCTACATGGTAACTCGACAGATTTGATCATCCTCTCGGAGCTGGTTGATGCAATGGGCGGTATCGTCAACACTGCCGATATCGGATATGACGAAGTCATCGCCATGTCCGGCATGGCCTTGCTTCAGCGACGAACGTTGATCAGCCTTCAAGATCGTCGCTTTGAGCCAGCTGTCATTGCGAGCGCGAAACGCCTGACGCATGCCCTTGTTGACTCTCGCCTAGCTGGACGTCTGCTAGTTAACATTGCCCAGTTCAGACAGTCTGCTACTTTCAGACTCTCGGACGACGGCGCGCACGTCAAATACCTTTCGTCACTTATGGACAACAGTCACCAGATCTTGGTTCAGTATCTTGATCTCTTGCGCGCGAACCTTGAGCCTGCCGAATTTGACCGACTCGTGCCCAGCATCAGCCAACTCATGGCGGAATTCGGTCTCGACGCTAGCTTCGCCTTCTCCATTGGCCGCGAGAGTCTTGCTGCTCACATCTTCTCCAAACCAACAACCGCGCCAAAACAAAGTTCGCAATCAGCGCCAGATGCTGAAGGCGATGTGTCCATGGGCGATGATGCGATAGCCACCGAGCCTGCCCCGGACACCACGAAACCCGAGACACCCGCTCCGGAAACGCCAGGGGAAGCTCATGTTACCGCGGCCACTAGTTTTGATGCACTGAATCCCATTGTCGAATCCCTTCGCTCAACAACACCAGAAAGCGCCTGGCAAAAGATCAGTATTGAGTTCTTTGCCATTTTCTGGGCCCTTCAGCTCGGTGATCTTGGGGTTCCTTGGGCACCTTACCATGCTCAGCAAGCTCGTCTGCAAGAACAGTACCGGCAAGTCACGAAAGATCGCAAGCTTTTGCAAGCCCAGAAGAGTGCAAAACAAAAGGAACTGAAGGACACCATGGATACTTTCATCAAGGAAAGCACCCAACAGTCCGAGAGAGTCGCCAAGGCAAAGGTCCTCATCACCAAGCGTATGGACACCTGGTTCATGGGTGAGCCGCTTAAACCTAACGGTGTTTCTGATGCCATCCTCGAACAATGTCTCCTTCCTCGAATCATTCTCTCCAAGATCGATTCCGAGTACTCTTTTGCCCTCATCAAGTACATCCATGAACTCTCGTGCCCTAACTTCCGTCTCATGGCACTGTACGACCGCCTCTTCAAGGCCAACAGGCTGCGCGGCATGCTCTTCACTTGCACTGTACAGGAGGGCGTGTACCTCGGTCACTTCTTCCACCTCATACTGCGCGAGCTCAACAAATGGCACAAGTCCAGCGCCGACTACGAAAAGGAGGCCATTGGCAAGAGCAAGAGGTCCGGTGGCTACCTTGGGTTTGCGACTGCATTCGATGAAGAAGGTCACCCGACATCCCACCTCGACCACGCAGAGTTCCAGGACGTGCTGTATGGGTGGCACAAAAACATCAACTTGGCCCTCAAGGCCTGTCTTTCTGGCACCGAATGGACTCACATCCGCAACGCCATCTCATTCTTAACCGAGGCCCATGAAGACTTCCCCGCGGTCACGTTCATGGGCACCCAACTCCAGAGCCAGCTTAAGACTATCGTTGCACGCGAAAAGAATCTCAGAGGCGATCTGTGGCTTACGGCACAGCGCGTCCTGGGCAACATGGCTAAGATGGAAAAGACTTGGATTGCACCGCAAGCCTTCCGGACAAACTTGGTATGCACGATCCCAACAAACTCTACTACCGCGGCCACCACTAACCTTTTGGCGATACAGTCCACGCAAAGCGCTGCTCAAGGCAATGAGGACGAGCAAGCATCCAGCTCAGGCGGTAGTCTCCGAGCCACTGCACCAGAGTTTCGACCCTCGTAAGTTCAGCGCACATACCCAAGGAGATTCCGACAATTCTGACGATTTCATCAGACCCCAGAACGAGGACGGCGAAGTGCAGGATGGGAAAGCTTCTTTTCCGCAGCGTTCGACATCGACTCGAAGGGAAGCCAAAGGTACTCCTCAGTCTAATCAGAGGGATTCTCCCCGGCTTCCGGTTTCTACGCCGAGTGGCCCGAAGCCCATGCATGGCGCGTTGTCTCACAACCGGTCCTCTACACCGAACCCGTCGGAGACGCTGCCTCATGCTCCGGGTTCATCGAACAGGGATCCAAGACACCCGAATATGCCATCAAACCGAAACGCGTCCAGTCTTCCCCGCGGACCAGGTCTTCCACAGCGACCCCCTGGCCCTATCCCAGAACACCAGCCATTGAATCGCTTTACACCAGCAGGACCTAATGATCGCCGAGATGTCAGGGACCATAGAGACCCCCGCGCGCCTAGAGACAGCCGAGATGCCCGCGAATCCCGAGACCAACGCGACACCAGAGACTCCAAGGAGCCCAAGGGTGGAGACGTTTCTCGACAAGAAAGTAGCCGTGAGAACTCAAGACCTGAGCGCCGCGGCCCAGATTTATCTTCGAGAGATAGTGGTCGGCTGTCCGAAGGCGATCGACCTCCTCGCCGCGACCATCTTCAAAGCGGTCGAGAAGCCGAAACGTCGAAGGAGAGGTTGCCGCAGAGCACCAACCAAGGCCCTGACGTCGACAGGTCCGGTCGTGAGGCTGGGACACCCGTGGGTGGCTCTACGGCAGCAATCGAGCCGCCCATCAATCCTGCGCGTGCAGCCTTGTTTCAGAACGACACCCCCTCCCGTACCGAGCGACCTGATCGTGAACGATCTCGAGCGCGGGACGGTGAACAAAGAGGAGCGCAGCGTCATCAAGGGCCGGAAGGGCCGGAGCATGACCGTTCAGAAATCATGAACCTTGAGCGACCCGTTCTGTTCGGCGATGGGCGACAGGAGCCATTGCCCCGACAACCGCGCGACGATCCTCGTGAACGAGATCGTGCACCGCGAAAAGACTCACCTGCACGAGGTGGCCGTGTCCACCCCGACCGACTTTCCTCAGATCCCTTCAGAGACGCGGTCCGGGAGGAGCAGTTCGGCCGCCCTACTCATCCTACAGATGCCCGGAACCCTAGGAACCCACGGGACTCCAGAGACCCCAGAGACCCCAGGGATCACAGAACAGACGATCCCAGAGCTTCGTTCCAAAGAGGCCCTGAGAGGGACAGTGCATTTAGTGGCTTAGACAGCAACACCACGCGGGAAGCCTTCCTTTCCAGGGCCGAACGCGACAACGGGCGGCCCAAGCAAGACGACCAATATGGACGCCTCAACAGCAACTATCCGATTGCCTCAGTCGTTGATGCCCCTTCAGGCCCTAGAGGGCGAGGCGCACGACCGAACCCGAGGAACAACTTCAACACACCGCCTCCACCACCGCCCCGCGGTGATAGCCGCCTTCCTCGTACCGGTAGCCCCGGCGCCTCCACTGCTGATGATCGACACCCTCCGGCGGGACCGTCGTCAGGCCGAGGACATCGCGGTCAGAATGCCTCGGGTTCTACACCCAACTCGAACGCGGTGACACCGTCAGAGCGATCATGGCAGGGGCCTGTCGACACTCCGGTCTCCGCATCTCGGCCCTCGGACAGTGCCACAGCTGCTCCCGGCGTGCATCCTGATCGTTTGGCACAGATGGGTCCACCGCCACCTGTGTCCGTTGGGGACGCTCATTCACGTCAACCCACAAGCACCCCAGACCGGCCGCTGCCTTCGGGTCAAGGATCCCATCATATCCCTTCTGGGAACTTCAACGGGCCGACCCCTGACTTTGCAACTCCCACCGGGCCCGCCTCAGGAGGTGGCCGAAAGCAGGGTGGCAGAAGACAGCTTGAGGGTATCAACAGCACACTGCAACAGGCCCAAGGCAGACCTGATCCTGTCAAGGGCACGGCCATCCGAGGCAGGAGCAGTCGGACTAATCTGGCCAACTCGGATGCTCAGATTCTGACGGGAGGGTCGCCGGTGTCGGCGCCAGCCCACGAAGAGCACCAGGATCCTCTTCAGTCGTCTGACAAGAGGCCCTATGAGGGCGACGATCATGGCCGGGGCGAGCACGAGCGCGGTCGTAGGGAGCGCGATCGCTCTGAACGATCTGGTCGACCATCTAGGAGAAGCAGCAGAGAGCGTCAGCGTAGCCCTGGAGGCCACGAGCGGGAGGGTAAGGACAGTCGCTCACACCGGGACCGACGTTCGGGCGCTGCAGGCCATGGCTCGTCCTCTCGAGACGAGCATGAGCCCAGACGTTCTACGCGTGATCCGAGTGGCGGCCACCCCCGGGAGTCGCAGACAGGCGCGCTGCCTCCGAACAATAGGGACGGCGCCCCCCGCGATTCTCGTCATCGAGGCGATCGGGGTGATATGGGACCAGGAGGTCTCGTGGCGGAGGAGTGGAACGGGAGTGCCTCAAGGCACCAACGGAGCGGGCAGAGAGACTCTGTGCTCAGACCGCCGGACGATCGTCGCGACCCGCGGGACAACAGCAGGAAACGGAGGAGTGAGGACGCGAACGGGTTCTCAGTGGAAAAGAGGCAGAGGCGTTAGGAACTGCCTCAAGTCCAGCACTACCGAAATCACCACTATTAGGTGCTTCGATATTGGACGGTGCTACATCTCGACGGTGGCCGGTGGCCGGCAGCCGAGGCGGCGTGCAAGGACGGAACCGGACGCTCGGTGCTAGATCGTCAGCGCTGGAGCGGACCGAAGGACGGAGTGGTCGCGTCAACGAAACGGAAAGAATTTGCTACCAGTACCTATTTTACTTTGTTCAGTCGCAGGCCCCGAGGCCCCGGATTTCACGACAGGTCTCGAGGGGTTGATTCAACCATACATGTTTCCGCCGAGCGGAGGCGGGCGACGACTCCAGTCGTTTTTGTCACACTATTATTCAGCGAAATTCAGTCTCCTCTTTATGGAATCACTTCAAGATACCCTACTCAGCAACGTTTTTATGATATGACTAGAAGTGGCAGGCAGAGGCAGGCAGGCAGGCAGGCAGGCAGAGCAAGGGGTGGCGATGACTTGCTGGGGTGATGGACCGCTTGCTGCCTGGAAAAAGAGGTGTTGTGAGGTTGGACGCTGTACCATTACCATGTACGATGTGTACCACCATGTCATTGCTTGCCGTCACGGCATGAAAAAGGATGAAGGGGAAGGAAGTGGTGAGATGGAAGGTTCACGTGAAGATGTAACAAAACAGGATCATAGAGAGAATGAAAAGGGTGTGGCGTACGCTACATCGATGGAACGGTTGACTGCTGCTACCGCGGGGGAGCTGCGAGCAGGCCATGTTCTCTTTCATGGACGTGATCGTGGAGAGGACTAGGCAGGCAGTAGGCTGTTGGGATTGAGTGCATTTACACACGGGACATGTGGCAACGCTGTGTACACGATGCATCGTGGCTGAAATCATCAGTGAGTGACCAGGCCTGAGGGACATCCCAGCTAGCACAACGCGAAGTTGAAAGTAAAGGTCAACAGACATGTCCGGCCGGCCATGACAGCAACCAACATGGAATTTAGGACCTCGCACGTCTGCAGCCCAAACGCCACCTCTGTATAAGGTACATCGAGAAAGGAGATCTAGGTAAGGGAAAAACCCCGCAACGCCAGCACATGCACGCTCATGACCAAATCCCCCTTCATCACAACAAGCGATCGATCGCCGCCCCCCCCGAGCCTCACTCAATCTGGCTGCCACGCACGCTGCGCCCGGAATGGCACGCCCGCACGTGCTGCGCGGCCAATGATGACCAAAAAACCCACCACATCAAGCGACGGAACCAGACACGCCCCTCACCGTCCCTTCGAGATCTCCGGTCCCCAAACAGCCCGAAGTCAGCCAAGGCACGGAATCACGGCAAACAGAGATCTTCAATCGCGATCGCGAGATGCGGAAAGAGGACCTTCCCGCTGCCTGCCGCCCATTCTGCACGCCCCTGATGATCACGATGAGCATCATTCGCATGAAACCGCCACATGCGTAATAAAGAACGCACGTCTCCCGAAAGCCGCCCATTTCGAATCCGTCGGGGACCAACAAAAACGCGGTTTGCACAAGTCGTACTCCCTCTCTCTAACAACGAAGTGCAGCGCTAATGGCCGTGGTAAAGATCGGCGCGCCCCAGGCTGCGAGTCGATCCTCATCTCTGGGCAAACGAACCGATGTGGGTACGTACCCTGTTTTCTCTCCTGGCTCTCGCGCGTGCACGCCTCAATGTGACAAACACGGCTGGAAAAAGACGGGTACAATGATGGAATAGCAGTGGACCCGAACCCAATCGATGAGTTGGGGTAACCTCGTCTTCAATCTGGCGTTTCCGATAGTGGCATGGTGATGATGTGTGTGGCAGGCTTGATGTCAACGCCCGTCACCCACCAATCCAGCCGAGAGAGCTCACGTTTGGCGACGTTCTAGAAAGCGGGAGCGGTGGGGCCAGCAGCGTCAGATTGATGAAAAGTGGCTGCGGATATGCGGTCTCTTCCAACGAACGTAGGAATCTAATCGACGGCAGGCACAGACGGGTGTGTCTCTAGAGGTCAAAATCGAGACCGCGGGCCGCGAGCCCCTTGTTCCGCGCCAGCACGGCATCGACGAGGGCGCGGCCGGGGAAGTCGATGATGACGACGCCGGTGCGGCCGCCGGTGCCGGTTTCGCTGCCGCGATCGAGCCAACGGCCCGTCTGGTCGTTGATGCCCTCGACGGAGCCATTGATGCCGCCAGCGGCGGCCTGAATGGGCAGCACGCCGACGGTGGCGCTGAGGTGGGCGAGGTAGAGGGCGGCGTTGACGTCGTTGGCCGGATCGGCAGCGCTGGTGAGGGCGTGCTCGACGGCGTCCCACTTCATGTACAGGTGCTCGAGGCTCGGGATGATCCAGAGGTCCTCGAGGATCATGTCCTTGGACCCCCAGACGAGACCGTGGGGCCCGGACTGGGGCGCGGCAAAGTTCTGCAGCAGAAGGATGCCGGAGCGCAGGGTGCCGAGCGTGGGCAGCGGCCAGAAGGCCTTGGCCTGGGGTGCGTAGAAGCGGTGCTTCTGGCCTTCGGCTTCGATGTGCTGGAGGAAGGCCTGCTCAAACGTGATCGTGTTGGTGCCGTGCGGACGGCCTTCTTCCTTGAGGCGCATGATGATGGCCTCGCTCGGGAAAGCATCGAGGAAGGCGGACACGGTGGTGAGGACGTCGACGAAGGAGTAGCCGGTGAACATCTCGGCGTGGTAGATCTGAATAGCATCGTCGACTAGACGGCCGCGAACGTCGAGGTAGCGCATGCCAGCCCGCAGCTGCGCCGACAGGTTGTTGTTCTGACATTGGAAGAGCTCATCGCGAATGTCAAAGGTGAGAGTGTCGTGCGTGCCCGGTATGGAAAGACTCGTGATATTGGCGTCATCAGGGATAGTCTTCATCCAGTCTGGGTGCAGGGCCTCGTCGACGTCAAAAGAGTATTCGGAGAGATAACCGCGGTAGCAGTTGTCTTTGCTGTAGACAAAGGCGCATGGTGAGAGCGAGATGAGATCGGAAAATGTATAGAGCAGCAGGAGAATGCCAGAGAAGGTGTAGAAGATGGCCCAGAGGAAGCGCCGTGACCTGGGTAGAGCCATGGCAGGGGGCAACACTGTTTACCAAAGGGTGTTTGCCCGTGGTTGAAGAGGAATTGCCAGTCTGCGATGAGTTTTTGTGGCAGCAGCGGTTGGTGTAGGCAGCAGCTTGAGTGGAAGAGGGACGCAGCTTCTTTTCAGGTTCGAGGCCCGCCACCTAAAACGCTCGAAAGATGCAGCAACAGCGGCGAATGGACGTGACAGGCTTTGCACAAAAACAAAAAGACAGGATATGATACAATGCTGTGGAAACAACGAGTGCCGAATGTTCCTCCCGATTCAAGTGGTAGCAAGTCGAAAGGCCCTCTGAGATGGCGATGCAGTGGCTGGTGTATTGAATGTCGTCGCTCAGATGTTGATTGACCTGCACCCGGTTCAGCCGACCCAGTTGGTTGACGGTGGCAGGTGACATGGATGGAGGCCCCGCAGCCAGTGACCAGCGCACGGGGTTCGCTCCTTTCCTTCGAGGCCGTCTGACTGGACGGTCGCGTCATTGGTATAACGCAGAAAGGTTGATCCGAACCACGCCTGTCGCCAATGCGTGCACAATGCACAATGCACAATGCACACCCTGAAGAAGCCGTTCCGGCCTCGACCCCGCCGTAGGTGTCATCCGCCCCCTGTAACCTGCTGGCTGCTGCAGGCGGACGTCGGCGGGCGGGTGCCCTGACATCACCGGCTCCAGCGCCCTCTGGCCCCCCCGAGAAGTTCCCAATTTCGGGTTATTGGCTTCGGGGCCATCGCCGACCGGCGACCTGGGCATCCGGGGTCAGATTGACGGTGCCATTCGATGTTACGATATTCGACTCACGCCGTCGATGGAATGCTTGACGAGATTTTTGTCTTGTTACTCAATGGGTTCTGGTCCATGATTTTTTTATTGTTTTTTTATTGTTTTTTCGCACGACGTACTCAAGCCTGACTGACTCTGCTCTCTCGCGGAATCCCCCCACAGTTGGCGCCTCGCCCATCGTCAGAAAGCCCACTCGACACCACACACCCACGCGCCACGCCAAACAGTCGACGGCAGTTGACGACAGTCAGAACGAGGCGTCCTCAAGGTATCCCACATTCCCGATCCGAGGCCCAGATCGAACCCCCAATCTGTTGGGGGACGCGGACCACCCACCGCGTTCCAAACCAGTCCTGGAGCTAGAGAACTATGCAGCAAGCGTAGGATTAGCAAGCTCCAGCCTGTTACACCCACCCAGCGACGAACGACCACCAGTTCGTACTCTTGGTTCAGTAGGCGGCATACATGTACCCCCCTCCCTCTCTGACACGATGAAGCACGGCCTCCACGCAGTGGCCAGCGCAAGAAGCTCTCCGGTTTCAGAACACTGGTGTCATCCGCACGGCTCTCGTGTGCCGGTCTATCGTCGATCGCTGTTCGGTGGCCGTTGCCAGAGCCGGATTGGTCTGGACAAGTTCGACGGCGAAAGTTATCACGCTTTGTGATCTGCCGTTGCCATCGTGTCAGAGCTCAGCCGTCAAAAGCGGGTGACAGCGTTCGCTGCCTTGATTCGAGAGTCTGAATGGCAGTCCCTTTTGGGGCGGTGGCTGCGGTTGTGAAGATGCTGTGCTACGCAACGTGCAGCCGACACCATGACAGCCTGTCGTGTGTTGCGGGGAAAGCTGGGCCCTGACACATGGTGGCACGAGAAGCGTCGTGATCACCAGCAATGTTGACCTCTGGGCGCTGAGCCGAGGTCTGCTTCAGAAAATCACATACTGATGCGCAGCCCAACGTTTTCAACGTGACAAGAGTGCGGGGAAAGGGAGTACAGAACGATGGCAGAAGCGCATGCCACTTGGCGAAGGGCCGATAGGGAGAGCTTATTGGTGTTTCTGCCAATTGATATGGGCGCGCCAGCCCACTACCAAGTTGCATTCCAGATCCAGATTTCCTCCGTCTTGTCTACTTCTTTCCTTTCTGACCTTTGGCTCGGAAAGCTCAGAATAAATGCTGCACCAGCCGTTGACGCTGTCGATATGTCATGGCACCGACATGTCGTGGCACCGTCATTGACTCAACGTGCAGGCTCTCAGCGTGCTTGCGGGGCCACCGTGATGGCCACTAACCAGAGCCGCACCAGTGGAAGGAGGCTCTTTTGTGGGTGGGTGCATGCCCCGGTTGCAAGACGCGAGACGCCATGGACGCCTCTCGGGCTGAAGGGAGGGTGTTGTCAACAGATTCTGGGAAGCCATTGACGAATGGCAGAACAAGATGGCACCGCGGATTGATTGGCTTGAATTCAAGACAAGAAGGAAGAGGGTGTGTGGTGGTATGCATGCAGAGATGGCTCACTGATACGAGGACCCCTCAAACCCCCAATCCATCAATCACATGGGTGTGATGCTCTCTAGCAGTCATGCAGCGACTGCAGCATCGACTGCATGAGCAGAAAAATTGAGGGTATTCGGACTGCAGGGCCTGGTTGTCGTCGTCATGATGTGTGGCTGGCTCTTCGTCATCAACAACGCTTGACCTCTTTCACGTATCCAAGCGACCGTGCGAAACGTCGCTTCCGTGACGAGACAGGTTTGGGTCTCAGAGTCTGTGTGTGGCCGGGTCAACGGCGAATGTAGGAGAGAGAAAATGAACAGGTACGATGCTACCACAAGGCGCTACAGCGGCGTGGTAGACTGGTTCATCAGATCATGTCCAACATCTGCGTGGCCAGCGAGATTGCCAAGGTCGGTCCTGTTCAAGGACTGCTGCCAGGGGTGGGAGGCGTTTCTAGGCTAGTGGTTCAGAAAACGAGGCAATCGGGCGGGCTGTTAACGCTGGCACCCCTGCAATTAGCTGGACGCGCAATGAGGCTTGTATGCGCTATTCCCAATATTCACTGATCAGTTTCTACGGCTTGTCCGTTGTGGTCTGCAGGCCAGGCCAATATCTACAAAGACGACCGGAATTGGCACCAGCGCCGTGTGGTCGGGGAAAAGACGCATGAACCCTATTCCCTTGACGATGGCACCCATGCCCATGCTATTGTTATCGTGGGGATGGGAGCTGAGGCGTGCTGAGGAATGTGATCCCTGGGGAAGATCTGGGGGTCGGCAAGTATTGTCTACAAGAACGTGGGCGCAGACGGAAGAAAGAATGATTTTAGGGATACGATGCAATCGAGCTGCGGGCGGCAACGAGCTGGGCATGGAGTGTAATCAAGACCCATTCCAGTCATCGTAAACAGCTGGAGTTCGCCTGCGATGGGTGCGTCAGGTGGGGGGTATGGCGACTGCTCAGTAGGCGGTCTCTCAAGTTTTCGAACGAAGATGGGGACGGGTGTGGTGGCAGAGGGATTGAGTTTGAGAGTTTCCCGTATTTTTTTTTTGTTCGGCCAAGGGCTCGGATTGTCGTCGGTCCATGTGATCCGAGTGCAGTCGCCCAGGAGCTAGTGATGAGGCTGGAGATGAGACGAAGACCAGGACGATCTGATTGACAGGACAAACAGAGTCGACAGCTGAGGGCTGATGGTCTCCGATTGCAGAACATCAGACGGTGGACCACAGGGCCCGGAGAGGTGATTTCCCATACTTGGCCTACCGACGTGGCTAACGACTCCGGCCAGCAATAGTGCACTGAGGTGGTTAGGAGCGATGATCGAGATTAATGAAGGAGGCAAATTGGGTGGGTGCGTTCAGCCAGATTGATACCCATAGCCAGGACATCTGTCACTCGGTCAGCTCGTACCGTCGACGATGATCATCCGTCGCCAGGCGCCGGTGGTGCTTGGCGGCGATTTAGCGAGGTGGGGGGTGAGGTCGAGGGGATTCGCAAGAGGCTGAGAGAGTTGGGCGAGGGAGGAGGACAGAGTAGCCCCTCCGGATGACACGGCAGTAGAGCATCCCGAACGGCAAGTGCTGCAACAAGAGGCACGAAATGCCCTGTGCGGCAGTACTTTCTGGTGTTGTTTACGGGGTGACGACATGATCTAGGGGAGGGGGGGGAGGGGGCCTTGCTCACCCGCGCTAATTTCCGCTTGGCGGGTAGTCCGGTGTTCAGGGGCAAGCCTGCGAGCAAGAGGATGGGCCCTCTCTGTGTGGATGGGGAAAAAGGAGAAAAAAAGTGAGTTTCCCCATCGCGTTTCTTAGTGACTACATTCCTCACCAGATCAGGTGCCTCGATTTTGCAGTGCTCAAAAGTGTGTGTGACCATTTGCGGCCGAGCTGTTGCGAAGTATAGACAGTGACTGACAGCAGGGCTCAGGAGGTCCCAGACCAGAAGGTAATGCCATGGCGGAGGAGAAAGCAGGCAAAGGCACGTTATCAGACGGATGCACTGGCGAAAAGGAGATGCGCATCGCGCATCGTACTTCGTGGTGGGTAGGTGCCATAGGTACCTAGGTAAAGTACCATACAGGTAAGGTAGGGAGGGACGGTAGCTCGCTGTAGACCCACCCCTTCGCTGCTGGCTGGTCGGCTGCCAAGTCAGTATCTCTCTGACTTTTGCCACAGCAGGCACATGTAGGTGCCCCGGGCGGTTCAGGTGCAAACGTTTTTGCCCTGTGAGTTCGCTCTATTGGCAGGTATTCACTACCAGAGCCAGCATCGTGCCTGGCAACTCTGCCCCCACCCCCTCCTGCCGTCTCGGTGCGTTCTATATGTACATAGGTACCTTCCGCTGGAAATTGTGGACCGACAACAGTAGACGGTGGATTGTGGATCTTTTGATTGTGGATCTCTGATCGTGGATGAACCCGCCTGCCTCCTACTTTTGCTCCCTCCTCCTCCTCCTGTTCTTCCGCTCCCTGTGTATGCCGTTTCCCATCTTGGTTTCCTCTCGTTCTCTTCCCCTTCGCCAACCTGCACCATCGCCTCCGCCTACCTTGAGCACAACAGACCGACTCTGGAGAAACGACCGAGACCTGCGTCCTCCTTATCCTGCAACGACAGGATCAGGCCTGTCCCCCGTCTACCAGGTCCACCAGTACGACCCACGACGTGGGAGCCACCCTCTGCCTAGCCCGAGCCCTGGACAGCTGGACGGAGCTTGTCCATCACTGTCGCACAACGCTCGCAGCCCACGCCCCATGCTCCCTGCCTAGCGTCGCGTCTGGTCTCCGCTTCTTCTGTGCTAGGTCGCTCCCGGTGCCTCTGGGCAACAGACACAAGCACGACGAACAGGTTATCGGTCTCCCAACTGTCGCTTTAGGTCCACCTCCACTTCCCATCTTTCACTCATCCATGTGCGTGTGAGGTCCCATTCGTTTCCTCACCTCGCCTTTGTTCACTATTCTGCCACTCGCTTTAACTTTTGCTTGTCCGCTGCCTTGCTTTGCTTGCGACGCTGCTTCGACTTTCTTTTTCACCCAATTGCTCGCCTGGCCCCGCTGCCGCCAGCCTCCGCGCCTCGCCCTCCCTGTCACCCTCTCCTCCACCAACAATCCCGACTCGGCTTGCCTGCCAGTGTGTCGTGCCCTGTCTCTCCAACTGCGTCTTCAGACACGCCCGACTCTCTCTCTCTCTCTCTCCCTCGCCCTCGCCCTCCCTCGGCGTCCAGCATCATCACGGCGAAGACGACGACGACAACAACACGCCTAAGGGATACGCAAGCACACCTGCTTCTCCACGGCCACCCGACCTGCCGCCTGAGACCCGTGTTCCGAACGACCCTAGCAACCAAACGGCTAGCAATCCGGCCTAGACTCCTGATTCTAGTCACCCGTCTGCTGGCCATCGACCTGGCTATTCTGCTGGGAGGACTCGTTTTATCTTTCACGCTGCAACGGTGAAAGAATCGGCATCACCAAAGCATTCACTTGCCTGGTGTCATGGGAACTGCTGGCTGCACTGCGTCTCGCTTTTAGACTTCCGAGCCCCACGCCCCGATTCGAGCCTCCGCTGTCATCAATTTCTTCGATGCCAGTGACGAAGTGTTGATTGTTGCGGCCCACGTACGTTGGCCTCTGCCCACTCCCCGAACTACTCACGACTGGTACCGCCACGAGACGAGAACGAGACTGACCAGGTGATCCTTCCAGAATTAGCATCGACACACCAGAAATCATGGACTCTTTGCTGCGCACCCTCCAAATCATGGGCCTCGCCGCCCTGCTCATGCCATTGTGGACACACTCCGGACAAACCCCTAATGGCGTCGTGCGGCGCGACACGTTGAGGCAGAGCCTATGTTCGACTGTCAACACAGCAACGATGGCTTCCAGTATGTCCAGATGTCCCGTCCAAACTCATACAATGCTGACCAGTCTCTCCAGACTACAGTCAATGGCAGAGCCTCGGCCTCTGTTCTGACTACTGCATTCAGAAAGACTCTGCCTTTGCCATTGTACAATACCAGTTATGCTGGTGTTCCGATGTCCAGCCGGCTGCGGCCAGCGTCGAGAGCATCGACAACTGCAGTCAAGATTGCCCTGGCTATGACGAAGAGAGCTGCGGAAGGCAACCGAGCAATTACGGCTACTTCTCCCTCCTGAAGCCTCCCACGTCGACTCAGGGTTCCAACTCCGAAACCTCGACCCGGGATTCGTCTCCGACCACAGCTGTAAGTCAATCATTGCCGCCTGCATTTGCGTGACATTGCTTTGCATCATGTAAACCCGCTCCGGATCACATCCCATTGGCCCTTTGTGTGTTTCTGCCCACCGCTTTCGTCCCCCTTTTTTGGCCCTTCCGAAGCGCAAGATGATTAAAACGGAGGAATCCCAGGCACCGCCTCCTCCATCAACATCAACAGAGCCAAAGACTGAGACCGCCCAGACATCGACATCGACAACATCCTCTTCTTCTTCATCGACGACATTATCTGACGAGCCTTCATCTTCTGTATGACCATGTTGCCCCCAGCACGCCTGCTCCATCCTCGGATATTAGACATGAAACTGGAACCTTGAGGCTATGAACCTGGTCGCTAACCGTAAAACAGACGCCCACTCCTACGCCATCCGCCGCCCAAACAGTGACCGCAGACGGTACTGTCCGGACCGTCTTTGTCACTCCGAGTACATCTCCTGACACTTCCGGCTCGAATACGGAAACAACGCACAACTCTGCCGAAATGGGATCCTCATCGGGATCCTCCGGCCCTAGCACAGGTACCGTGGTCGGTATTGTTGTCGGCGTGATTGCCGGCGTCGTCGCCATCGCCGCCCTCGTTCTGTGGCTCTTCTTTCGCCGACGCAAGCAGCGTGCTCAGGCAGAGGACGACGAGCCAAGCCAGCGTGGCAGCTCCGCGGGCATGATGGGCACTCCTCGTAATCCCGAAATGACTGTGACCATGGAAGGCCGAGCATGGGAACCGGAAACAACCAGCGAGCAGCGGCGCAGCAGGCTCATGGCGATGGATCCGCGTATGAACCCGCTTCAACGACCCATCTACGCACGTAACAAGAGTCACGAGAGCGTCAACACGATCCATGACGACCAGGATTACTCGCGCAGAGTAGCCAAGCCGGTGCTTCGTGCGACGAATCCGGATCCAGATGATTGAGCGAAAATCCAAAGGATAAGATGACGAGGTCATCGCTAATGACGTACACGAATATGGTCCCGGTACAAAGGTTCGGTCTTTGCATTATATTTCGAGATACCAGGACGGCGTTCACTTTTCCTTGTGAGGAGATGACAAGAAACGCCAGCAGCAGAATCGCATCAACATCAGCCATCCGGGGTGCAAGCAACACGCCAAAAGGCAAGTGGTGGAAGTCGAACGCCGCGAGTCGTGGACACGACCCATGGCAATCCAGCATGCAGCTCGGCCGTCCGCTTCCCTCACACTCAACATGAGGACCAGCGCCGGCCACTGTCGTAATATTTCTTCTTCATGTATTTCTCTTCCCCTCGGCGCAGCCTATAGCTGGCTGAAGACAACGCCACTGCAGCGGATATAGGGGGAACATCATTGATTCTTGGACATGGGGAGTTGTCAGCTCCGAGTCGCTAAGGGCATGGCATCGCAGATGCGATGCCAGGCGGGATTTAGAGGGTGCCTGGAGGCAGGCTAAAGGCGTACATACACGACAGGGCGCAGTCGAGACGATCGCGACAATAGTGCGTGGATCAGCTCGATCAAACATAGGCGAGGTTGGGTAGCAAGACACAATAAAGCGTTTGCATATCCAGGTCAGGCGAAGATGCACATGTCCACGTATAGTTGTCTTGATGATACTCTTCAGCCGCGAGCTGTAAGTCGGCGACCTGCACATCACGCCGTGCTGTGGCTCACAAGGCAAGACACTTCAGCTTTACACCGTCTTTTCTGTGGCACGCTTACCTCGCGACCTGACGTACCACCTTACACATCATCTTCGCTTGCGCAGTTCAGAACAAACAAGGAGCAGCAAGTTGCCTATTCTAGACATGGCAGCGCCGCCATGCCACGAGGGTCTTTCCTCTTTGGGCTTCGTGTTCTTCCACCGATGGTCACCGCCTGCACGGGAGCTGGGACTGTTCTGCTGTAGAGAAGCCGGGGCGCGGAGGCGGGGGCAAAGGGGCAAGAGGGCAAGACAGGAAGTGAGACCCTTTTCCTTGTGGCTGAGCTGGCGATGCACGTTTCACGAGCCGGGCCGAGGAGAGAGCGAGTGTGAGTGGGATGGGACTGACCGACTGTCTTCTGCTTTTTCTTTGTGTGCGAGCTGTACGAGAGAAAGAGCGGTGGGGCATGTCGACGATACACATGGCTTGTGGTGGACGGATGAGGACGCACGAGCGATGAGGGCGTGTTGGCGTTGGGCAGAAGTTTCTGGGGGAGCGTGGCGTGGTCGTGCTTGTGGCGGTAGCTGTATGCCCTTGTAGCAAAGTATATGCGTATGTGTGTCTTGAAGATCCCCCATGGTGATCGGCGGGATGAGAGGGATGAGACAAGGAGGTTTCGGGGCAGTGTCTTGTGTTTAAGTGTTGGCAGAGGGGGGTTGGCGTGTTTGGTCGACAGTCGGGTTCTCAGACTGACAGCTCGCTTGTGGCTTGAAGATCGAATCTCCAACCATGAGCATCGAGCCTGGGTCCTGAGTCCTGGGTCGTTCGTGGTTTCGGATGCTATCGCCAGTTCCCGTGTCTGTGGTGAGAGTCGGGGGCGCAGGTGCGGTTGAAGAAACAGGAGAGCATCGTCGAAAATCCCTGTTCGGATGCAGACATCTATCAAGCCTCAGAGTCGCGGCAGACGAGAAGGCGGTTACGGGTCCGACTTGACTGTCCTGATGCAGGGGCTGCCCACGTGGAAGTCAACTTCGGTTCGTAGGAAGGCGAGGGAATCATGCGATGTCGCAGTGCCTTGAATCACTGACAGGCCATCCGTCAAGATTGGAGATCACATAGGACCTTTCACCAGAACTCAGAATTCTGCAATCGTCTAGAATATCACCATAGCGCTAAAGAAGCTGGAGAGGAAAAAAATCAAATCACTGCTATTTAGTCTCTTAAACACCAGACTTTTCTCTGGCTATGACTGCCATCTCAAACTCATCCAAGCTTACCGAGTCCCGCGATACTCCAACATGTGCCGCCCTTTTGGGCGCGAAGTCCGCCGCTGCCGTAGAACGGCCCGGCGGACCCCAGTGGTCACCCGGCAGCTTGTTGAAGTCCCCGGGCACAGGGTGAGCGGAGCGGCGCTGGGAGCCCCTTTCGTTTGTGGCCGCGGTGTTGCTGAAGGCGCCACCGCCGTAAAGGGAACTCGATGTGCGGCCCGAGCTGAGCAGGCCTGGCACCTTCTGCAGCAGGGGCCGCAAAGTCGGCAGGCTGCCGCATATGATGGCGCACGTTACCTCGATCATGGACCATATGACAATGTCAACATTCTCCCCTGGCGGAAGGAGAGGGCCGGTGTTAGCACCCATATTCTGTCGGGTAACGGTGGAGGGCAACTTACATGTGGGATCCGATGAGTTGGCGAAGGAGACCATGTACTTGAGGCGGACCATACTGGTAACACAGGCGCTATTCGGGGCCCGTATATCAGCATCATGGCTTTTGGCTTTTTTCGGGAGGAATCGACATCGCAAAATCCTCGGGTGATCACTTACAAGGAACCGATGCCAAACATGAGGCAGACAGCAACCCTCTTCTTCAACGTGAGCTGCAGCTTACGGACCTCTGGTATGGGCATGAGCAGGATGGCAATGTCCTCAAAGATGCTGAAAGCGGCGCCGGCCAACCCGACGGCCGTGATGTTGAGGCATTTGGCATCCAGGGACTTGTCCCAGATGGCTCGCACGGGAAGACACTGGAACACGATGAGGAGCAGGAACAGAAGACCGTGTGTGACGAGGAAGATACCACCGCCCCAGACGGTGATGCGGAACCAGCGTGCCGTGAAGATGCGCCAGAAGAGGATGAGGATTGAGGCTTTGGCTGTGACCTGGACGAGGATATAGAACATTTGTGCCGTCCAGAACATCTGTCCGTGGTTTATCAGCAATTTGACGTGGTTCAACGTCATGCATGTGCTCGTACCTGTAGAATCGTTGCGCCTTTCGTCGGGTCGACGTCCCAATAATGAAGACCGAAGCCAAAGTTGGCAACTGGTGAGGGTCAGCCCACCGTTATGCCCAAATACCATCAGGGAAAGGAGAGGACGATGGGTCATTACCTGCTATATTGATGCCTGTTATGCCGCCCAGGAAAACCTACTGCAGTCAGCTACGTGTCCCCGGTCCATTGTCGAGATGGAATACCAACAGTAGCGGCCAGGGTCGTCCAGTCATCCCACCAGAGTCGACTCGAGATGGTGAACCTCGAAACGCATCGCAGAAGCACGATAACCAGAGTCAGCGCCAGACAGGAAATAGCGGTGGCTCTGACCTCGCCCCTCCTCGATTCCTTAGGGAAATCGGCGCAGAAAGCGCCGGTCACAGCCGCGGCCTCTGTATCGCGCAAGGAACCGGTCAGTCGATGTTGCTTTCGAGACTGTATTTCATCGAACCGGGGTCACACTGGGGGGAAGATGCCATACGCGCTTGTTCGAGCAGGGCGCATGACTTCTGCACACAGGCCGAGATTGCCGCCTGGAGAGTCGTGTTCGTGCACGCACAGCTTGGCAGGCTCGATACGTCCGTGATGTCGCAGTTCCCAGACTGCAGTCCATCGAGAAGACACGATAACTACGCGACACCCAGGAAAGACATCAGTAAAAGAAAAAAGAAACCCTCAGGGCATGACACCCTGCAGAGCTCGCATAACGTCGTCATCATGTGTCTGGAATGCGGTCTGGGCAGGGCAAGGGAGGAGAGGAGTCAACTCACGGCGCACGGCGGTGTTGACGATAATACGTCTGTCAAGCTCTGTGTGGCCCCGGGCACGACGAAGGCGACGGCCCAGAGCAGCACGGCCAAAGTACAGCGAAGACCTTTCATGAGTGAAATGCCATATGCATACCACGACTCGAGTACCAGGCCGCGCAAACGAAGCCACGAATCCCTTGCAATACCTCACTCCGCCTGGGAAACAAAGAAGCAGGAAGATGCGAAATGAGGATACGAGGATGCCACGCAAGATCAAAAAGCAGCATGGGAGTTTAGAGGGGGGAGATTCCCATTTTCCAAGGGTCCGGGTCCATGCAGAACCACTGCAATCTTTATTATTCTCCGGGTCTCTTGGGGGGTTACTGCAATCAAAAACCTCGCCCGAGCTCTGGCCTGCGCCTTACATGTGGGACTGCAAAGGAAGGGGGCGGGATCCAAGGACGCCTTGAGGTAACATGTCGCTTCTTCAGAAGACCATACCAGAGTAAGGCATGCCGGCCGAGAGGATGTGTGGTCCTCTCCAGCATATAGCATGCTCCATCGGCGATAGCGCCCAAGCCACACCTGTTCCTGACTATCCCCGGTGCAGCTTGGTTTCGTGCGAGTGGGCTATCTGGCCCGCTTGTTGCGGAGGGCCACATGGGAGGCTGCACGATTGTGGTCACGCGAGTCAGTATGCTCACCAGCAATGAGCCTAAAAGCCTGGGCATTGCCAGGTCGATCAAGAGCGCGATGCTCTGTTCAGGGGCTGCCACCAGGGGTCTGGGCCGAGCCTGAGTCCAGGGCCTGCAGCTAAGTAATGCTGGTTGAAGTGTGACTGTCGATATATGAATCCCGTATCCTCAACGCCACATCTGGCGCCTTCCACCTCTCCTCATTTGGTTCTGTCTCCATCGGCTGCAACTCAGGTTGTGAACATTCAGTTACATTGCCACCTCGGCGCAGCCATTACTCTGACTCGCCCGTTCCCTGGACTCGATCCGGATAGCGTCATTCTTGATCTGACGAGGGAGGGTATGCTCGCCGTTGTGGTTGCATTGGCCCTGGCTAACATCGCAAAGTACATGTAAAAGGGCATCACATCCAATTGGACTGAATGACCCATCAAGTTCCAGCATGCGGTGTCCTCCCTGAACCAGATTCGCGAACGAAGATGCTCTGGGTCCCCAAGTCATCGCCAAGATGCATTAAAGCTGCCGTTCGGCGAAACCTTCCAGGTCAGGCAGTGGCAATGCCGACCTGCCGGTTTCTCCTTGCTGGCTCGATCGAGTCAAGTCTTCGGCCTGGCATGATCTGTGTCGTCTTGATCGAATCCCCACCCCCTGCAAGGACCTGATCAGAGACAGGGGTATGCTATACAAGCGGACTGCAGAACTCAGTTGACACGCATCTATCATCACAGGACGAACCGTTTAAGTAACCTATCCCCGTATCCCCGGACCGCGTGTTCAATGCTGGTGGGGCCGTTCAGCAAAGATGCTTCGAGTTCTAGCCCTCCTTCCCGTCTCGGCCTTCGATCGTGATCAGTTGCAGAAGCCCAGTGGACTGCTGCGCGGAAATAGCATCTTGTTTGGGAGTGACTGTACGGCGAATAATGACATGCAGAGCGCCTTTGCAGAGTGCTGGCGGCAACAATATGTATATCTTCCAGCGAGGTTGCCGTTGACCACCTTGGGCCGGTTGCTCCCAGATCGATCCGTTCCGCGCCAACTCAAACCGGCCGAAACACGCATCTGACAGCGCGACAAGATGAAGTTGTCAACTCTGCTGTTGCCCATCCTGACGGCTTCTGTCTCGGCAGTGTAAGTGCTGGCAACTGTCTCTGACCGGCAGATGCTGTCTTCAACGTCACGCAGTGCAGAGTCTAACTCGTCGATTCTCGCAGACCAAGCCAACTCGACACACGACAGACCGGGACCATCCTCGCTTCCTACGACTATGTCATTGTTGGTTCTGGTCCCGGCGGAGGCCCGCTGGCTGCTCGGCTCGCCATCGCCGGCAAGAAGGTCCTCCTCATCGAAGCCGGCGACGACCAGGGCGCGTCGATCCCGTACCAAGTCCCCGCCCTGAACCTGCAGTCGACCGAGTATACGCCCATGCAGTGGGATTATTTCGTCAACCACTACAGCAGCCTCGATGCCCAGAAGAAGGACTCCAAGATGACATATCGGACCGCGTCGGGAGAGCTGTACTCTGGACTGAGCCCACCTTCTGGTGCCACCCCTCTCGGCGTCTTGTATCCTCGAGCCGGCACTCTGGGTGGTTGCGCTGCTCACAATGCCCTGATCACAGTGTATCCTCATGCGAGCGATTGGGACCGGATAGCCACACTAACTGGCGATACCTCCTGGCGCGCGTCGGCCATGCGCAACTATTTCAAGCGTCTTGAGAGCGCTCGGTACCTCCCCAATGGTGTCGCCGGTCACGGGTTCAGCGGCTGGCTGACAACAAGCGTTACTGATCTCGGCCTTGTCATCAAGGATCTCAAGCTCCTCACCGTCATTGTCTCTGCCGCTTCGTCCATGGGCCAGAGCTTCCTGGGTCTGATTCTGTCGACTGTAGCCGGCTTGGGTCAGGTGCTGCTGCGCGACATCAACGTCGATACGCCGTCGCGAGATGCCGCCGAGGGCCTGTACCAGGTGCCCATTACCGTTAAGGACGGCATTCGCGTCGGGCCTCGGGAATTTGTTCTCGACACGGCAAACGCAAAGAACGCGGACGGCTCCCGCAAGTACCATCTGGACATCAAGATGAACACGCTCGTCACCAAAGTCCGCTTCGACAGGACGGCAGCCAAGCCTCGCGCCGTCGGCGTCGACTTCCTCTCGGGCAAGAGCCTTTACAAGGCCGACCCCCGAGCGCAGCAGGCTGCCACCTCGACCGCTGGCTCCGTCAACGCCACGGCCGAGGTCATCCTGTCCGCGGGCGCCTTCAACACGCCGCAACTGCTGAAGCTCAGCGGCGTCGGCCCGAAGAAGGAGCTCGAATCCTTCGGTATCAACGTCGTCGCTGACCTTCCCGGCGTCGGCACCAACCTCCAGGATCGATACGAGACGACCGTCATCGGCGAGACTGAGACCGACTTTCAGATCATCGAGGGCTGCACGTTCGGCCGCTCGGGTGACCCGTGCCTGAAAAAATGGCAGGCCGGAGGGGACCGCGGCATCTACGGCTCCAACGGCATCTCCCTCGGCGTCGTCAAGAAATCCTCCGTCGCAACAGGCGATCCTGATCTCTTCATTGCCGGCGCGCCCGTGGCCTTCCCGGGCTACTATCCGGGCTACTCGGCCGATGGGACAGCCGACCGCAAGCACTGGAGCTGGATCACGCTCAAGGCTCACTCGAGGAACCGCGCCGGCACCGTTCGTCTCCGATCCTCGGACCCCCGCGACATGCCGCTCATCGACTTCAACTACTTTGCCCAGGGTGGCGCCGAGGACAGAAAAGCTGTCGTCGAGGGCATGAAGCTGTCCAGGAGGATGTTCAGGGACGTCATCCCCCTTGCCGGCGGCTTCACCGAGGTGTGGCCTGGCCCAGGCGTGTCGGATGACGAACTGGAGGACTGGGTGACGAACGAGGCCTGGGGCCACCATGCCAGCTGCACGTGTCCCATTGGAAAGGACAGCGATCCCAATGCTGTGCTGGATTCCAAGTTCCGGGTCCGAGGTGTCAATGGGTTGAGGGTCGTCGATGCTTCGGTGTTCCCTGAAATTCCGGGCTTCTACATCGCAGTGCCGGTATACATGATCAGCGAGAAGGCGGCAGACGTCATTTTGGGTGTCTGAACATGATGTGGCGGTCTCGGAGTAATAAAGCACTGAAGAGAATTGAATGATAAACTCCTGTTTTCACCGTCGTATCCTGAATAAAGGGGGGTTGAGATGCCTGCCTGTGATTGCATTGGGCGACAACACCAGTACAGGTTACTGCGAAGCCTAGCAAGTAACTCATCAGGCAACCTCAGGTCACATCCTTGAAGGCCACACATACCACCTGAACGGTGAGGAATCAGAGAAGTGGTGAAGAATCCGCCCATTCTTACCGCCACATCCTGGCGGTCATGCACGGGCATTCGGCCTCATGGAATACCAACTCATCGGGACCGAATCAGAGTGCAGATATAGGCTGATGCTTCATGCAAACGAATCAACCTCGAGGCGATTGTCACCCGCTCATAGGCAGCCATTGACTCGACTAGTTTTTCGACCAACAGGCCATCTTCTGTCAAATTCATGAAGCATGTCACATTGATTGTTCGCAGCACATCGTGTGATTGACTAGTCTGAGGTGCATGGACATATGGCTTGTATCACCAAAGGTGCGTGATGCCTACAATCTACATCTGCTCTTTCGCTCGTCATCTCGCTATCCCGAGCGCCCTTCGACACGACAGGGGGCCTTTTCTCGAGTATTGGCGCCCGAAAAGCATCACGTCAAATTGAGCTTGCATTTTTCAAGCACATGCAGTCTAACAATTCCCCCACGACCACTTGCCCAAACCAGAGCAAGCGTCCACGATCTATTCTTTCGCCTCAATCTCCTGTATGGCCTTGAATACGCCGTTCGCCCTCTCGTCAAATTCTCTTCTCGCTTCCTCCTGCAGCTCATACGTCTCTGCAAGCCGGTCCACCATGTGCGGCGGCAGCACGGCCTTCTTGGCAGCCCTGTAGTCGTAGATGGTGACCTCTTCGATGCACCGCGCCGCGACCCGGCGGTGCTGCTCAGAAAGAAGCAGGGCGTCGAGTTTGAGGTGGTCGGACGCATAAGTCGGCCTCTCGGCGAGCTTGTAGACCACGGTGACTTGGTCGGGGTACGCCATAGGCTGTAGGGCGGGGTCAGCACCGCAACACAGCATTCAGTCAGGGCGCATGGGTGGGGTTTCGGGCATACGAATTTGAAGTCCGTCTTGATGCTCTTCAGAATGAGTCCCACGCCGCGCGGCGACATGATCTCGGCCCATTCCTTCGCTGCTTCGGGGCCGTCTCTCTTGCCGTGGGACAGGATCCAATTGACGCGTGCTGATTCGGCGAACTTGTTGTACATGACATTGTTGACGTGGCCTAGGCGGCGATGTAAGCGATGATTGATGCGAGGCCTGCCGCCGGGGGCAATGCAGCCTTACCCTGTGAACGTCAGCGGCTATCATTGACACCAGGGAGAGCCACTGACCATTGAATCCTACTCATCACGAAGCAAGACCACCTAGTCAGTCACCAGAAACCACCCAAACGTATGCCGTCCGTCGTGCTGAACTCACCATGTCACCCCAATTCACCTGATGCCGGTCAAGACCTCTCCACCCCTCACCCGTCAGGAAGCCATCGCGCCCCGCGAGAAAACCGAGCCACTGCGTCTCCGTGAGCCGCAGCAGCTGCCTCGCCTCCTCGTGCTTCCCCGAGCGAGACTCAACCGAAGCAATCCGTCGGATCCGTGCCTGCAGATCTGACAGCCATCTCGAGTTCAACGGGCTGGCGGGCGCGGCGGGCGTGGGTGTTTCTGAGACGAGCCTGCCCGGCGTATGCAGGCGGGCGCGAGAGGGCAGACGCGGTGAGGCCCTTGTGGTGCATCTGGAGCGAATCTGATGAGAAATGAGCGTCGAGGACCGCATTCTAGAAGCAAATTGATCCATAGCGATGAGTATGGAAGGGTCAGAGGCCGATGGCGGCAGTGCAACCGGGGATTCAAGGCCAAGTCAGGTACCAGTCGGTCGGTAGCTGCTTACGTCAATCCAGCGCGCATAGCCTCGGCATTAGACGCTCGGTGGGGGGGGGGGCCTATTGACCCGAGGGCCGGGTCCCAAACCACGGCGGGTCGGCTCCGGGAAGCGCCGCTTGTCCTCCGAATCTGCGGGGCCGCTTCCAGTCGCATGTCGCCGGTCCTGGTACGGCTCTCCTTGCCGTTGCGGAGGGATGGCGGAAGAGGCTGCCGAAACGGCACATACAGGAGAGGATCTGGTCAGGCCCTGTGGCGGTCGTCGTCCCACATTCCAACGGAAGAGTCCAAGCCGAGTTCCATGACAGAACTGCTCATCTCGTCGAGCCCCAAGTCTCTCCGACCCCAATCCCACCACAACTTGATCTCTCTCTCCAGCGACGAGCCAAGTGCACTCCACATCGACAGCAACGTCGTCCTAGCCCTCGCTGCAACCATGCCCCGAGAACCGAAATGAGAATCCGGTAGGACCAAGGCTCGGGAATCCCGCAGGTCGGATATCCCGATCGGCGCCCCGGGCTGATTGGCGCGGCAAATATTGCATTCGGACGATGTCTGCCATCCAGGTATCACCCTTCACAGCCTTTCTTGCAAGGCCGGCATCTGCCCAATGAAGGCATCGTTTCTCCAGACAACCAGGAGCAAATGACCCCACGAGTTCAGAGATCCGTATCGACCACCTCTAGAGCAAAAGAGGGGGGGGCGGGTGGACATGGCGAAAAGAGCCGGTATGGCAAGGGTGTTCCCCACGGGGTCAAGCCAAGATTATCTGGGTTTGTTGTGATTTCGAGATCTATATCCCAAAGCAGCCTCAAACTCCGTGTTACCTTGCAGCACTACGGGTGAAGACCGACGTCATTTGATGTCGGCACGTTCATGGGCCCGCACCCTCATAACGCCCTCGCCAGTGTGTGCAGCTGTTCGATCTTGTTTGCAGTAGGTAGTCTGGAGACCACGAGTCGTCCGGTGTCCTGGTTCCATGGGGAAGGTGCCGGAGTAGTCCCGGAGGCTGTGTTGGTCAGCCAAGGCCCGCCGATCACGATGCAACCCCGCGTCCAAGGGCCTCGTAAAAGCAGTCTACCCCGCAAATCCACATCCTCAGACCGACAGAGCGTTACATCTTTTGGGAAAGCATGCTGTGCAAATCGGGCATCTCGCCATAGATGGGAGCGACACCATGTCGATCGAAATGACCAGTATCGGAGTATCACCATGCGAGGATCACCTCCTACCTGCGAGGTTAAAAGTAAGTCGGGTTTAGCCAACATGAGGCAGAGTCATCACCTCGGATCGCCCAAGGTTTCTGTTCGCCAAATCAACATGGCCCTCAACATAGGCCGCCTGTCTTTTGAGCATCACCGCTCCGCCCTCGGCATAGCCGAGACCGAACCTAGAATCTCATGGCGATTCAATGGCACGGTTCAAGACTGGACCCAGAGCAGCTACGACCTCGAAATCATGCGCGGCAGCAGCGAGCCCAAGAGCTTCGCTGTAGACTCTTCAGACTCTGTGTACGTGCCGTGGCCGGATGGCCCCCTAGGTGAAGCTGAAGGTGCCGAAGTTCGTGTCCGCGCTCGTGGCGCCGACTCCGAGACGCCCTGGTCCGACTGGGTCCACGTCGAGACGGGGCTAACAGACAAGTGGGAGGATGTGAGCCCCATCACAACGCTATGCAAGCAGCCCACCGACGGACCGAAGCGGCCCATGTACTTCCGGAAAGACTTTGACGTACCCTCAAACCTCAAGTCGGCTCGCCTCTACATCACGGCCTTGGGGCTCTATGAGGCCGAGATCAACGGACGTCGAGTAGGAGACCATGTGCTCGCGCCAGGGTGGCAATCTTACAACCACCGACACGTCTATGACACGTACGACGTCACTGAGATGCTCGTCGCTGGTGAAAAATCAGTCCTCGGCGCCGTTGTTGGTGAAGGCTGGTTCTCTGGACGCCTCGGATGGGGCGGTGGAAACCGAAACATCTATGGCGATACGCTCGGCCTCTTGGCAGTGTTGATTTTGACGGCCGAAGACGGGACGACCATCGAGATACCTACCGACGCGTCGTGGAAGTCCTTGACTGAGGGTCCCATCATCTCGGGCGAGATCTACAATGGGGAACACTTCGACGACCGCATCGCTGTCGAGATTGAAGGGTGGGCAACGCGCTCTTTCAACGCCTCCGGCTGGTCTGGCACACGATCGCTAGACAAACTCAGAGGCCGCCTCGCCTCGCCCGACCAGCCGCCCATCCGAGCCACCGAAGAGATCAGACCACAGCGCATATTCAAGTCCCCCTCGGGCAAGACGCTGGTTGACTTTGGCCAGAACCTCGTCGGCTGGCTCCGAATTCGGGCCACCGGTCCGTCCGGTCACCGGATCCAGCTCAGACATGCAGAAGTCCTCGAAGACGGCGAGCTTGCTCGGAGACCCCTGCGTCAAGCCTGGCAGGAGGAACAAGTCTGGTTGAGTGGTCGGGAGATCACTTATGAGCCGAAATTCACCTATCACGGCTTCCGCTTCGCCCAGGTTGATGACTGGCCTGCCGAGACACCGCTGGACGCCGACCACCTAATAGCTGTCGTTGTGCACACGGACATGGAGCAAACGGGCTGGTTTGAGTCGTCGAACGAGCTCATCAACAAATTTCATTCCAATGTGCGCTGGTCAATGAAGGGCAACTTTATGTCTATCCCAACAGACTGTCCCCAGCGAGACGAACGCGCTGGGTGGACAGGTGATGCTCACATGTTTGGGCCAACGGCAAACTACCTGTACGACACGGCCGGGTTTTGGCGTGGCTGGCACCGAGACGTGTGGTCGGAAATGTCTTCCAACGGGAAGATGATTCCGTACGCATACACACCAACAATACCCTCAGGTTTCGGTGATCAAATGCCGACCGCCATCTGGGGAGACGTGGTCGTCGGTAGTCCTTGGAATACATGGCAAGCGTTTGGCGATTCTGTATTACTAAGGGAACACCTCCCACAGGCTCAAAATTGGATCGACAAGGGCGTTGCGAGGAACAGCGATGGTCTTTGGGACCGCACAAAGTTCCAATTCGGAGATTGGCTCGATCCCGAGTCGCCATTCAATGATCCGGCCCAGTCCATGACGAGTCCGTATCTCGTCGCCGACGCCTACCTAGTACAGATGACGGGACTTCTCGCCGACATCGTTGAGGCACTGGGCGAGGCTGGCGATGTGGTAGACAAGTACCGCGCACAGCGCTCTGACTTGCAGCAGATGTTCCAGCAAGACTGGATGTCCGATGGTCGGCTCGCCAACGCGACCCAGACTGCCTATGCTCTGGCTCTTGAATTTGATCTCTTTTCCAACGTCAAAGACCTGACGAATGGCACTGATACTCTGCGGCAACTGATCGCCGATAACGATTATCTCGTCGGCACCGGCTTCGCGGGAACCGCGCCTCTCGGTGGCGCCCTGACCAAAGCGAACGCAACAGAGGACTTCTACCGAATGCTGCTCCAGGAGAAGAGTCCCTCATGGCTCTATCAAGTTGTCATGGGCGGAACGACCACCTGGGAACGATGGGACAGCCTTCTACCAGACGGCTCGCTAAACCCCGGCGAGATGCTGAGCTTCAATCACTATGCATTCGGCTCGGTCGCCGACTGGATTCATCGAAACACGGGGGGGATCGCCCCTGCCGAACCGGGCTACAAGAGAATAAGGGTCGCGCCCGTTCCAGGAGGCGGTATTACCAAAGCGAAGGCCACTTTAGTCAGCCCCTTCGGAAGGATTTCGACGGACTGGAGTGTCGATGAGCATGGTTTCCATCTCACATTGGAAGTGCCACCAAACTCTCGAGCTATTGTGGTCATGCCTAGCACCGGCCAGTCTATCGAGGTTGGCTCAGGCAGTCATGAGTTTAGCGATGCTGGATTCCGCATGCCTGGAAGCGGTTGAAAGTGTAGACTTCGATTCGCAGGTTTCCTTGGGAGATTAGTCGTCAGAAAAAGCAAATTTATGCAATGTGGAAGGAATTGTGGTGTAGCATCTCTCGCATCTGAAATTTCATGACTCGAGAGTTGACAAATCCACCCATGAAATTGACGAGGGTCATCAGAGGGCGCTCAGGACCCTATCAACCATGATATCAGAACTGGCACCCCGCATAAAGTTGTCGAAGAATGTTATATTCACGCCCTGCGGAGCCCAATCATCTACCCCGGCGGCGAGATACGGGGTCGGGGACCGCGCTTGGTACGCTTGGTGCACTTCGTTGTTGTTTTTGTCGTTGGAGTAGTAGAGACCGGGATCATCAGCCGTAGACGCTGAAGTACTGAGCATTGTCTGAGGTGTGGGTAGATGAGGGTGTAAAGAGGGAAGCCGTCATCGACGGCGAGCATTACTGACGTTGGTTTGGTCACTTGTTTGAATCAGTGATAGCTGACTGGGGCGTTTCGCCCCTCCAAAAAAACGGACAAACGTTCATGCGTATGGCTGTCCTTGTACTTCCCTCCCTTCTGACGTGCTTCCGCGGAATGGGTGCGCCGTGGGGGGGCAGGGACGGGATGCCTGTCAGCAGGTGCCGCCAGCACGTTCCAAAGGCAGGTGCACAGGACGTGGGTTGGGGTTGTCCCTGCCCCGTATGACCCCGAATGTCTTGCATTTCGTTGCGTTGCTTCCTAGCGTTACCTTACCAACATGATGTACTCGCCTGAGCAGGCATGTCACTGCTGCTCTCAGTTACCCCGCTGGCAGAACCTGACAGGTATCACAACGCAGCGACATATTGGCTTGACGGACGCAAATAACCTTCTCATCATCTCATTATCGCAGCGAATACTGACGAAGTTGCTTGACTTGCCGAAATACTTGGAGAGAATCATTTGCAATCATCAAGGCCTGTCGCTTCCTTTTTCTCGACATTTCCCTCGAATCCTTATGCCTAGCCTTCCCTTTGATCATGACGTTCTCGGGCTCGGCTCCTTCCGGCTTTTCGGCCTCGTTTTGCACCGCAATTTGAGGGACAGGCTAGTGGTTTGACATGATGACGTGAAGCTATCGTCACTGATCACCCAAGAAACGCCTTTGAGCACACACGAGGTCGTCAGGGAGGGCGGCTCGGAACAAATCTTACATGCCGAATGGAACGTAACACGACATTGAGGCCCGGCGAAGTAGTGCTGACTGACTGATACAGTGCTGAATCCAACATTTCATCATCGCGAGCGGTCAAGAACACAGCATGCTTCAGCTAAAGATCCAGCTCCAGCAGGTGTCTCACCAGCCATCTCCTACGTCCTCCCACGAGATGTCTCCGGGAGCGACTGACCGTAAATTTGAAGAGCGGTGGACTGTTGACTAGCGGAACATGGCTCCATCGCGACTTTGAGACCGGCTGCAGCCTCGAAGCCATAGTCCGTTTGGGCCCGAAGCTTCATTTGCGCCTTGCCGTGGTTGGGGCTCATTGTCGAGGCTGGCTATTCCGGGACACGAGCCTCTCTCTGTGTGACATGTGGTCGCGGAGAAGGCTCGAGTCGTCAACCACCAACACGGCCTGGAAGCGTATCCGCCGAGACAGCGTGGGAGCTACGCCCGCCATGGTGAGAGACATTGGGAGCCCAGATGACCAAGGCAGCCCGTCACGAGCAAGGCCCAAGCCGGATCGCCGCAGCACCCGCACTCGGCCGCCGCTCGAAAGGTGCAAATGCAAGCCACGATGGCGATGCCGACTGGACGCTGTTACGTTACCGTATGCGAAGGGCGGAGGGGGAAAGAGACAGTCGACGTCGGGACGACAGTCAGCACTCGACATGGCTCGCCAGAGTTGGTGTGGTCAGCTGCTCAGCCGCAAGCACACCAACGGATGCAAAGGCTAGACATTCGGCCATGCGGCGCCGTGCTGCGATTGGGGCGAGTCCGCCTGCCAGGCGGAGCAAAGCCCGTAAGCTGGGGAAGTGGATGACGCTGCCGTTGGCGCTAGGCCCGATCGGCTGAAGGATGCACCCAACAACTACAGACACGAGTGAAAATAGCAACGCGAGGTGGCTTGCCAAGTGGCTTACTGGCCCGCTGGCCGGAGTGTTTAAGCTTCCCCCATGTGCTCAGCTTGTCCCAGTCGGGAGTCGCGTTGGCCGTCGAGTCCATCGAGGACATTCGTAAGAAATCCCGTCAGATCGTCGGATCGCAAGACCCCCCCCCTCCCCCCCCGGCGAACACTCAGGCGTAAGGCTGAGTAGGCCGAGTAGTCGGTGAAGCTGCGCCCAATCTGCAGCAGCCCACCAACTATGGTGGCCTACCTATGTCCCTAGTTGTCTAAGGCGGGATAGGGCATGTGCTTGTGGAGGCGGAGGCGGAGGCCATGGGAAGCTTACACCAAGACTCGAGCCGTACAGTAGGCCAACAACATCAATCGTATCGCCTCACGGACATGTGGAATAGGAGCTGCTGGAGTGTTGCACCTATATAAGATCTAATGATCTTTCCTACCATTCATTGTTTCTCATCACTCTCATCACTCACAGCATCTTCCGCCCTCTACCCTCGTCTCAACTAATCACTGACACGACAATCTCACGTACCTACAACCCCACCTTTATCTACCCAACCCAACACCAAGCACTTAATACCTATACCTCCACACTTCAACATGCGCTACTCCCTTACTCTCATCGCCTTTGCCGTCACGGCCCTCGCCCTCCCCACCGCCAAGCCCGCCGACGACGGCTCATGGGCTCCGGGCAAATACGAGGGCCCCGGCACCCCCTACGATGATGGAAAGTGGTACCCTGGAAAATACCCCGGTGCTAAGGAGAAGCGCGCCGACGACGGATCCTGGGCGCCCGGAAAGTACGAGGGCGCCGGTACACCTTACGACGACGGCAAGTGGTATCCCGGCAAATACCCTGGCGCCAAGGAGAAGCGGGCCGATGATGGCAAGTGGGCTCCGGGCAAGTACGAGGGTGCCGGTACCCCCTATGACGATGGAAAGTGGTACCCCGGAAAGTATCCTGGTGCCAAGGCAAAGCGTGCCGACGATGGCAAGTGGGCTCCGGGCAAGTACGAAGGCGCTGGCACTCCTTATGATGACGGCAAGTGGTACCCTGGAAAATACCCTGGCGCCAAGGAGAAGCGCGCCGATGATGGCAAGTGGGCGCCTGGCAAGTATGAAGGCGCCGGCACCCCCTACGATGATGGAAAGTGGTACCCTGGAAAATACCCCGGTGCTAAGGAGAAGAGGGCGGATGACGGCAAGTGGGCGCCTGGCAAGTACGAGGGCGCCGGTACTCCCTACGATGATGGCAAGTGGTACCCTGGCAAGTACCCCGGTGCTAAGGAGAAGAGGGAGGATGATGGCAGCTGGTATCCTGGCAAGTACGAGGGCGCCGGTACTCCCTACGATGATGGCAAGTGGCACGAGGGCAAGTACGAGGGCAAGGGAACCCCCTATGATGATGGCAAGTGGCACCCTGAGCAGTGAGATGACGGTTCCTCCTCCATCCTCTTCTTCTTCTTCTTCTTCTTTCTCCTTTCTTCATCCCTTCCTTAGAGACATAGATTTTGGTTTGCATTTTAGCGGGGGTCTTGGTCCTTCCTTTACTGGGTAGCGGGTTTTTTCAGCATTAATTTCATACTACACTCCTTGACTATACTCTTTTCTTGTTGCAAAGTGAATGTTCGCCTGAATGCTCATGATGACCATTGCCCCTTTCTCACTAGCATTGCTGCTATGCTGGGGTCGAATCTGTCTCGCACTCGAATGCACGGAATCGAGTCGGTAGTCTCGCTTCTCCTGTTGCTTTGCTTCTCCTGCTCGGCTGGTTCTTGTACAGCCACGATGAACCGACCACTGTGGGGACGATAACTTGGCTTGGCTCACTCCCATTCCAATACCCGTCATGCTAAGCCGGACGGCAGAGTTCACAGTAGGTAAACCATCGAGGCACTTAGCAGCGCTTTTTCGTAAACACCTACGGCCTTCCACGCCAACCTCGGCCAGAAACTCGTCCAGCCCCGCAAACTTGACCTCGAACACAGGTCGTACCACTCGTCCAAAACGCTCAGCGTCCCTCCAGGGCAGAGTCAGCAGAAGACTGGAGACGAAAGCGGTACCAAAGGCTTCAGTATCAGCGGGGTTAATGTCAGGATGCTTGGGCGCAATCTTCCAGTAGCCCTTCGAGACGCCAGCCTGCAGGTAGTCGGCTCGAAGACTCTCAACGCTGGAGGGCCCGCGGAGGTGTTCGCCAAGGGCGATGAGATGGTGGACCGTCATGACGCTACACTGGATTTAGCCCTGAACGAGCCAGACGACGTCGCTGACAATCGTGAGAGCGACACGAGTGTCTTCGTTTCCCTCGAGGAAGAGACCCTTTCCCGTCGCCAAGGGACCGTGAACAATCTCCCGAGCGGGGCCTGCATAAAGATCAGCAGCTGAGTCCCGTGGATGTTACGATATTCATGCAGCCGGATCCTCCTACAACCGCAAGATTGACCATGGCGTCCAAATCGCGCGTACGTCTTGTGTTGTATCTAGCTCGGTGGGGTCCTTCAAGTGAGGGCGTGACAGGCAACCGAACATTACGCTGTCATGAATGTCGAGTGAAATGCAAGGCAAATGTAGGGGAGGTCTCTTGTTGCAGGCGGCGAGAGGAGCTCTGGCGTCCGCCGACAATTCGGCCGAAACTGTCACGGATGCTGAGTGGGTGGGGCCGTCCTAATAACGGCCGAGCATTGTGTACAGGAGGACTGATGTAAAGATTTTGCTGAAAAGAAAAAAAAAAGAAAAAAAGGGACTCCATCGAGGGCGGCCCAGACAAAGCCTCATACCGTCTGATTGACCTCTACTATAGAATCCTCCATGAAAAGTCTAGACCGGCCAGTCCATCAGAGTGCTTTATAGAGACGCCCAATGGCTGCATACGATCACCGCCACCATTCAGGGGCATCAACAAAAACCAACCTTCCTAGATAGGTATACCTCGCACAGACGGGTGCATCAATCGCAAGGGAAGAAAGCTACCGCTGAATACGGCAAGGAGGCCAAATCGAGCTCAATCAGTAGACATTTCTACCTAGGTAGCTATACAAAACCACGAATAGCCAAAAACATGTACTCCACGCAAGGCTTAAAGCCGAAAGCGACCGACCGAAAACACCATCCAGTCCCGTGCTGTCCCAGCTTCCCATATTTAGCAAAATAAGACACAGACACATTCAAACCCGTGTTCGCGCCGGTCCCTGAGCCCGAAATCAGATGTCCCCCTTCCTTCCTCATCTCAACGTGCGCATGCCAGCTTTGTTTTCATCCGCCGCTTACCCTGACAGTACCTCCTCTATCAGGGCGACCCCCGAGTGGGACTCGGGCTCCCCTCGCGGCTCTTCACCTCAAAGCTCTCGACCATCCTCAGCACCCTCGTCTTGGGTCTCTCGATGCGTACCGCCTCGGCCGTCCGCAACGTCAGGCTTGGTCGCGGCTCCGATTCGCTGATGCCCGACTCGGTCGTCGAGATGCGCTTTAGCTCACGCTCGCTGGCCGCGGATGGGACCCTGAGCTCACGGCCCCGGGCCGGCGCCCACAGGTCCTCGTCGGCGATTGAAATGGATGAGGAAGAAGAGGACGGTGGCGGGATCATCACAGAAGGCGCCCCCGCCTTCTCGTCCACCACCTCCTCGACAGGTTCTACCGATTTCTTCTTCTGAATCCTCAACGGCTCGGGCGAGGGCGCAGACCTGGGGTCGAATCCTCCGGTGGTGACATCTGGACGCTCCCGCTCCCGCTCCGCCTCCTCGGGCGAAGGTGACAACGCGAGTCCGACCTTTTCCGGGTCCACAGCCGAGGCCCCATCGTCAATGCTCGCCTCGTCGCCATTGACGACCCTCAGCCGCTCTTTGGGCACGGTGAACATGAACTGCACGAGCCTCTTCTCAATGGCCCTCTCGATGTCCCAATCCTCCTCACTCATGCCCGGCGGCGGGCCCTCGTCACCGCCACGGGCACCGCTACCGCCGGCGTCATTCACTCCCTCGCCGTCCTGCCAACCGCTACGACCTTGCTTCCGCCTCAGCAGCTCGGCGCCGCCGATGCCGCTGAGCCCGAGTCGTGATTCATATGCCGTGGACGCGAGCTCGTCGCGGCCGTCGAGTGATGACCGCCGCGCCGGCGAAATGCTGCCGACGCTGCTGTCGGCGGGGCTGCCACCGCCCGAGACGCTGAAGACACGCCGCAAGCTGCCGAGCCAGCCCTTGCCGCGGCGGGGCTTGCTCTTGCTGGGGCTGCCGGGGACGATGAAGTTGTCTTCTTCGTCATCGTCGTCGCCGTGGTGGGGGTAACTTGAGCCGCGCGCGTGGCCGCCCTGATAGTGCTGCTCCCGTGTGGGGCTAGACCTCTCGCCGCGAAGAAGCAGCGAGGGGCCCTCAGCCTGCAGCGAGGTGAAGTTGCTCTTGGCCGTGGAGAAGGTGTGGGCGCTGTTGCTTGAGCTTGAACCTGAGCCTGAACCCGACGTGCCGAGACGGCCATCATTGTTGGTGGCGCCGCCGGCCGAGAGCAACGTGCCCGTGTGAGTTGGTGATGCGCGATAAGGTGTGTAGGATCGTGCCGTGCCAGCGGCTGATCCGGACCGCGACAGAAGGCTGCTGAACGTACTGCGGTTCGAGTCAGAAAGGCCGCTGCCCGTGCGCTCGTCGTCGGGCCCGGTAGTGCCGGACCGGGCAGAGCGCATTGAGGCGCGGCGTGTCGGCGAGCCACGGCCTGCGCGGGGAGGCATCTGCGCGAAGAGGGCCTCGGCGGCATCGACGTCCGACTGCCAGTCCTGGACCTCCGGATCGACAAAGCCCCGCTGATGGTTTCGGTCGGGGCTCGGCGTGAGAGCGGCTCGATTGGGCGGCAAGAAGGCGATGGGCCCAGCCGTGGCGGATGTAGATGCTTCCATGCCTGAGTGTCTCGGTGTGGCAAAAGGATCGGAATACGTTTGCGATGTCGGTGTCTCGGGTCCCATATCCGGGTCTCGCATGAGAACAGGGCCGTCGGGGGCTTCTTCATCGGCCTCGTAGATCGGATGAATGTGGCCCGCCGTCGGCAAATTGCCGGGGCGCGAGGCGGTGGGCTGGTAGGCGCCCCTTGCGGTCTTGGATATGACAGGTTTTCTCGGGATGAGCAGGCCGGCGGGCGCGTTGCCGCCGTAGCCTCCGAGTGCGCTGCGATTGTTCCTCAACGTCTCGTATCCGAGAGACCTCGAGCCTTGGTCGTAGGGGTCGTGTCCGCCCGTATACCACGAGTTGGACGACCATGGATCGTCTCGTTCGACCATCTCATCATCAGCGTGCAGAAAGCGCGCAGCATCCTGCGCCAGACCCTGCACCGCTCGATCGCGATCCTGTCTTTGCTTCTTGATCCGCTTTCGGTAGCAGAACCACACGACAACGGCACCAATGACAGCGAGGAGGCCGACGCCGAGACCGACACCGAGGCCTACTTTTTTCATAGTCTCGTTTTTGTTGTCATTCTTGGAGCTCCCTTCTGAAGCTCCCGAACCATTCCCTCCCGTGCTCGAGCTTGATGACGGGTTCGTGTAGCTTGATCCCCAGGACAAGGAGGTCAGGTTGAGAAACCGAGGCGAGCCGCTGCTCTGCTGCCTCTTGACCTTGCTGCGTGACCCAGATATTTCAAACCCGCCATAGGTCATCATAACATTACCGGGCAGCAGGACGGCGCCGTGGCCGTAGACACCCGACCCCTGCGGCTGGTCGTCTGGTATCTCCCACGCCCACTCGCCATACGAGTTGCCCATCCTCAGCACGGCGAGCTGCGGATCGGCGGCGTGGGCGACGGTGCCAACCCAGCCACCAAGGACGACGAGGGCGTCGCCCGCTTCGTTGAGAACGGCTGTGTGGCCTGATCGACTGTCGACGGACGATGGCGTGGCTCTCCTCGAGACGCCCTTGACGGCGAGCTCGGACCCGGGAAGACCACCGTCGGGCCCGTTGATAGAGAGGAAAGACCACGACTCGGCCGGCAGATTCCAGATTGCGGCAGTGCTCATGTTGATAAAGGCCGTCTCGGTATGGCCGCCGAGTAAAACGTAACTACGCTGCTGGGTGATTGTGTCGGATCTGTTGGTGATGGAAGGGCTCAGGGGGGTCAGTGAGAAGCCGGCCTCGGGGAAGGCTGGGCCCTTGGAGGTGATGAGCGATGCTGTGTAGCTCAGCTCGCTTTCGCTGGCGCTGTCTCGTGCGACGCGGACCATCTGCTTCGAGTAGTTGGCGGCCGACTGCCAAGATGGTGCGTCCTCGGAGGGTGTCGAGCACATGCCGCCATAGGAGTAAAGAATGGGTTCAGACATGACGGGGGCCAGAACTGAGGAGTAGCTGATGGCGGCGCCGAGAAAGTGTGGGTTGGGCTGGGCTTCATCGTCGTTGCTGTCGTTCGTATCGCGGGCGGTGTTAGCGGCAGCCTTTTCCCAGGACCCGTCTCTCGAATCGGAGGCCATGTCTGCGGGTGTGTAGGTCCAGACGTCGAAACCGCCGGCAGCGGCGCAGTCGCCGGCCTGCACGATAATGGTGCCATTGTCGGCCACGGTCGGCAGGAAGGCTGTCGTGTCCTTGGCGTTGCGCAAGAAGGGCAGGTCGGAGGAAATGGTTTCAATACTGGTGTCGCCATCGACTGTGGCTGAGATATTGACTGACAGGAGGTCGACATGCGTCTTGCCGTCGGTAGATGAAGAGGAGGGGCGAAAAATGTAGGCGATGTCGCTGCCGTTGGATGAGGTTCGATCCGGCAGGAGCACGGTCGTCGGTACGTAGGGAAGCGTCTGGGCGGCCGAGGCGACGGCCGGCAGAAGAGCGACGACGGCAAGCAGCGCCGTCACCCGGGTGGCTGCATCACTGGTGACGGCTGCGGCTTGCTGCCATGGATGCGACGGCATCGTGGGTCGTCGTCGAAGGTGGTGGTGCTTGTGGGAGGAATGGGGGAGGGGGTGAATTTTGGACCGATGCGCAGATCTGCGATCGTTTCAATGCATTGTTGGGGCAGTCGAAAGTCGATGGTGCCCGTTATCCTTCTCTTGATCGCTCAGTTGCTTGCTTGTCTGCTGGCTTGCCTCGTCTCGCTCTCCGTCTCTTGTCTTGCCTTGCCTTGGCGGATGGTGGCCCTGAGTCGTGATGTTTCCGCTCCCCCCATCAGGTTGTCATCACGACAACGACAAAATACCGATGAGCAGATGAAGGTGCGGCAGCGACAAGAGCTGCGAATCAGGACGAAGACGTGACGACAGGTTCGCAGGGAAAGGGGGCGAATAGAAGACAGAGCAGATGAGGCCCACGAGGAGGCCAGAGCATGTAGAAAGAAGTGGGAAAGTGTCGAGCTCGTCTGGGGGAGGGGAAGAGAGGAAAGCAGACCAGGATGACGAACAAGGCTGCCAAATCACAGAAAGCAGCTAATCATACACACCCCGGACAGTGCAGGAACCATGGGAGCAAGTGGGAAGGAGGGGAGGGTTTTCGCGGGATATACAGGCAGGCAGTATTTCTGACGAGACAGAGCCAGAACTAGAACTGGCAGGCAAGAGAAGAGACCACGAAGACGCTGCAAACATCGACAGCAACCAGGTGTCCCAATGTCAACACGACGACGACTTGCCTGACCTAGGTAGCTAGGTGACTTGACTATGCCTCAGAGGGGTGACAAGCGCCGTGCCCCGCCACCAGTCTTTCTTGGGGAGGCCGGTCAACCGAGCCTAGAACGATGATGGTGCAGATGGGTGTGGACCGATGGTGGCTCGTCACTGGTGGGCGCTTTGTTCTGCCTCTGCAGGGTGGCCTGGGGTGGATGTCAGTTGGTCTCGGCCTGGGTGAAGCGGCGCATGGAGGCTGGTTGAAGACAGGCAATTCAGGATTCGGGATACAGGGTCCCCATTGTTTTGTTGTGGGATGCGTCGCCCGCCCTGTGGCAGGTGCTTCTCAGTGCCCAGTTGACCTGGCGACGGACCCACCTGAGCTTTATCAGGATATTACCATTGGCTGCGACCCCGCTGCAGGCAGAGAGCTTATCGCAGCTCATTTTCTGGCCCCGTTTTAGGGAGCTGCTTCCAGCCAAGCTGCCACCATGTACCTTCTTACCTGCCTTGTAGGTACCCCGTGTCTATCTCATCGCAACCATCACCATTGTCTGACATGTGTTCTCCCCCCCCCCCCCCAGCCCATCCTTCCTTCAACCCTCGTGGAACATGGACAGCACCCTGCACTCACTGCATGGCAGCACACGTTCGACATGATAAGCGAGGCATCACAGCCACAGCCACAGTCACAGCTCTCGAGTCTCGTCTCGGGAAAAGCAACGTACGAAAACTGCCTGCCGACCTAGGTACCTTCTGTGGCTACCTAGCTACCTCGCGTCCAAAACACCAGAATGAGCATCCCGTGACAACCACAGACAACCCTCCTCACTTCAACGCCTGCGTACCAACCATCTTCTCCTGCTGCTGCTCCTAGCCACTGCCTACGCCTTCCGAGTCCGAGTCGCCAGGATGCAACTCGGCGGTGTCCGCCTTTGACTTGGCCCGCTTGGCCCGCTTCTGTTTCCCTACCTCCTCACCCTCGTCCTCTCCCTCCTGCTCCTCCTCGCCCACCGGGAAAGCCTTCATGAACTCAGTATACTTCGCCGGCATCTCCTTCTCGAGTTGCTGCATAATCCGCCTCACCATCGCCGTCGTCGCCGATGCCCTCTCCACCGTCGCATCCCTTTCGCTGCGCAGCTTGATAAAGTCGTCGTGCATACGTTGCATCCTCACCTCGACCGCCTTCACCTCGCTCTCCGTCTTGGCGCCCGAGTAGTACTGCTCGTACCGCGCCGTCGTCTGCTGCAGCTTCTGCCACTCTTTTTCCAGCAGCGACGCCTTCTCCCGCAGCTTGCCGTTCTCCGCCCGCAGCTCAAAGTTGGCAATCGACCGCATCTTGCCCTCGTGCAGCGCGTCCCGGAACTTTTGCTCCCAGTCCGACACCCGCGCCGGCCACGTCGGCGTCACCACCGACACCACCCCCGGCGCCGCCTCGAGACGCCGCGTCTCCGCCACCCCCGGGTGCTCGCCGTGCGCCGGAATCACAAAGATGGGCGACCGCGCCTTGCCCCGGAGCCGGATGTACCGTGTCTTGACGTCCCACACCACGAGGCCCGCGTCGTGCTGCTCCCCGCCCCGCCGCTCCTGCCACATTCGCTCTCCCGTGACCCCGTGCTCCCGCCACGCCCTCTCTCGCGGTTCGATCAGCGCCTCTTGCCGGTCGAGCACCTTGTGCACGTATTCAAACACGTCGTCGCCCGCGTTGCAGAGGATCCACCGGTCCTGCGGATACGCAATCTCGCGCCCATAGCTGCCCGCCCCTGACGACGCGCCCGCGCCTCGGGGCGCCATCATGGAGAGGTTCTGCATTGGGACAACGGCTTCGCCACGCAGTGCGTCGAGCGAGTTGCCGTACGCAATCTCGAGCTCGTGCATGCGCCCGACGAGGTGCTGGTTGAAGACGAGCCACTGGCCCAGCAGCGTGTTGCGTGCCGCCTGGAGCATCTCCGAATCGGCCGCCGCGTCTGTCGGCAGCAGCGACATGAGACCGCCCGTAGCGCTGTATTCATGATCAAGCATCTCCAAGCACTCGTTCGCGTGCATTGTGAGCGCATGGTGGGTAGCATATGGTCGTGGCCTCTGACCCTCCTTGTCTTGTCCTAGGTCGGCGTGTGTAGAAAGAGGACAGTGGTGGTGTGAGTGGCCCCTCTTCTCGCCCTTCACTTGGTTCATGAGCTCCGTCAAAGGCTTTTGATGCCACTCATCCGTGTTGGTGTAGGGCCGCGAGAGGTCGTTAAGCCAGTCGAAAGCTTCGTTCTCTCTGAACTCGCGAGTCGTGTGCCCACGGCCTCGGTTCTTGTTGTTGACCTCGCCAAATGCCGTGCTCACCGAAATATTTCTAATGAGAATGGCCAATGACTGTGCGTGCTGCTTCAAAGCCAGGAGTGTCGGCGCGCGCCCGGGTGTCGAGAGATAACCGCAGTTGACATGGGCATAGAGTTGATTTCCAGGCCCAAAGTGCTTTGTGTATCGCGACTCGTACGCTGTGGCATATTGAGTCTTGGGGACCGCCCCCGGGGCCTGTGTTGTTGGCGCTTCCGCCGGGGTCACTGTCATTATGCCCAGAGCTCAGGATTTGTGAAGCAACGTGAAAAACTCTTCCAACTGAGGCTTGTGTAGAGAGTGCCCGATCTCAGTATCGCGAATGATCAACAACGAGCAACGCAAGGAGTGAACCATCTCGGAGGGCATGTTTGTTTATCACAATCAACTTGACCAACAAGCCAAGATAAAGGGTATTCTGCCAATACTGTGTATAAGTCTAAACAAAGAAAGGATTCGAAGGCTTTTGACAAACAAACATCCAGGTGATTCGCTCTTCAAAGAAAGCATTTGTATTACCAAAGAAGTCATGGAATTAAACCGACAAAGGAGACAAAGGGTAAGGGTAAGCAAGGGAGCAAGACATGGGCCATTCGTTGTGCCAAGCCCCGAACGGTGGCAAAGGAGGTCAACAGTCTATCAACTGTGGCTCTAAGTGAGCATCGGAAGACGGAAGGAAGGACGACAGGAGACTGATCATGTCGGACGGGTATTGTGCCCGTTCACGAAGCCATTCAGAAACCGCTCACCAGGGCTTCCCATGCAGGCTCGTTGCTGCCAGATCGGGCCAGGTTGCTGGAGGCCCTGTACCCTTGCTGCAGACTGTCGAAAGCCGTGCAGCAACAGGTGGTGGTCTTGCATCAAGCGACGTGGACCTTCATTCGGCAATTTTAAATTGCGACGCGAACGTGAAAGAGCGAGTCGATCTTTGTGGCCCAAACACCTTGGGAACACTACCAACCCTCAGCGTCTGACCTTGTTGTTCATCATTCCTGGAGATCTGACGAGTAGACTTCTGAGACTTGCGGAAGGAAGAGTCCAGGAGTCTCAGGCGCGATGCCACGCTCGACGAGCTTGCCAGCACCTGTGCTGTATATGTAGCAGGCTGTCAGACATTTGGGCACCACGACGCATACAAGTAGATGCAAGTGGGTAAATCTGGGCCACCTCGGGCATGGAGGTGGCTTCGATAAAGGGTGACCACCGGCACTAGCCGCGGGGACGAGACCAGTCGATGCACGCTTCAGCTAGGGATGTTGTGTGGGAGTGTCTAAGCCACACCCATGTCGATGAAGGCCATTTCCGAGAAAGACACCGTTTGGGATGTTGGAGCACTGAGAGATGGCCACGCGATGGGTCACAAAGCCACCGATGCACAGATGGCATCGTTTGGGCAGGCGCCGTGTCACTGGGAGGCCTGCCAGGAACGTTCTCGACCTGCGCTGCGTCCCGCGAGCACCTTGTCGGGCGTGGTGCGAGTGCGGCAGTGTTTCCTGTGTGTGCTGCTCATCAGCTGAGTCGTCCTCAAATTGTCCAGACTATGGCAGTGATGAAGATGTCCAGCTGAGGCATGCCGGGCTATCGGCATTGGAATCGCGATCACGATGATGGAAAGGTTGTTGAAGTGGGGGGATAAACCAGGACGGACAACCGGCCAAGTGTTATCAAGGTTCACCATCGACAGGGCCGGAAATGGGAAGGTTTTGGTCAATCAGTCATTGGCGCCCCGTGGGCCAAGGTGGTAGGATGTGCTAGGCATGGAAAGGGTAAAGGGAGATGGACTATCTTTGCATTGATTTGGGTACTGACCTGACAGCACGCTCGCGTACACCGAAAACCGCCCGTCTTGTTTGGCAGTCCGCATGTCCTGTGTGAGGCATGACGAAGACGGAGACGCTTCGCCTACTATTCCATCACTATGCAACCGAGGAGGGGAATGAAGGCTCGGATGTCAGGGCATGTCATATGCAGACAGTGTAGGTGTAGAGGTTGGAGATGGAGCAGTTCATGGCCGTAGTGCACCACTCCTGTATTTACTGAAGTACATACGCGACGGGGATCCTGTCTCGATCGTTTCAAAGCAAAACCCTGGTCGATCGTGGACGCAGGCAGTCGGGGCATTTGCAGCGGCCTGGCCATCAGATAGGTTGCAAGGGATGTCCACACTCAAGGCGACAGGTAGAAGAATAAGGTATCATGATGTGATGGATTAGTGATGGTTGTTCCGGACACCTTCGCCTTCTCAGGGTCCTTTGAGTGGACGTGGTGTGAAGGGGACACGGCAGGCGCATCCATCCACCACCCTCAGGACTGCCACGATCATGAGCATGCTGGTCTGCTACTTTGGGAGGGAGTGTGGGGCAGGAGCTGCTGGTCAGCCAGCGTGAACGTTGATCGTCAAGGCAAGCACGAACGGTGTGGTGGGAAAGTCTTGACGCTTGGGCAACTTCCCACCTCGTCTTCCGATTCAATGGACGGCAGTGACCGTCATTGATGTGGAGACAGTCCAATTTCAGGAGATGCAAACTACAGCTTTGGGCAATAGTACCCACGCACCGACCAGCATCAGGCGGTCTACCACTGCAACAACCACCCACCGTCGCCCATTCCAGACCTTGGCGGCTTCCCTGTCCTGCGGAGAGCTGTCCAGCTTGACAGGGGTCCAGTTTCCCCTTGTAGCCAGTAATGGCCGGCTTGGCCCCTGTTGTCATCCCTCCTGCAAATCTGCGTCATAGAGGGCACCCCCGTCACGCTCGACCTTTGGAGTTCGAGGGGGAGGCGCAGAGGCTGCTCCAGCCTGTCCAGGCCAAGTTTCCCAGCTGCCAGCTCCCGGATCCCCAGCGCCAGTCACCCATCCCCCACCCAACCTGCAGTTCCCTCCCAGCACACCCCAGTTGTCCTGATGCATCAGAAAACCCTGATATTCCTTCTTAGATGGACCCTTATTAATTCGAGCGTGATTCCATCTCGTCTCGTCTCCTAATCTGGTCCACGAAGCAAGCGACCCTCTCCGTTGACTGCGACCCTGGTGCCAGGTTTTTCTGTTGTGTCCTCGACACACCATCAGGTACTCCATGCTCGGCGCGTACCGCAGGGGAATCTACGCCATCTCACAGCACAACCGAGACATCACTTTCCACCCGCAATCACAAGAGGAACGAAGGCCTGACGCTAGCAGCATTAGCTCGCTGTAGCTTGTCATTGACCTTGCCAACCTTTGGTCACTGGTAAAGGGTAGCACAGAAAAACAGAACGAAATCGACTGACGCATCACACCAACCGCGTCCTTCATCCTGCCCCTTCTTTCGTCGAGGGCAAGATCGACACGTCCTGATTGCGTCGCTTGGCTGTTGTTGCATGCAGTGCAGTACCTAGACCAAGCACCCGTTCCCCCCTGGTCACGTCACTGCCGTTTGCCAGCGTCACACAGATCGGCACCTGGATCTTGGCTCTCTTCCGCCTTTTTCTCCCTTGATCCCCCCTCTTAGTCGTCGACTTTCTTCCTCAAACTTGGAAGACCAACTTGACCCAACAACCTCTCATCGTTCCATTGGCGATCGGCTCGAGGTAACGACGATTCACCTCTAACGACGTCGCGCGACCGCTCGCAATCATGGACGCCCTCAGGTTCTCCAAGCGGCAGTCGCAGGGCGAAGCCCGCGACTCCAGCACGGAGACGGCATCACTCTCTGGTGCGTCCACAATACTCTCCGCGTCAAGACATCGTGAACTGGCGATGAATGCGCTTGCTAACACCAAGTCCCAGGCATGGTCTCAACTTTCGTGCCAGTCATAATCACTGCCACCGTGCTCTTCACCATCTTCCTTATTCTGCGCAGGAGCAAGCGCCGCTTCTACGCGCCCCGAACCTATCTAGGCAGCCTGCGTGAGCAGGAACGTACGCCCGCCCTGCCCAACGGTCTTTTCAACTGGATCGGCGCCTTCTGGAAGATTCCCGACATCGTCGCCCTTCAGTCCCAGTCTCTTGATGCCTACCTCTTCCTCCGCTTCCTGCGCATTTGCGCTACCATCTGCCTCGTTGGTCTCCTTATGACATGGCCCGTCCTGTTCCCCGTCAACGCGACAGGCGGCGGCGGCCAGAAGGAACTCAATATCTTGAGCATGTCAAACATTGACATCACCAAGTCTTCAAACAAGAACCGCCTCTACGCGCACGCGTTCATCGGCGCCCTCTTCTACGGTTTCGTTATGTACACCATCTTCCGCGAGTGCATCTTCTACATCAACCTGCGCCAAGCTTTCTTGCTGTCGCCCACCTACGCCAAGCGCATTTCCTCGCGCACCGTCCTGTTCACCTCTGTGCCTGCCGCCTACCTCGAAGAAAGCAAGCTGCGCAAGCTGTTCAGCGATTCGGTGAAGAATCTCTGGATCGCTGGCACCACGAAGGACCTTGACGAGCTCGTCGAGGAGCGTGACAAGGTTGCCATGAAGCTCGAGGGCGCCGAGGTCAAGCTCATCAAGGCCGTCAACAAGGAGCGCCTCAAGGCCATCAAGAATGGCGCTTCTGCCGAGAAGCCTGCTCCCTCCAACGACGCCGAGCCTGGTCAGGTCGCCGCTCGCTGGATTCCTCAGAAGAGCCGCCCTACCCACCGCCTGGGCAAATTCGGTCTCTACGGCAAGAAGGTTGACTCGATCGATTGGGCTCGCGCTGAGCTCCAGAGGCTCATTCCCCAGGTCGACACTGCTCAGGCCGAGTACCGTGCCGGCAATTATGCCAAGAACGGTGCCGTTTTTGTCGAGTTCTACACTCAGTCTGACGCCCAGGCTGCCTTCCAGGTCCTCACCCACCACCACGCTCTCCATATGAGCCCCAGGTACATCGGTATCACCCCGGGCGAGGTCGTTTGGAAGTCTCTGTCCATCCCGTGGTGGCAGAAGGTAGTCCGCAAATACGCCGTCACCGCCTTTATCACAGTTCTCATTCTCTTCTGGGCCATTCCTGTTGCTGGCGTTGCCATGATCTCTCAAGTCGACACCCTCAAGAAGGTCAGCTTCCTGACATGGCTCGACAAGATTCCCAATATCATCTTGGGTCTAGTCGGTGGCCTGCTGCCCAGTGTTGCCATGGCGATCCTGATGGCCTTGGTTCCCATCATCATGCGTCTCTGCGCCAAGATTGCTGGCGAGCCTTCTGCCTCGCGTGTTGAGCTCTTCACTCAGAACGCCTACTTCTGCTTCCAGCTCATCCAGGTCTTCCTCATCACCACGATCTCTAGCTCGGCCGTGGCTGCTGCCCAGCAGATCGTGGATGATCCTAGCTCAGTGTTCGACATTCTTTCCGAGGCTCTGCCCCGTTCCTCCCAGTTCTACGTCTCGTACTTCATCGTCCAGGGTCTGGGTATCGCTGCTAGCGTCGTTTCCCAGGTGGTTGGCTTCATCATCTTCACCCTGATCTACAAGTTCCTCACAAGCACCCCCCGATCCATGTACAACAAGTGGGCCCAGCTCAGCGCCATCTCCTGGGGGTCTGTCATGCCGGTCTACACCAACATCGCGGTCATTAGTAAGTCTTGGACTCGATGCCTCTGGCACAGGACTTGTGTGCTAACATGATATTCCAGGCATCGCTTACGCTGTGATTGCGCCCATCATGCTTTTCTGGTCGACAATCGGTATTGGCTGCTTCTACATGGCGTACCGCTACAACATCTTGTTCGTTACGGATACGAACATTGACACGAGAGGCTTGATCTACCCTCGTGCGCTCAAGCAGCTCACCTGCGGCGTCTACCTTGCGGAAATTTGCATGATTGGCATGTTCTCCGTGAAGAAGGCTCCCGGTCCTGTCGTCATTGCCGTTGTCCTGCTCGTTCTCACGATTCTGGGCCACATCACCTTCGCCAGTGCCCTCAACCCCCTGCTCTACAGCCTCCCCCGTACGCTGCAGGTCGAGGAGGAGCTTCTCCTGACCGGCGACGTCGAAGCTGCGGCTGCCGGAACCAACGGCGAGGGCGCTGCTGGCACACAGTCCAAGGCTGCCATTTTCAAGAAGGTCCTTCCTGGCAACGGCGACAACGTTGTCGAGAAGCGCGGCAACATCATCACACGCTGGCTCAAGCCGTGGATCTTCGCCGACTACCACACCCTCCGTGCGCTGGTGCCCCACGACCTTGTCGATGTCGACCAGCTGTATTCTGAGCAGGTGGAGAAGGACGCCTACTTCCCTCCCTCTGTCACCAGCGCGACTCCTCTGTTGTGGATCCCCGAGGACAAGGCTGGTGTCTCTCGTGATGAGATCATCCAGACGAGCAAGGTCATAGGCATCACCGACGAGGGGTGCACGCTGGACGACAAGAACAAGCTTCAGTGGGACGCCGAGGGCGCACGACCACCCATTTGGGACGAGAAGATTTATTATTAGGATGTGCGAATCCGGCATTATAGGCAAGTGCAGAATAAGCAATCGCGCCTTGGGTGCCTGGTTTTGCGAACATTTGTTGCGTATCAAATCCATAAGAAAGGGAGAGGAGTACAGGTTCACAAGTTGAATAGCGACACCGTTGGCTTGGGGATTCTTTGATGAATCGCAGTGCGGAAGGCGGGGGTTATGATACCCACAATGAATTCTTTTTTGTTAGTGCAATACATCTAATACTGAACCGCAACACTCTCTGCGTGAATGATGTGTCAATGTGGCGTGTATTCGAGTCGAAGGGTGACCCAAAGAGCAAGACTGGTCGATCCCGATTGCTGCAATGATGTACATGTATAACGACCACGAACCGTGTCACCCCTTTCGCAAATTTAGTCAGCGGCATCCGGCCCTCGTCCATGGTTGCTCGCTCGTTGCCCGGTCTCACTGTTCACGAATCGGCCCTGCTACCTCGGAATCTTCCGTAGGACTCGACGGAGGGGATGCTGTGCCAGGGGCACTATACACTTCTGCGTGCGTCACCAATGTCAAACATCGGGCACTTATCGTGTCATGAATTACATCTATTTGTTAGGCACCAGGGTGAGAAATGGTAGTGGAAAGGCTATCCCCAGACTGAGAAGGCTCACACGTGAGCATTCTGTAGCAAGGGAATCGAGAGAATCCGGCGCGGGCTGCGCGAGTCGTGAAACGCGGACTTGGGAAATGTGGTGTGGATAGGCCGCGGCGGAGTTGGAGTCGCGCGGGCTTCGGTGTTCAGAAGCCTTTTGCTTGCGCGATTGCACAGCAGCCGCGCAATGGCCAGGGATAGGAGGAGTTCACACCAGCGCCATGACGTGTGTCATTGGATGGAAAACAGGGTGCGGTCCATGCTGACCCTAGGTAAGGAACCTAGAAGGCAGATGAGACGGCACTGATATGCAGGACCATTGTGTTGAGCCTCATACAAACAGGGGCCCGTTGAGTGGCTGTTTCAACCACGACCGCGATGGTACATTTGCTTGCGATTTCGTGGGCTCAATCATACTTTGCCTTACGCAGGCACGATGATGAAGCTGACGAGATGATTCTGTTGAATACCTTGTCCTTCCTGAGCTGTGGCTAGAAGGATGATGCTCCGACAGTGAGTACCGGCCGGCACTGGCTACGGCCCCCGTCACCCAAGGCTCACTGGCCCTCTACCTATGCAAGGAACGCCTGCTCGTATAGTAGCCCTATAATCATTGAGAACTGCCGAGTTTACTTCGTCAGAGCCCCGCCCGGCTTTCGACGGAATCTAAACACATGGTGGCTATGAATCGTTGTTTGCATTACCTTTCAGGATCCTTGCCCTTGCCCCCTTTCCATACCTACCTAGGTTCCAATCGCCAAGGGACAACACAATCAACACGCTTGAGGGGGCTGAGCCTTGAGACTTCGTATAGGCGCATGTATCAATGTCGAGTGAAAGCCTGACGTTGCGTGGGTCACCCGAACGGAGGCGGTCGTCATTCTGTTTGACCGACGACCCGCTCGGCCACTGCCGACATATCCGCCTTTCACCGGCGTCGATGGATGGACTAATAAGAAGACCCGTCTCCGTCTAGAATTGAGGATAATAGTTGTAGGTCTGGCACTAGACGAGCCACGCAGAGAACATCGCGATATTTTTGAGCATACCAAAGTCCCGACTACCTTTCGACAAGATCACAACGAGTACAATCTACTCGCCTCCATCAGCACCCATTCAAGGAGGTCCTGATAGTCGAACATCATGGTCTCAACTCCTCCGCCAAATCTGATTCCCTTTGGCGCTGACGCCAATTGCACCCTTGACCTCTGTCCTTTGGAATGGAGCATCCTACGATATCAGCCGTCGATCGCGGCGAACACGGTCTTCATCACGTTATTCGGCGTTTCAATGGCCCTGCACATCATTCAGGGGGTTCACTATAAAACTTGGACCTATGCGAGCTGCATGGCAGCCGGGTGCATTCTCGAGATCGTCGGCTACGTGGGCCGGTTGATACTGCACCACAACCCCTTCAGCTTCGAGGCCTTTCTCATGCAGATCAGTGAGTTTGCCGTCTCACGACTTGCGTCTGACACTACATGGCAGGAGTCTAACTCTAGCTATTAGTTTGTATCACCGTTGCTCCCGTGTTTTTGTGCTCAGCAATCTACATTCTTCTCTCCCAGATGTAAGCCGGCGCCTCCTTCTCGCTGTCGTTCATGCTGCTCTCGGCAGGACTGATCATTACATCTCACCAGGATCAACTGGAGCGACCGCTCGATATCCCGCTTTGACCCGCGCGTGTTCTACTGGATCTTCATTCCCGCCGACATCATCTCCCTCGTTCTGCAGGCCACGGGTGGCGCCCTCTCAGCCGTCGGCACCGAGGAGGACGAGGTCCAGAACGGGGTTGACATTTCCCTCGCCGGCCTCAGCATCCAGGTGATCGCGCTGACGACGTTCGTGTGTCTCTTCGCCGACTATCTCATTGCGTACTTTCGCAAGCACGGCCAGGAGGTTACGCGGCGCATGAAGGTCTTTCTCTTCTTCCTGTTCCTGGCTGTCATCTTCATCCTGATCCGCTGTGCGTACCGCATCGTCGAGCTCAAGGACGGGTATCACGGCGTCGAGTTCCGCAATGAGGCCAAGTTCATCGCCCTCGAGTCATCGTGAGTCTCCAGCGCCTGCCTGAACACTGACGTATCCACTCTGGGCTTTGTTGCTGACCGGCTTTGGGTCTCAGGATCATGACCGCTGCCATCTTTCTGCTCAATATCGCACATCCAGGCAGAGTCTTCGACGTCAGGCAGAAGACAGGCAAGGACTCCAGCTCGTTTGAGATGCGGGACCTGCCTAAGACGCAGACCCAGGGCAAGTCAGAGAATAACGATGATGCTGCGACATTGGTCTGATGGTCTCCCGTATGTACATGTTTCAGGAATGCCAGGAAGCGGTGCAGGTGCTATTCATCTAGTGCGATGTGGATATCGATGCGATAAGGCGCCGGGCGAAGGCCAGCCCAGGGAAACTGAGGTCGTATTCTCGAAATCCGAGGTAATGGCAGATGGATGATCTATAAAGGTTACTGCGGTACAATGTCGGGCGGCGTGGTAAGTTTTAGACGACGTCTCCATCACTGACTTTAGAAGAAGATAGATGGAAAAGAAGAATAGATAGATTGCCATGACGAGAGTATTTCGAGTGCGTGGGAGCAACAGTTCTCGCACAATTAGTGCTTTCCTACCCAGGTACCTACCTACCGTAGGTACCTTAGTCTGATAGAGGTTGCAGCCTTGCGATGGAGCACACATCACTCCTTCCAGATTCCCTTCATCAACCTATAGCCAGAGCTTTGAATGGCAATACTTCATTTATATGCAATACCGACTGATTGAACAGTCTGACCTTCGCGCATCAAGTGTCAAGTTGGCTGTAGAAGTCGATACCACGCTGCTGTGAACGTGGGTCGAGTATACTCATCACGTGATGACATCACCGTGTCTTCCAGATCGGCACAGCAACCACAAGATGTCGCTACAACCACCCCCCGCGGACATCACTCCCACACCCTCACCAAGACGACCCCAAGCCGGCGCTCTCTCTTCGCATGTCCGCTCACCAGCGATCGATATCGCCTCGTTCTGGCTTGACCAGCCAGATCACGACCAGCAATCGCCCACCGCCAGGCACCAACTCACGCGACTTCTCTGCCGTCGCGCTTGCGGTGGAGGGAACGCCTACCGGAGCGGCATCATGGCAGAGGCCCTCCTTGGCCTTGCCCCATCCTCGCGACTCGACGACACGCACACGAACAAGATCCAGATACAGCACCCCGATCAGATTCAGGACCACCTACGCCGCGCCATTGAGTACAATGTTCGCCCGACACGCGCTGAGCACGTCTCTGTCACCCTTGATATTCGCAACACGGTTCAGTTCACTCTAGGCAGTGCCGACAACGACACACCAGCGCCGCCCGCCAATGCCAATGCCAAAGCCAATGCCAATGCCAATGCCAATGCCAACGCCAATATCGACCCAGCACTGGACGGGGCGCCGCCGCCGCCGCCGCCGCCGCCGCCTGTTCCAGCAATGGCATCTACGGCACCCAGGACGGTGCGCGTCAACGACGCGCTCGCCAACCAGCCCCAAGATGACCCCTCGCTGCAGCGGTCCGTGGCCAGCCACATCGTCGAGCTTCTGGCCGCCGTCGACGGCGCAACCTGGGCCGTAAGCGACATTTCACGCGGGCCTCAAGGATGGACCGTCACGTATACCTGCAAACACTCGCTCGCAGCTTGGCTGAAGCAGCACCGAAAGAACCCGGACAAGGGCCTCATTGGCGACTACAGCCAGAAGGATCCCGAGATGGCCATATTCGGTACGAGTCTTGCACGCCCCTTTTGCGCCCTTGCCCGCGTCGTTAAGCTGACTGAACTCACGCACAGCACGCCCGGCGTTCGACTGCCGCGGCTCCCTGACCGTGGCTTTTTCTAAGAGCGCCCGCGTCGTCTCCGTCAAGTACGAGCACACGCCCTTCCACAAGACGGTCAAGGAGATGGCCGAACACTTCCGACCGCCGCCGCCGCCGATGCCCACAGTCGCCGCCACCGCCGAGACGACCGAGACGACGAAGAAGACGCCCAGGAGGTCAAAGGCCGCAGCCGAGAACGGCGATGGCAACGAAGGCGAAGGAGGGGCAGCCGGCCAAACGAAGAAGACGCCCCGAAAGCGCAAGTCAGATGTCGACGGAGCGACCTCGACAAAACGGAAGCGCAAGAGCAAGTCAGGCGCCGGCCAGAACGCCACTGATGCGATCATGGTCCCTGCGACGCTCGACGGAGCTGATGGAAACACACAAGCCCAGACGAGGGCCGACGAGGTGGTACAGAGCAGCGTGCACTCGCACGCACTGCTCAACGTGCCACCGGCCGAGGCGACCAGACGCCGCGAGACGGCTATCCGGCTGCTGTCCGAGGGTGGGGTCGAGCCTGAGACGTTGTCGACCGACCAGTTTAGCATCTTTGCGAATCAGTCGCCGGACCTGCAGAAGGAGTCGCTCATCATGCTCGCGAGGTACGGCGCTGAGCGTCTTCGCATCGTCCACCCCAAGGACCAGGCTGCTTCCGAGACGCCCAGTGGTGGCGAGAGCTCGACTGAGCAGACCCCGCAGCCAGCGAACGGCGAAGCCGCTGTCGAGCCTGGTGCGAGCAGCGTCGAGCCGACCGTAGCTGTCGGCAATATTGCAGGCGGAAAAAAGGCGGCGAAGCCCAAGCTCACGCGAGGCGCTTGCACGCCGTGCCGCTCCAGCCGCACCAAGGTACGCAATCCGTGGTCGCGGCCAGTGTTGGCGAATTTGCTACTAACACAACAAAAGTGCGACCGTACAAAACCGTCATGCGACGCCTGCATCGTCGCTGATATCAGCTGCGAGTATCCCCTCCAGCAGAATCGCGGACCCAGGGGCGAGAGCAGCGCCAAGCCTGCCAAGCCAAGAAAGTCTGCTGCACGAATCGAACCAGACACAGAGCCTGAGGAGGTCGAAGATCCAGAGCCCGACGACATCGAGACCATTGACTACACTTCGAACATGCCCGTGGCCAGCATGGTCACGCCAGCAGCAGACTTGAGTACTCAAGATTACTTCAACACGGGCTCCGGGGGCCTATCGTTCCCCCAGACGAACCACCCCGACGTGCCGGTCATCAACCCTTCCAGCGTGACATACCCAGCACCACCGCCAGCTGCCGAGGAAACATACTCTGAAGTACACGCTGGCGTCGTGTCGCCGCCGAAGCCGCGGCAGACAAACGGTCGCCGCAGCCTGCCTTCAGGTCCCACCCAAGCGGCGCCGGACGCCGAACAGACGCAAGCTCAGGTCGACTACGCAAGTGGCTGGCAGCAAGGCGCATCCAATGACGCCGCCCGGAGCGCCAGCACACGGTCGCCTACTCTCGCCAAGCAAGCAGCGAGGCAGCATCAGCAGCACCAACAACCCTCGCCGACTATTCAGCCCGCACAAACCGTTACCCCGTCCCAGACATCTCCCTTTCAGGTGCCTGCGCAGACTGCCAGAGTCAAGTCGCGGACCGGGCAAAGGAGCCAGACCCCGCATGGCATCCAGCGCACGTCGACGCCGTCGCACCACACGGTGCAGCAGACCCGATCGCCTGCAGCCCCGCCCCCGACCGTCGCCACACCGCACTACAGCGCCGCGGCCGACCTGACGGCCCTGTCACAGCAGAGCGCGTACAGCGTGCGCTATTCGAGCGCAGCGGACCAACAAACTGCGCCGATGCGACTCGGGTACGAGCCATACTCGGTCCAAACCGCAGCCTCCAGCTCCACGTATCCCGCGCAGAGTGCCTACAGCAACAGATCATCATCCACATCCCACCTACCTACGGTTCAGGCTCCTCAACAACCAGCCACTTCAGACTACAGTACGACGACGGCGGCGGCCGACCAGACTTGGCCGGACTCCCATGGTCGCGCCGGCCAAACCTACAGCACCGGCACATCGAGCGCCTCGACCTCAGCCCAGCACCAACACCACCAGTCTACGTCTCTGCAGCAGTTTGACATGCGCTCCAAGGGTCCAGGACACCAGCAGCCTCGTTCCCAGCAGCAACAGCAGCAGCAACAGCAGCAGCAACAGCCATATGGGAGCTACACCCCTCAGCAGCAGCACCAGCAGCAGCAGGCGCAGACGTCTACATCGTCCCGACAGCAACAGGGTCACGAGCAGACGCAGTCCGCCGCCCAGCAGCAGAGTTCATGGTATGGCAGCTTCGGGTCCGGCTCTTCTTCCTTTGTACCTGCCAACGCGACACCCGGGTATGGTAGCCGTAGCAGCGGTGCTGCGGGGTACGGGAGCAGCACCGCGAGCACGGCGTCTTACGGCCAGCAGCAACACCCTCAGCAGCAGCAGCAGCAGCAGCATCGACAGCAACAGCACCATGGCCTGTCTAACATGCCGGCCCACGGCTACGGTGGAGCGGACGGTGATATTTATGATCTTCTCAAGGCGGGCATGAATTCGCGGTAGGGAATGCGCGGACCTTGCGTGAATACTGGTAATTGGGCATCAACCTTCATCTCGGCATGCGACAGCAAGGCGTACGGATCTTTTCGGGGACTTTTCGGGGAAAGAGTTCAGCATGAGATGATAAAATGGGTGAAATGAGTCGAAGACTGACGACTGCATCAGGACGGCAGAGGGAGGTCTTCTCGACAGAGCATAGCGTACTCATCGAGGCCTTCACGATTTCTGCCAGGGTTGGAAGGCGCGTTACTTGCTATGCTATCTGGGATAGGTTGCGTGAAACGGAGCTCGACACGCAGGTGTTGCCGATCGATTTCCGAGGTAGCATTGGACCAGATGGGGTGACCAGATGGAATCATTGGGAGGCAAGACTACCAAACATGCTGGATCAGCATTTTTTCATCTACCTTGCTGCGCCTGACCCGGGCTTTCGTGATCCTCCTTACCCTCGATTAAAGCCAGGGAGCCTGCCTTACTGGATCTGTCATTTTTCTTCCTGAAAGGACAAGAAGTACCCTCCAACAGCTTAGGCTCGGAATGAAGGTACTGCGGACCGGTTGCCTGCGCTGCCCGCCAGCTGTGCCACCGCTTCATGTCTTGCCGTGCCGTTGCTTGTCCAGAGCGGACGCGGCGGCTGTGTCGCGGAACTCATGTGCTGACACAGACGTGCCTCGGACTCGGGTGGCTCGCACTCGGCACCCCCCTCCCCACCCCCCGCAGTGGTGAGCGTACTCGGCATCTCGGACTCGGGCTCGAGTGTTGATGGTTCCCTACTCGAGGAATCCTTCTGATGACACGTCAGGCACTTTTGTTGTCGGCTCGCGTGGCACAGTACCATTCACCCCCCCCCGTTGCCAGGACTGAAGATGGCAAGGTGCCCGGCTGAATGGTGACGAACGCCACACGGCGCCGAGTTCGACTGCCCTTGCTGCATGCCCTGGATCCCAGCCAGATGGTCATCTGCTGAAGCTCACCAATCAACAAAGAAACACAAATCCTCACTTCCCCAAAACTCGACGCCGCACGGAATTGCAAGGTTCCTGTTCCTAGCCAGAGCAGGGGCTCAATTGCTGTGCAGCAACTTGTCCCATCTCATCCTCGGGTCTCTCAGACACATCAAATGATATTCCCGTCCTCGAGGCCTGATTTCTCCAGCTCGGTCCGCGGTCCGTTGTGCCAATGAATACAAGCCGGGTCGGGGCAAGGTTTTTGATCCCACCGGCGTGCCCGGGACGATGATGGTTCAGGGAGGATCTCCAGATGGACATAAATGGGATCGCGAGGACGCACATCTCCTGCCGAAAGCTTCTGTATCTTTCGCCACAAGTTCCAGCATAACCAAGCGCTCTGTGGTTAGCCTAGCCAAGATGCTCTTTGGATCCTTGACCTCCCTGCTCGCCATCGGCGCAACCCTCCACCTGGTGGAAGCCGCCACATCTCCGCCCAAGGCCAAGACTGTCAACGGCACCTATGTCGGGTATGACCTGCCCGAGTTTCAACAGCAGGTCTTCCTCGGTATCCCCTATGCCAAGTCGCCACCGCTGAGCAATCCCGAACCGCTCACAGAGTCGTGGAAGGGAACACGGTCGGCCCAGAAGTACGGCAACATCTGCCCCACGCAGTCTGACGAGAGAATCTTCAAGGCAGTCAATGCCACCTTCTCTCACGATTGTCTCAACCTCAACATCATCCGGCCCGCCAATGTGCGCGCTGGAGACAAGCTTCCCGTTGCCGTGTGGCTCCACGGTGGTGGCTTCTTCGCAGGCTTCGGCGCAGAGAGCAACACCAACACGTCGTACGTGATCAGGGCCAGTGTTGAGAACAAGACGCCCATCATCACCATTACCCTCAACTACCGTCTCGGATTCCTGGGATTCCCAGGTGGACCACAGGCAGTGGCGGCGGGCATCACGAACCTTGGTCTCAAGGACCAGCGCATCGCCCTCCGATGGATCCAGGAGAACATTGCAGCGTTTGGTGGTGATCCTGCCAAGGTCACCCTGTGGGGTCAGTCTGCAGGCGCCATTTCCATCACGCACCAGATCCTCGCATACGGCGGCGAGGATTCAGGTCTTTTCCGCGGTGGCATCGCTGTCAGTGGTACGGCTGGATACGGCACCAACAGTCTTTTCCCCCTAAGCACGCACCTGACGGACGGCTATAACCACATTGCCAACGCATCCGGCTGTGCGGGCCCCGAGATTGATGACAGTCTCGAGTGCCTCCGAAAGATCGATGCCTTTACGCTGTACCAAGCTGGCTGGGATGCCGTCAACGCAGGTCAGGCAAAGGGGGAGATTGCCCTCTACTGGTGGCCAGCTGTCGACGGCGACTTCATCAAGGAGCCGCCTGTCTCGCAGCTCGATGCTGGCCGTTTCCCGCGAAACATCAACCTCATGACGGGTGCCAACAGCGACGAGGGCCTTCTCAGCATCCACGTGCACAGCGCTGGCCTCAAGACGGAAGAACAGCTGAAGGACCGCCTCCATTTCTATTTCCCCACTGCGCGTTCCAGCACCATCCAAAAGATCCTTTCGGCATATCCCGTGGATGCGCCTTCGTCGCCCTACTCTCTGCCCATGAAGGGTGCCGACGGAAAGGACCCTTTCTGCGAGGCCATGCAGGTGGCTAATCTCACGTGCGAGCCGCAGACAAGGCGCATGGCATCGATTCTCGGCGACTTTGCTTTCATCTCGAGGCGACGGCATTCGGCCGAATCGTTCGCCAAGTACGGTGTTAAGACGTACAGCTACAGGTGAGGCGGGTCGAGACGGGACCGGTTGGCATCTCGCAGAGCAACGCTAACTAACATGGACGGTGCAGATTCGACACTGACCCAACGGACATTCCGATCAGCGAGGTCTTGGCGCCGGGCTTCGCCACGCACGCGAGCGAGTACACGTACTTCTTTGGCTTCCCTCCCGATTACAACATGTATGAGCGCAATTCGCCGGTCGTCAACGTCAGCTCGCACCTGAGGCTCTCCCGTGGCATCGTTGACAAGCTTGTGTCCTACATTGCAACAGGGGACCCCAACACCAAGAAGGGTAAGCACCGGCTTTTCAGCTGCGTGCCTGGCAGTAGAGAATCGTGGCTGACCATGCTCGACAGTTGATTTCATGCCTAAATGGACACCCTACAATGTCAATTCGCCGAAGAACATGCTGTTCAACGCCACAGCGTCGAACAACAAGATCAATGTTCGTCTTGAGGAAGATACCTGGCGCAAGGAAGGCATGGCGCTGTGGTCTGAGTACGCCTTCGAGCTGGACCCCGGGAGCAAGTGGAGGCGGTGATCGGATCGTGACAGTGATCTGACGGTCGTACTCAACACGTAATCGTAATCGTAAATTGGATGATGGCTGAAGTCAATTGGGGGCCTCTATCGGGCAGTCAAGTATTGAGGGGTCGTTCAGAAAACGAGACGCCTAGCTGGAGGATCACGCGTTGTGCTGATATCAGTCCATGTTGATGACGATGATGGAGAATATCAGTCTATGTTGTTGGTGATGGAGAAATATCCAGAGTAATTTCGAGATAGATAATGAGCACCATCCCCTCGCTGTGTCGATATCGTACCGAATTCACAAGTACCGCGTATGTTGAGTGCGCTAGAGGCAGGAATGCCACATGACACCTTCCTGTCGGAGATGCCAAGTCTCCCACCTGCCTCGTCACAAGTGCTCAGCTGACAAGCAAAGTAAAAGGCTTCCCGTATATTCACGCAGCAGTCAATTAATTGATACAGTGTAGAAGTGCATCTGGAGAGATTTCGTCGTACCAGCCAACATCTACAGTCTTCTTGTATGTCTATTGCTCTAGTGAGGCTGCCGTACCCCCTAACGGTGAGGTCTTTCCAGGACAGTCCAATGTGAGCCCAGGGGTGGAAAGATCGAGAGAGGGCTGTGCCGCCGAGCGGGGTGCTCTGGTGGTGGAAGACAGTGGTGAGCTTCTTTTGTGGTTATGTTTAAAGAAGGAATCTCTGTGGACATCTGTCCGTCTCCCTCCTCTTTCGGAGTTGGTGCTCTTGGCGATGGTCACATCGGCTCACCGTTTGCTTGTCACGGCCACCACTAGACTCCCGTGGAAGGAAACGACAACAAAAGAGCTGAGATGTTTTGATTTGAGGATGGGTATGTGGGTAGGTAGGTAGCTGTCTGGGTATCTCATAGTGTAGTGGCATCCTCGTCTGCAGCCTCGACGACTCTCTTACCACTCGTAATCTCCCGCCTCGACTTTCCTTCCCGCCCTTCCATAAAAGGCACCAGAAACCGCGAGAGGCCCGACTCGACATCAAGGTCCCTCCGCCTTGCCTCCTCCAGCAGCGACCACACACGCTCATCCTGCGCGTCGGCGGCCCGCCGCACGAGCAGCACCGCCGTGTCCCTCGACAGCCACGTCTCGTCTTCGGGGCCCAGCAGCTCGACGCACCGGAACGCCTGTTCGACGTCCCTCACATCTGCGAACGCGCGGATGGCCCGGTCGAATGCCGCCCTGTCCGCGCGCAGGGCCGTCGTGGGGTTCTCCTCGACGAGAAAGCGCAAGGCCCTCGTGTCCTCGCACGCGGCGAGCAGGTGCCTGAATGTCGTCTCGTCGGCGAGCGCCTGCGTGTACCGGGGCATCTGCTTGTAGACTTGGAGAGCGGCGTCGAAGCCCTTCGCCACGACCGTGGCCTCGACGATGACGTTCAGCGCCTGGATCGGCACGTCGTAGTCCGGCACAAGCGCGGCGAGCCCCTCGAGCGCCCCGTCCAGCAGCGCCGGCTCGGCCTTGAGCCGCGCGTAGACGGAGCGTGTGCTCCCCTCCGGCGCGACCCCGAGCGCCCGGAACATGATGCACAGCAGCCTCAGCGCGTTGGGGACGTCCCAGGCGTTGGCGTAGCTGTCGATGAGCGCTTCGTAGTGGTGCACGCCGAGCTTGGCGCCGCGCGCCGTCAGCACGCCCATGGCTGCCGTCGCGAGGTCCGGGTGACCGCCGCGCGCCGCCGTGTCCAGCACGGCGAGCAGCGTGCCGTCCGAGACGCGGCGGCGGTCGTGCTCGAGAAAGCGGCCCCAGATGTAGGACGTGCCCTCGACGTGCGAGGCGGCGGCGCAGGCGTCGAGCAGAACGTGCCACAGGGCCACGGGAACGTCCTCACTCGTGGCATGGCGCTTCTCGTGAGCGAGGCGGACGGCCTCGTCGAGGAAGCCACGGTGGGCAAATGCGAGGACGAAGACATCGAAGAGACGTGGTGGCACCCCGGTGTTCTTGTCGAGGAGCTCTTCGGCCTTGTCAAAGGCCAGCTCGTACTGGCCGTCACGGAGGAGGCCGAGAGCAACATTGCAGTGGCCGGAAAGGGTGATGGGCGTCCAGGACTCTTGCATGGCCCAGAGAATTTCGTTGCGAAGGAGGTAGTTGGGGTGGATGGCGAGAGCCTGTCTCTTTTAGCTTTACATGGCGAGAGATAAGGGGGGGATCCTGTCGCCTCAGACATACCTCGAGTGCGTCGTGACAGAGCTGTGCGCCAGGATTCATGCCCAGCTGGTGCATCTCGGCAAGGAGCTGGGCGATCATGTCGGCTGATCCATTGGTATCTCGCGCGCAAGCGATGAGGCATTCGTAGAGCGCTGGGCTAGGTTGTTGTCCTCTGTCTTGAATGAGATGCCGTACGATAGCCGCCGCCGTACGAAAGCTGTCCGGTATTGTCTGGAGCTGGCGTAGTGCTTCGAGCATATCGGGGACGGAGGCCATCGGTAGGACATCGCGGTCGAGGATTGTCGGGGGAGGGGCCTTCAAAATCGACCGAACACGAGCGTCGTTGACAGCACCTGCCGCTTCATATGCCACAGCGCGCACAGGGATGGCGGAGGACGCATAGCGACGATATGCTGCGGTCTGCACGCGTCTTGGGGCCGTGACCGAGAGGCAATCTCGTCTTCGAGTCGTCGCATGGAGTGTCCGGGGGACGATCGGGGCGTTGAGTACTCTAAAGGCGAGGACGGGGTCCACGGAGGGACAGAGGCAGCGCCATAGTCCGTCAAAGGCAACCCGCGAGCCTGACATTAGGTCGGTCGTGCTTGCTAGCGCAATTGAGGCGTCACGCCTTTCCCCGTAGACATATCTTTCGAGAGTGATGGCAAAAGCTTGAATCGAAGACGGGAGTTCAAGAGTTCAAGCTTCAGTGGATCTTTCACGTGATCACGTGACCCTGCGTCAGTCCTTCATCGATCCGAAAGCACGAGGCACCACACGCAACCAAGGTCCTCTAGATGCGCTGAAAATGCATTTGTGATATTTTGAGTGGCTTTGAAAGCCCTTGCTTCACCCAGCGTGACAGCGCCCAGATCGGGTCCAGCCATGCTCCAAACACGGAGCGCCCAGCCAGAACTGCAAAAGTGGGAGGCCGCCTCAGAGAGCGAACATAGAGCCGCAACCTCGAGGCCCATCCCACACCCAGACTCTCGTGTCCGTGCCCTTCAAGCGACTGCGCTGCATCAGAATGCCAGCGCCGAGCGGACGCACCGCGCGCCTGCATCGCAGAGGTTTCTCAACCCAAGCCCACCCAAGTCCAGACTCCAACAACGGCTTCAAGCGCCGCGCCCCCTCCCCCTGCCACGGCCTTGTCCCCGTCCCCTGCCGCGGTCGCCGCCGCGGTGATCACCCCTCCCGCCGCCGCGTCCGCCTCGGAATCCGCCTTGGTTGTTCTGCTGGTTCTCCTTGACAATGTCGATAATATCGTCCGGTACGCGGAGGTACTTGATCTGTAGTCCGGCGATTAGCTTTGCGTTTGCGCTCGGGCGAATGGATGAAAAGAGATGTAAACGCACGTTGTTTCCCTTGACGTATACCTCGGGAATCTTGACAAACTTGTCGCCTTCCTGTCACGACACACAAATGGTCAGCCATAGCAAGCGCGCATGCACTCCAGGGCGAGCGCCAGCGGGTGTGGCCGGAGGAGAGAACGCACGGGACTCGTCTGGACGACCTCCTTCAGCGTGAGGTTCATCCACGTGTCGCACATGACGAGGTGGCCGTTGAGGGTCTCGCCGTTCTTGAGCTCGACGAGCATCGGGTGCCCTTGGGCGGCGTTGAGGAGGCCGAGAGGGAGCTGTCGAAGGCTGTTAGGTCGTGTTCCAAGTGTTGCGAGGGGGCGTCCTCAGGTCTGGAAAATCTTACCATCTCGTCGTGTGCGAGGGCAAATTTGCGGGCTGTGTGATGTTGATGACTGGAGGCTTGCGCTCGTGGACTTGGTGATGCGACGTGCTTGGTTGCAGCATGGAGCTGCGTTGTGGTGGGGCGTCGGTGTGGACATCATTGCTTCGGTGTAGGGCGTCGGTGACTCGGTGAGTGAGATCACCACATCTCCTCTGTTCATAGGATGTGGCTTTACGTACATGACCGACGTTGACGGGGGCCTAGTTGAGACACAATGTGCTGACTGTTTCTTGATGCATACATCGTGGTATTTATTGCTGCAAGCTCCATCTGTAAAGTCTATATACGACACATTTTTACCAGACGATACCTCATGATTACTCGTCATATCCTAGATCACCTCCCCAAGGTCACTATGTAGTAGTATTCAAGCTGGACTCCTGTCGTGCACCAGCCGCCCCCGTACCCAGACCTTTTTCGTGTTCCGGTCATCTCCGTTAAAAAGCCACTTGGCCATCTTCTCCTCCCACGTCTCCCAGCCGAAAATGTCTACATTGCCCTCGTCGCCACGCACGAGGCTCGCAATGGCGACCTCTCCCTCGCGTCCACCAACATGGTCCACGGCGCCCAGTCCGACGAGCTGCGCATCGAATTGCTTACCAACCTCAAAGCCGCCGACCGCGCTCTCCAGCCCGAGAATCGTGGCGCCGCCACGCGTGCCGAGGAACAGGGCCTCCTCAGCCGTGAGCTTGGCCCTCTCCTTCTCCGTGCCGTCCGGTAGGCCCATAGCGACGTGCCTCGAGACGAGACTCGACTGCCTCGCGGCCTCGAGGATAGATGGGCTGTAGCCGCCACTCATGTCGGTGCCGAGTCCCACTTCGACGCCCTTCTCCCAGAGCCAGCGCACGCGCGCGGCGCCCGACGTGAGGGCCGAGTTGCTTGCCGGGCAGTGTGACACACCGGAGCCCCTGGCGGCAACGAGATCAGCCTCCTCCTCGGTGAGGTGCACGGCGTGCGCGAGGATGGTGCGCTTCGTCAGGAGGCCGTGGTCGTCGTAGACGGCAGCGTAACTGGCCGAGTCGGGGAACATGCTCTTGACGAGAGCGATTTCGCCTTCGTTCTCAGAAATGTGCGTCTGGATCGGCAGACCCGTGTCGCGGTGCAGGGCGGCGAGGCCGTGCATAGCGTCGCTTGTGCAAGAGGGTGCGAAACGTGGGGTCAGGATCGGGGTGACGAGGTCGTAGGAGGGGTCGATGGCACGGATGTGTGCTATGGATGCTTCGGTGGCCTGCAAGGAAGCCTCGGCGGACTCATCGCGATAGTACGACGGGCACATGTCCTTGTGGTCCATACAGACGCGGCCGATGAAGGCGCGCTGGCCAATGTCGAGGCAAATGTCGGCAAGCAAGTTGGTGGCGGCAACGTCGACGGTGGCATAGTAGGCCGAGGTGGTGGTGCCGTGGGCGAGGGTGCGGCGGACGCAAGCCGTGTAGACGCGGCGCGCCTTGCTGAGGTCCTTGAGAGACGACTCAAGCGGGAAGGTGTATGTGTTGAGCCAGTCGAGGAGCGTAGACTTGCCAAAGATGCCAACATTGGGGTACTGGGACGCGTGGACGTGCGTGTCAATGAAGCCGGGGAAGAAGAACTGGCCAGGTGAGGCCGTGGTCACGGTGACCGAGGATTCGTCCCATTCGAGACGGGGGAACAGCTCGGTCCTGGCGCGGTCGAGGTTGCAGTCCGGCTCGACGGCGACAATGGTACCAAAGTGGTCGACGCAGACAGCTGTGTTGTGAAGATACTCGAGTGATTCGCGTGACTGGGAGTGGACAAAGGTGCCAAGGAAGAGCTTGTTGCTGGCGAGATAGGCCTCGGCCTTGCCGTGCGCATCATGGATAGCTTCACCCATGGTGACGACGGTTGGGCTGGTTAGCAGGAATTCGGGAGGCGTTGCCTTTCTCGTGTTGGCTGAGATTGAATATGGATAGCAATAGCCAAAACCAGAATAGCAAGCCAGCAAGCAGGAGCACCAGCTTCAGGTCCAGGTTCGAGAGATATTACCCAAAGCAAGAGAAATGACAAGAGCACTCGAATACTGGTCCGCACAAGTTGGGATTTATCGATGGAGATGAGCGAGGGCAGAAGGAAACCGCACTAGCAGGACATCTCCGTTGTCCGTCCTAGTCTCTTGGGTTCTGCTCGGTCTTGGCCTCGATCTAGGTATAGTGATGATAAGTACAGCCCGAGTGGGTTGTGTCGTCGAGATAAGGACAGGACGATAACGAATGGGCGTCTGGTTCTATTGTTGATGGATGCAAGCCACGGCTGAACAGGTAATGCGCCGTAGAGTGCCCGTGTTGGGATGTATGTACGAACGAACGACTGCGTGCCGACGAGTCTGGTAGAATGCAGACCGGCAACAATTGATGTCTTTTCACCAGCATCAACGGTAGCAGGTCCGTCCCCCTCCAGCGCGCGCCTGCCACCCCCACCATGTGAACGCGGACCCCTCACCGTCACACGGCGCTCGCCGGGGGCCGACGCTCATGCCTCCCCACCTTCTTCTCCTCATCCGCGATCGATGTTGCCTCTTCTTGCCCCTCACTTTCCCCCAAAAATGTGCCCCCCCCCCCAATCCCCCCCTCTGTGCCCCTCACCACCTCCCATGCCGGGTCACCTGATGACTTTGGCCTCTCCCTAAGAGAATGAGATTGTAGAATAAGGTAGGTCAACAAGGCGGAAGACCTCACCGTCAAGGCCTTTCCCTGGCTCGGGTCCCTGCAGGACACCCCTCGCCGATCGGGACTGTCAAACGCCCTCCCGTCCTGCCGTACCTTCTTGCGCTCCCTGGAACCACCTTAGCCCCGTCCCACTTTCTGTGTTACAACACCAGGGCCCCTCGGGCATTTCTCCAAGCCAAAGTGTCTCGTCACTTTGAGTCAGACCATCACACGTCGACCACGTCGGTGGAAGAATCAAAGCATAGGGGGTTTCCTTTCTTTTGTCAAACGAAGTGGCATTCTGCCTTCTATTTCCATCTTGTGCGACTTGTGCGACCTCGCCGATCTGGGCAGACCCAAAGAGAACCAAAACAGGTGATGCGGAGGGAGGACAAGACATAACTTTAAAATTCAGTCGCAAAACAAAGAGATGTCATGCGGAAAACAAAACGGCTTCTCTAAAAACATGGCGCAATGTGCACAAAAAGACAAGACGAAGTTAAAACAAAATACAGTCCCTCCCCCCCCGCCCCCGCCGCCGTTTCCCTCTTGGTACAAACAACCATGGCGCCATTCTCATCACGTGTCTATAGATATCTTCTTAATTGTTCTTGCTCGTCATCTCTCATCACCACTCTTCTCCAGCAGATATCTCGAGCAGCCTACGCGGCAGAGCCAAAGTCACCCTCCACACCGTTAATGCTGCTGCCCTCGCTAGACGGCGCATCCTGGTTGTAGCTGTCCCAGTTGGCCAGCACCGACGCAATCTTGGGCGAGTTGGTGAGCTTGTACACCTCCTCAAAGTACTCCTTGGTGATCGCAAACGGCTTGGCCGTCACGTTGGGAATATATTTGCCAATGAGCTTCGAGGGGTCGATCGTCGTCCTGTTGATCTTCTTGAGCAGGAACGAACGGAAGGGCTTAACACCCGACCGCAGGAAGGTCGAGTGGAACGGCACGTCGATACCCTTGAGAGGGATCGTCGCGAAGCCCCTCTGGAGGTCGAGCGGCGTTGGCTTCTTGAGCGTCTCCTCGGCAGAGCCCTTGACAATCTCTCGCAGCGCGTCCTTGGCCTCTGCGAGGTTGTTGCGCATCTCGTCCACGTCAATCTTCTGCACCTTGAGGAAGTTCATCACGCCAGTCAGCGTGTCGAGCGCCCGCAGGTCGCCTGCCGCGACGTACTGCATGTTGGCGATGTTGTAGTTGACAATCTCCAGCAGCCAACCCGTCTCCTCAGCGATCATGTTGACCACGAACTCAAGTGCCTCCTCGTTGAACGTCTTGGAGATGCGGCTGGGGTTGATGGCGCACATGGAGTAGTTGGAGCGACCTGCGGCGTCACGCTCGACAGCAACCTGCATCGTCAGGCCGCGATAGAACACAACGGACACCAAGCTCTCAATGGGCATGACCTCGGCCAGGGCCGCAAGTGCCGAGTACTCGCCGAGGGAGTGGCCGGCGAAAGTGCAGTCGCGGGGCACAAGACCCTTGGACTTCATGTCCTCAAAACTGGCCTTCTCCATAAGCGTCAGGGCGGGCTGTGTAAATTGTGTTGCCGACAGAAGGCCAGTAGGCGACCTGTACGTGTACGAAGTGGTCTTCTCATCAACCTCCTTGAAGATCTTCTCCGACTTGATGGAGCCATCAGCTGCCACTGTCTCGAAGGTCATGGCCATGTAGTTGGCACGGATGGCTTTGCCACGAGGGCCACCAAAGTGGATGGTCAGCTCCTTGGGGTTGTTCTTGACGATGTTCGTGATTGAGAAACCTGCGTTCATCAGTACAGTCACTTGAAACACGAGAGTAAGACTGCTTACCGTAGTTGTCCATCAGGTAGGTATCGGCGCGGTCCCACACATCCTTGGCGACAGGACTGCTGGCATAAAGCTCCATGCCCATGCCCTGCTCCTGAGAACCCTGACCGGTGAACACGTAGGCCGTCACGGGCTGCTCGATTTCGGCCTCGCCGAGGAGAACCTTCTCCTCGTTCTCCTTGTTGAGGGCCTCAACCTTGATGATCTTCCGACCGGCCACCATGCCGACGTGCTGCAACTTGACCTCGAGATCGTCGTTGGGCAGGACCATACCAACGAGAGAGGCGTGGAAGCTGCGAACGCGGCCAATGTTGTTCTCGGCGGCCCATGTCTCGACGAGACTACGCACCGAGGCACTGGAGTACATGCCGTGCGTGATGGTGCCGGGCAAGTTGGCGTATCCGGCAAATACACGCGAAACGTGAATGGGGTTGTAGTCGCCGGAAACACGAGCGTACGTCTCGTTGGAAGAGGGCGCACGAAGCTGCAGGGGAGTCTTTCCGCTCAGAGGAATGGGGTTCTCAAAGTTGAGGGGCTGATCGAGGGGCGAGCCGTGGCGCTCAAGGTAGTCAACTACAGGGTTACCATGCGAGACACCAGCCTCATAATCGACGCTAGCCACCTGGATAACCTCCTTGCTGGGGAGCTCAAGTAGCACCTGGCCGTAAGTCTGGATGCTGCTGAAAACCGTCTTGTTCTGGAACTTGAGGAAGCTCTGCAGACGGAACTCAAGAGTCTGTCCGAGAAGCTGGATGTCCTGAGGGAGGTCGTCAAGGTTGAACCACTCCTTGGCCTTGAGGACAGCGACATCCTGAGTGGTGGCGAGGTGAAGCTGCACAGGAGTCTCGGTCTTGCGCTGGAAGGTATTCTCAAAGTCCGAGTACACACCGCGGTACAGGAACTGGGACGTTACTTCCATGACGGCCTCGCCATCACGGCTAATTGTGCCGCAAACCTCAACCATCTTACCAGACTCCTGGTTGATGACAGCATTGATCTGAGCAGTGGTGCTGACCTCGTCACCCTTCTTCAAAGGCTCAGCGCCGGGTAGCATACGGAACTGGTTCGACAGGTGGACGAGCTTGAGGAGATCGCCGTCGATGGTGCGGGGGAAGATAGGCTTGGTAATAGCCTTCCAGCCGACAACAATAGCAAAGTCCATCGGCGCAAATACTGTCTTTCCGGGACGCTCGACAAAGGCCTCACCAGTGTTGCCAACAGCATGGACAAAGTCGTTGATGTCCTCTCCAGTGATCGTAGCCTTGCCACCATCAAACTGCTTGGAGACGTCAGCATCGAGGTCAAGAGTCTCGTTGCCGAACCAAGCACGCCAGTAGAACTCCTTGATGCGGTCATTGCGGCCCTCCATGACCTCGTGAATCGGAGCGTAACCAGCCTCGGGGCGGTACACGAATTTCAGGGGCAGGGACACCGGCTCGCCGAGGGCAGTGGTGTCCTTAATCATGTTGACCAGGATCTCGTTGTTACCAACAAGCTTGACCTCGAGAACGTCGACGTACTGGTTGTGGCGCGGCTGCTCCTTGACGATGATCCGGGTCCTCGCAGGGTCGTTGGGGTAGTGGATCTCCACGAACAGGCCACGGACGGGAGCGAAGACACGCTTCATCGGGTTGGTCTGGAACTTCTGACCTTGAACAAGAACCTCAGAAGTCAGGAGTGCGTGACGCCAGCTGCGACGGGGTCCGGCAAGAAGAGCCAGCCAGGCATCCTCAGTGGGCATGGTGGCAGACGGCGAAAGGTGCAGGCGGTACGTGTTCTTCGTCTCATCATACGAGGTAAGAAGACCATCGACATCCTCGACCGGGATCTCGGTATCGTTCAGCTTACCACCGAAGTACTCGATGGTGGGAATCGACTTCTTGTCGCCGCTGTAGAAGTCTTGGGTGAGACGCTCGACGTGGGTGTCGTGAACACCATCGAGGATATCCTTGATAGGTTCATCCAGAATGGTGGAGAACTTGGCGGCGGTAGGGCCCTGGAGAATGCAGGTCCTGCCGACGTCCTGGCCAATGACGGCGCCGAGGTCCTCGGACTGCCACAGCGAGTCCTTCTTGAAGAAGAACTCAAAGTTCTCATCAAGGGCGGGCACGAAGGTGGGGGGTTTCTGGCCGCGACGCTGGCAGAGCATGAGGAAGTGCTGAACGTCCTGCGCGTTGATAATCTGGGTGTCAGCCTCGGGGTAGCCAGCAAGAATTCTCTTGACAGTCTCGTAAGGGCTTTCGAGTTCGCCAAAGTCCTGGAGCAGGGAAGCCTGGCCAGGCTTCGAGGTGAAACGCTCCTCAACACGATGGATGAAATCTCCAGTAAACTTCTTGTAAGAAGCATCGATCCAGCGAGACTCGTGCCTGACGTAAAGCAAGTCGACCATGCGACGGACGACCTCGCCGTAAGTCATATCCTCGAGGTCGACAGTCTCACCGAAACGGTTGCGGCCAAACCAGACCTTCTGGAAGTCATCGTTCAGCTTCTTGATGATGTAGTCGCGGTTCTTCTTCAGTTCGGGAACGCGCTTCTCCTTGGGAAGACTGAAGATCTTCTTGTCCATCTCCGCCCACAGGACCACACCTCGAGTAGCCAGCTTGTGAATGGGCTCACCCATCTCAGAGCGAACCGTAATGACACCACCAGCAGGTCCCTTGTAAGTCTTCTCCCAGGACTCGTCACCAATACCAGGAGCATCAACGATGGCCTGCTTCGCGTTCTTGCTCGTATGAGCCTCCTTGGCAACCATCATGCGGCTGCCAAAGAGTGTACCATCAAAGGGCATGGGAGGGTAGCCGTAGCCCTTGGCCCACTCACCGGTGAGGTAAGGGTACGTGTCATCAGCTCCACCGAAGCCACTGCCAGCAACAAGAATAATGTTGGGGGTGCGACGGATACGTCCGTACATGCTCAGAATGGGCTGGTGGAAATCCTCGAAGGAGTGGTGGCCACCACCGCGACCGCCGGTCCACTGGAGAATCACGGGGAAGTCGGGGTTGGCCTTGGCGATGTTGATGACGGCCTGGATGGCATCAGACGAACCAGGCTTGAAGGCGATGTGCTTGAGGCCAAGAGTTTCAATGTACTCCTGAGCAACCTCAATGGAAGGGACACCGGCGCCGATGGTCAGACCCTCAATGGGGACTCCCTCAGCCCTGAGGCGGCCGAGGAGGGGAATCTGCCAAGCCATGGCGCGGGGGTTGACGTAGATGAGGTTTACGGTGATACCACGGCCGGCGGTAATGGCTCCTTCAATCTTAGACAGGGCCTCCGTCATGGTCTTGGCGTTGTAGTAACCACCGCCAGCAAGCTCAATGTGATAGCCAGCGTTCATGGTAGCGGATACGAAGTCCCAGGGCACCGTGCAGGGCGTCATACCGGCGACCATGACGGGAGGAAGACCGAGCAGCCTGCTCATCTTGGTGTCGACGAAGGTACGGCCCTGCGAGGTGGTCACCAGACGGGGTCCAAACTCCTTAACCCAGTCCACAGCATATCGGATGGCGTGCTCTTCGTCCCTGTCGAAAAGCTCAGACTTGTAGCCGACCTCTGTGACGGTGCCGTTGACGGATCCAGCCAGGATAACGTGGACGCCAGTGCCCTCCTTGTTGCGGCTGGTGAGTATTCCGAGGCCGGAGATGCCGCCAGGGCCAAAGTCGAGCACGTGGGTGGCATCGGGGAAGACGGTGGCCTTCTCCCAGTTGACGGGGTCTCTGGTGATGAGACGAACCAAGGCAGGGACAATGTTGCCTTCGACCTCCTCCCTGATATCCTTGCCAGTGTTTGTGTCAAAGACAGGGATGCCAAGATCCTCGGACAGGATCTCGATATCCTTGAGGTCGCCATCGATCAGCTCAGTAGCCTCGGCGAGGTACTTGCTGTGGAAGGGGGCCGTAATGGGGAGGAAGCGGTTCACGAACCGGCTCTTGCGCTCGGTGTAAGGGATTCGGGTCTGGTCGAGGCCGGTGGGAGCCTTGACCTTGCGCAGCTGGGCGTTGAGACCGTACAGGGAGATCGGAGGACCGGTGACGACCAGGTTTCGCGGGCTGTTGATGAGAGAAATGGAGATGTGGCGGTCTGCGGGGAGGTATTGGTTGGTGGCATCGATGTGCTTCTGGACCTCTGCCTGAGACAGGTCGCGGATGCTCAACATGGGAGTTGGGGTGCCCTCGCCATTGTCGATGGACTCGCGCAGCATGTTGGGTGTGAGCGACGTGCGGGGGAAGACCTGCTGACTACGGGCACCGATCCAGAAGAGGATGGTGAGCGCCGTGGGCGCGATCTCCTTCCACGACTCCCAAGAGCAAGCAGCAGCAGTGGCCGCAGCCAGAACGACACCTTGCGAGTGACCGGTGGAGCCGCTCAGCCTCTCTCGCAGCTTGCCGGGGTTGACACCCAGGGCCTTGCACGTCACCTCGTAGTGGGCGAGCTGCACAAGACCGATCAGAGGGAAGCTGACGGGGGCGGAGACGAGGTAGTCGAGATCAGGTGTCGCATCCTCGTCCTCCAGCCACCTCATGACGTCGAGGCCCTTGGGGTAGAGCTTCTCGGCGCTGGGGTGTTTGGACAGGTTCTGAAGGAGCTCGGCGGCGTGCAGAATGAGCTCGCCTACGAAAGGCTGATAGGTCTTGTAGATCTCACGCAGCTCATCAAAGTACTCTTCAATATTGCCCTGGCCGCCAAAGATGGTGTAGATGCCAGCAGCGCCATCCTCGGCGGCGCGGAACAGAGCCGACTCGTGCTCCTTAATGGGACGTCCCGCTGTTTGGCGGGCCTGGTAGTAGCTCTTGATCACAATAAGCTTCTTCTCGTCAATGCCGGGAAGAGATGCCACGAGGGCGTGGACTTCGTTGCCCTGCAGGTAGCCACGCTCGAACTCGACGAGAATGAGCTTGAGCACCTCCTCGTACGAGCCTTGATCGTCATCCTCGCCCTTCTCAACCTCGCTAGCAATAAAGCCGAGGTATCTGGCGAGGAGTTCGGCCACGGATGATGGCTCTTCGTCGAGCGCGAGCTCATCTGTGGCGGTGGGGAGGCTGGCAGAGAAGCGGTCCCTGAGCTGCTGTGCGTGGTAGTGGAGAGCGGTCGGCACGAGGAAAGAGGTCTCCAGCGAGCCGTGGGTGAGCGTGAGAGGTCGGAGGGAGGCGTTGGATCGGGGGGTTGAGACACCCGTCTGGGGGCCAGTGCCGGTACCGTACATGATGGGTAAATTATTGGGGGGTATCGAGAAGATATGCGTGGGTGAAGGGGAGCTATTCTCGTGGTCAGCCTAGCATATTCAAGGCAGCAGCACGCAAGTCAAGCTCCAACAGTCGATGTAGAGCGGAGCGTGGTCTCACCTTTCGAGTCTGACCCCGTGAACTCAGCGAAGAGCAGGAGACAGTGCTGGTGATTGCTCCGGTACGCTGCGATTGCGGCAGCAAGTTTTCTGGAATGGGGACCCTGAGCGCAGCTAGGCACACGTGGATATCGGGTCTTTGAGAAATGTATGGATTCTCCGGCGGCAGGGAGAGGATGTACGGCGCAAGAGGAATAGAAGGTATCTCGTCAAACCCCAGGAGGCAGCAGCGGTATCAAGACAGATGCTGTTTAATGAGGAGGAAGTAGGGGGGATTCAATGTCTGGGAGGAAGATGGAGGAGGCAGGCAGAATATGCGCGGCAGATGGGGGAGGGGTAAGGACGTGATGTGTTCAAGAATGTGTGTGGCCTGGACTACTAGTTCCTTGAGGGCGGTGGAGGAGGTGCGAGTGTGAAGGTCGGGATTCTGGAGCAATTGACTCTTAGCGAAGAATCCGACCAAGCTCCCTTTCCCTTGGGGCTGCACGGAATGGGTGGATGGATGGGTGGATGGATCGATGCTCTTTGGGCAGTTGTCTCGACAGCCTCTCCACTCATTGTCGGATTGACCAACCTAACGCAACAACGCAACGCCTCAATGGTCCTCACGGAGCCCTCAACAGCAAAAAAGTCTGAGCCGGTCGTTCGGAAGGGAAAGAAGTTGCAGGGGGGGTGGTCGAGGGGCTGGAGGGGCAGGCAGGGGGGTAGCTCTGGATTACTCTCGCCAAAATTTTAGTTCTGTTGGGGGAGGGCAGCACCAGAAGTCCCAGAAACCAGCTTCAGACAGGGCATATAGGCACCCGGTAGGCAGCCCCAGCGGTCGACCAGGTACCATGCCATGCTGGGGACGCCGCTCTTGTCCCCCCCCCCCCCACCTACCATGTTCGTTGTGGATGCGCGCCGCGGCTGCAACCCGAGTGATCCGCAGGGATGGACGGGTGTGGGAGAAGTACCGGTACATTGCATTGGCACTTATTCTCGCTTGACACAAGAAGTACCCTGCAACCTGTCAAGTGCCAGGCTGTCATGAAGAAAAAGTTCCATCAGTCAAAGTCGCGGGAACCTTCGGGCAAAACAAGGCAACGAAGCAAAGAGTTGACCTCAGGATGCGATCAGCCCCGGATCACTGCCTCTGCAGTGCAATACGACCAAGTACTCGACGTTTTCTGGCTACGACCTCATTGGCCCAGCCTGATTTCGGTACATTTGTCTACCCTACCTTATCTCTCACCCTCTCCCTGCTGTGCCGCCGAAGCTACCCTGGCCCCGACGACACATTATCCGGTAGGCGGTCAGGCAGCTCAGTGGCCACGGGAGGCTGCAACAGGGTTTCTGCCACTCATTTCCCGTGCCCCAAAGATCACCCAAGCCACCCCACGCTGTAAACTAAAGACCCTGAATTCCCCGTTCCGCGCGCTGCCGACGCAGGCCGCGGATTAGGGGGAGTTCAGCAGTAGGTGCCATCCTGAGTCAAGGGGGCAAGCCACGAGGCACAGCATCAAGAATGGAGCCGTTTCGCCATGCGTGAGATACTGGGAACTCTTGACGACGGAAGGGAGGCTGAATCAAGAATGGAGATATGGAGGGTGTTGAGCGAGGCCTTGGGCTCGAAAGGGTGAGTGAGATGGATGTGGTGGACGAGAGAAGGGAGCACTCGTTGCACCTTACAAAACGTTCCGAACGTTGGCCCCAGCGTGCAGGCAAATGTCCCAGCGGAAACACGCCGGACAGGGTATTGTGGCGACCCTGGTACCAGTACGAGCAGCTAGCCGGCAAAGCAGCGGGAGGCCAACAGCCAACGCTTGGCGGCGCATTACCACCGTCATCCCCAGTAAATGCCATCATGGCGCCACTTTCCCCTGCACCTCGATATTTTGCGGGCCAGGCCTTGGGCGGGAGCTCCCTCGGTCGTCGGAGAACTAGTGTCGCGAGCGCAAGGCCGAGACAGATAGAAGGTTCTTTCGGTATGCCGTGAGAGCCAATGATGTTGCATGGCTTTGGAGGACAGATAACAGGCTACGATGACGAACACCGTGTTATGTTGTGGAAGCGTGGTATCGCCGGCCGGTCGAGATCTGATTGTTGATGAGGCTCATGTCGATGCATAAGTTGGGACACAGGCTGCAGGGCCGTGACGAAAGGCCTCTCGTCCTCATCCCAATGGAAACTGGTGTGGAATCGCACATGGTGGGGTCAGTGAGGGGTCAGCTTGCCCCGTTCCCCTGATGTACCTTTTCCTTTTTGGGCTTAGCTGTGGCAGATGGTTGAGGAGTCTGCTCCATCTTGCAGCTTCCCACCAGCATGGACCCAAAGACACGTCGGGTCCCGGCCCAATCTTTTTTCTCCTAGGGGAACGCGTGTGGTGGGAAAGTGCTACCAGGGGAAGGAGGGGGGCCCAAGACTCTTAACCTGTCCAGGTGGGAAAGTACCTAGCGGCAGCTCTCGCTCTCGTCAATGGGAAGAAGCCTGGGCCTGTCTCACTGAACTGGCTTGTATTCTGTGAGGCGTGCCACCACAATCCATCCATCTCGGTTCAACAGTCGCTTGTTTTTTTCTGACTGATCCCTCCGCCTGAACCGTTGCCCTCCCCTCCTCCGCCGCCCCAAAGAAAGGAAAGCCAATTGCAGGAGACAATTCCCATCTCGAAGCCCCATCACCACCAACATCTACTCCCCCTCCTAGGCCTTGCTCTCCCGTGCCGTCTACTTCCCTTTGCCCGTCTCTCCCACGGACTTGACCCTCTCCAACTCCAACAACTCCCGCCTCCTAACCTTTCACTCACCCCAAGTCCTCGACCGGCCTAAACGCATCGACCTGCCACTCCTCCCCTCCCCTCAGGCTCGCTGGTCTCCTACTTTTTCTTAATACCCAACTCGACCACCCGGCACTGCAACGACCGGCTCAAACGCACAGAAAACCCGACGCAGCTAGATCCGGGCAGCTTGATTCTCTGGTTTACTCGCAGAGACTTGCTCCAAAGTTGACGACCCCAGATACCCTCTCCAACATCGGTTCCCCTCCCAGTTCCGAACAGTTGAGCTCCGAGCTCTCGTCAGCCCAACATGCGTCCCGAAGTCGAGCAAGAACTCTCCCACACTTTGCTCGTCGAGCTCCTTGCCTACCAGTTTGCTTCGCCCGTCAGGTGGATCGAGACGCAAGATGTTTTCCTCGCTGAGAAGACGGCGGAGCGCATTGTCGAGATTGGTCCTGCCGACACCCTTGGCGTGATGGCCAAGCGCACATTGGCCTCCAAATATGAAGCGTACGATGCTGCCAAGTCCGTCCAGCGCCAGATTCTTTGCTACAACAAGGACGCAAAGGAAATTTATTACGATGTCGACCCTGTCGAAGATGAGCCTGAGCCAGCGGCGGCAGCTGCCGCGCCCGCTGCTGGTGCCCCAGCTTCCTCCGCAGCCCCCGCCGCCGCTGCTGCCCCCGCCGCCGCGGCCGCTCCCAGCGCCGGCCCTGCAGCACAGGTTCCTGATGCGCCTGTCCAGGCCATTGACATCGTGCGAACTCTGATTGCTCAAAAGCTCAAGAAGCCCCTCACCGAGATCCCTCTTAGCAAAGCTATCAAGGATCTTGTTGGTGGTAAGTAAGCCCCGAGCCACAGAACTACAAACTGTGACCTAATTCGTATGGGCAGGCAAATCCACACTCCAAAACGAAATCCTCGGCGACCTGGGTAAGGAGTTTGGCTCGACCCCTGAAAAGCCTGAGGACACACCCCTTGATGAGCTTGGTGCCTCGATGCAGGCTACCTTCGACGGCCAGCTCGGCAAACAGACACAATCCCTTATCGCTCGCCTGATTTCTTCCAAGATGCCCGGTGGCTTCAACATCACAGCCGCTAGGAAGCATCTCGAGACGAGGTGGGGTCTCGCTTCGGGCAGGCAAGACGGCAGTCTTCTCCTGGCTCTTACGATGGAGCCCCCTGCCCGACTCGGCTCGGAAGGTGACGCCAAGGCCTTCTTGGATGATGTGGCTCAGAAGTACGCTTCAAATGCTGGCATCAGCCTGACAACGGCGGCGGCGGCGGGCCCCGCGGGCGGCGGTGGCGGTGGCATGATGATGGACCCCGCTGCCATCGATGCCCTCACCAAAGACCAACGTGCCATGTTCAAGCAACAGCTTGAGCTCCTCGCGAGGTACCTCAAGCTGGACCTTCGTGCCGGTGACAAGGCGGCTGTTACATCCCAGCAGTCGGAGAAGGTTCTTCAGGCACAGCTGGATCTCTGGACAGTCGAGCATGGCGACTTTTACGCCTCTGGCATCCTGCCCGTCTTCAGCCCCCTGAAGGCGCGTACGTACGACTCGTCCTGGAACTGGGCTCGTCAGGACGCCCTCAACATGTACTACGACGTCATTTTTGGTCGTCTCCAGGCTGTTGACCGTGAAATCGTCAGCCAGTGCATTCGCATCATGAACCGCGCCAACCCTACATTGATCGACTTCATGCAGTACCACATGGATAATTGCCCCACCGACCGTGGTGAGACCTACAAGCTATCCAAGCAGCTGGGTCTGCAGCTCATTGAGAATTGCAAGGACGTCCTCAACGCCTCGCCCGTGTACAAGGACGTCGCTGTACCGACTGGCCCTCGCACGACCGTCGACGCCAAAGGCAATCTGAAGTATGAAGAGGTCCAGCGTCCGAGCTGCCGCAAGCTGGAGCACTACGTCCAGCAGATGGCTGAGGGCGGCAAGATCTCCGAGTACGGCAACAGGACCAAGGTCCAGAACGATCTCAAGCGCATCTACAAGCTCATCCGTGAGCAGCACAAGATGTCCAAGACCTCGCAGCTCGAGATCAAGAGCCTCTACGGTGATGTTCTGCGCTCTCTCAGCATGAGCGAGAGTCAGATTATCCCCAAGGAGAACGGCAAGCCCAACGGTGTCAAGAAGGTCAGAACCAACGGTCCCGGCAAGGGCAAGGTTGAGACCATTCCCTTCCTGCACCTGAAGCGCAAGACTCTCCACGGCTGGGACTACAGCAAGAAGCTGACGGCATCGTACCTGACGTGCCTCGAGGAAGCTGCCAGAGACGGCGTCACCTACGCTGGCAAGTACGTCCTGATGACCGGCGCTGGCGCTGGCTCCATCGGAGCCGACGTTCTTCAGGGCCTCATCAGCGGTGGTGCCAAGGTCGTCGTAACCACCAGCCGCTTCTCGCGCGAAGTCACCGAGTACTATCAGTCCATGTACGCTCGCTACGGTTCCAAGGGTTCCCAGCTTGTTGTCGTTCCTTTCAACCAGGGCAGCAAGCAGGATGTCGAGGAGCTTGTTCAGTACATCTACGACACAAAGACTGGTCTCGGCTGGGATCTCGATTTCATCATCCCCTTCGCTGCTATTCCCGAGAACGGCCGCCAGATTGACAACATTGACTCCAAGTCTGAGCTGGCCCACCGTATCATGTTGACCAACCTCCTGCGTCTCCTTGGTTGTGTCAAGATCCAGAAAGCTGAGCGTGGATTCGAGACCCGCCCTGCCCAGGTCGTTCTTCCCATGTCTCCCAACCACGGTACCTTCGGTAACGATGGTCTGTACTCCGAGTCGAAGCTCGCACTCGAGACCCTGTTTAACAGGTGGCACTCCGAGGACTGGGGTCACTACCTCACCATTTGCGGCGCCGTCATTGGTTGGACTCGTGGCACTGGCCTCATGGGCGGCAACAACGTTGTTGCTGAGGGTGTTGAGGCCTTTGGCGTCCGCACCTTCTCTCAGCAGGAGATGGCGTTCAACCTCTTGGGTCTTCTGGCCCCTGCCATCGTCGATCTCTGCCAGTCCGAGCCTGTGTTTGCCGACCTGAACGGTGGTCTTCAGTTCATCCCCAACCTGAACGAAACCATGACCAGACTTCGCAAGGACATAATGGAGACGGGCGAGACCCGTCGCATCGTCGCCAAGGAGAACGCCATTGAGAACAAGGTCGTCAACGGACCCGATTCTGAACTCCTGTACAAGAAGAAGCTCATCGAGCCCCGGGCCAACATGAAGTTCGACTTCCCCCCCCTCCCCGACTGGGATGCTGAGATTGCTCCTCTCAACGACAAGCTCAAGGGTATGGTCGATCTTGAGAAGGTCGTCGTCGTCACCGGTTTTGCCGAGGTTGGTCCTTGGGGCAACTCCCGCACTCGTTGGGAGATGGAGGCTTATGGCGAGTTCTCTATCGAGGGCTGTGTTGAGATGGCTTGGATCATGGGTCTCATCAAGAACCACAACGGTCCCATTAAGGGCAAGCCATACTCTGGATGGGTTGATGCCAAGACCGGTGACCCCATTGAGGACAAGGACATCAAGCCCAAGTTCGAGAAGCACATTCTCGAGCACTCGGGTATCCGTCTCATCGAGCCTGAACTGTTTGATGGCTACGACCCCAACCAGAAGCAGCTTCTCCACGAGGTCGTCATTGAGGAGGACCTCGAGCCCTTCGAGGCATCCAAGGAGACTGCTGAGGAGTTCAAGCGCGAGCACGGAGACAAGGTGGAGATCTTTGAGATTCCCGAGTCTGGCGAATACATTGTGCGCATGAAGAAGGGCGCTGGCCTTTGGATTCCGAAGGCACTTCGTTTTGACCGCCTTGTTGCCGGCCAGATCCCCACAGGCTGGGACGCCAAGAAGTACGGTGTCCCGGAGGACATCATCGACCAGGTCGACCCCGTCACCCTCTTTGTCCTCGTCTCCGTCGCCGAGGCGCTTCTTTCGTCTGGTATTACCGATCCCTACGAATTTTACAAGTACGTCCACGTCTCCGAGGTGGGCAACTGCATTGGCTCCGGTATGGGAGGTGCTGGCGCGCTCCGTGGTATGCACCGCGATCGCTTCCTCGATAAGCCAGTCCAGAACGATATTCTCCAGGAATCATTCATCAACACCATGGCCGCTTGGGTCAATATGTTGCTCCTCTCCTCGTCGGGTCCCATCAAGACGCCTGTCGGTGCTTGCGCCACCTCCGTCGAGTCGGTCGACATTGGTTATGAAACCATCATGGAAGGCAAGGCCAAGATTGTCTTTGTCGGTGGTTTCGATGACTTCGGTGAGGAGGGCTCTTACGAGTTCGCCAACATGAAGGCCACCAGCAATGCTGTTGATGAGTTGGCTCACGGCCGTACGCCCAAGGAGATGTCCCGCCCCACTACCACCACCCGTAACGGCTTCATGGAGTCTCAGGGCAGCGGTGTCCAGATTCTCATGACTGCCAAGCTTGCCCTCGATATGGGTGTCCCTATTCACGGCATCGTTGCCCTCACCACGACTGCCAGTGACAAGATTGGCCGCTCCGTCCCCGCGCCTGGCCAGGGTATCCTGACGTCGGCCCGCGAGCATGCCAGCAAGTTCCCCTCGCCCCTTCTGGATATCAACTACCGTCGCCGCCAGATTGAACTTCGCAAGAAGCAGGTCAAGCAGTGGCAGGAGTCTGAGCTTGAGTACCTCTGGGAGGAGGTTGAGGCCATGAAGGCTCAGGGCCACGGCTTCGATGAGAAGGAGTACGCCCACGAGCGTGCGTTGCACATTGAGAAGGAGGCGCAGAGGCAGGAGAAGGAGGTCCTGCGCAGCCTGGGCAACAACTTTTGGAAGTCGGACCCTACCATTGCGCCTCTGCGCGGTGCCCTCGCTACATGGGGTCTCACGATCGACGACCTGGACGTCGCCTCGTTCCACGGTACCTCGACCAAGGCGAACGACAAGAACGAGTCATCTGTCATTTGCCAGCAGCTCAAGCACCTTGGCCGCAAGAAGGGCAACGCCGTGCTGGGTATTTTCCAGAAGTACCTCACTGGTCACCCCAAGGGTGCTGCCGGTGCCTGGATGATGAACGGTTGTTTGCAGGTCCTTAACTCGGGTCTCGTGCCCGGTAACCGCAACGCCGACAACGTCGACGCCGTCATGGAGCAGTTCGACATGATCGTCTACCCCAGCCGCAGCATCCAAACGGACGGCGTCAAGGCCTTCTCGGTCACGTCGTTCGGTTTCGGTCAGAAGGGCGCGCAGGCAATTGGTGTGCATCCCAAGTACCTCTACGCCGCGCTTGACGAGGAGACGTATGAGGCCTACAGCGCCAAGGTGGAGGCGCGTCAGAAGAAGGCATACCGCTTCTTCCATAACGGCATGATCAACAACACGCTGTTCGTGGCCAAGAGCAACGCTCCTTACGATGAGGAGCAGCTGGGCAAGGTCCTACTGAACCCCGACGCGCGCGTCTCGGTCGACAAGAAGACTTCGTCTCTGACGTACGCTCCCAACTTTATGAAGCAGTCGGAGAAGACGGTCAAGACGAGCGCGGCCAAGGCGACGCAGGACATGATGGAGACGCTGGCGAAGAAGACGGTCTCGAGCAACAGCAAGGTCGGCGTTGACGTCGAGGACATCTCGGCCATCAACATTGAAAACGAGACGTTTGTGACGAGGAACTTCACGGCGGGCGAGATTGCCTACTGCCAGAAGGCGCCCAGCCCTCAGAGCTCATTTGCGGGGCGATGGAGCGCCAAGGAGGCCGTGTTCAAGTCCCTCGGCGTCGCCAGCAAGGGCGCCGGCGCGGCGCTGAAGGACATCGAGATTTCCAAGAACGAGGATGGTGCTCCCGTGGTTAACGTACGTTCAATCTTGTTTATCCTGACAGAAGCCCCCTCCCCCCGCCCTTGGTGCATGATTACTGACTTTTTCTTTTCTCACAGCTCCATGGCGATGCCGCGGCAGCGGCCAAGAAGGCAGGTCTCAAAGAGATCAGCGTGTCCATCTCGCACTCGGACTCGCAGGCAATCGCAGTGGCAGTGGCCACGTTCTGAGCGAGCAGGTAGATGGTAATGAGAGCCCGCATGTAATTGTTTTTCCACGGGAGGTACGCAAATGGGCGGAGCATGGGACTCGAGTATCTGTCTTTGTTTTATTCGAGGCATGTTTTTTATTCTTCTCGACAGGTTATCTATAGAAGGAGAGGAACGGAGAGGGTGGGACGTTTTTGAGACTTGAGGCACGGGACGAGGGCACTTTGGGAGGAGTTCCCTCGGGTTGCTGTCGTCAAGTTTCGGAAAGCGAGTAGCACAGCACAGACAGGCAGACAGCTGGGCGCGGCTGCGGCGACTTGAAGGGATGAAGAGAAGTAAGAGAGAGATAAAGATGTAGACATGCGACTCTGAGCAATGTGACAGGTTACAGCTTAAATTGGGTGTGAATGCCTTCCTGCAAATCGTGAATGACGATGCGCCTCCAGCACGCGATGAAAGGGAGCCAACGGCAATGCTGGCCCTGCGTGGCTTCGTTGAAGCTCAAGACGGCTGTAAAAGGCTGAGCTCGTCCGTGGCCTCGGAGGAAGGGGGGCGTGATTGCAAGCGTTGAGGTTCAACGAGGAGAGGAAAGGGTGTGTGGGGGGGACCGGGCGGTCGAATATGCCCGTCTGACAGCCAGGGTGGGCTTGTCGCTGGGGCTGGCTTGCATTCATGCTAGGAGAATTAGGTGCCGAAGCTGTCTATTACGAGCATCATTTGCGCCTTGCAGACAGGTCGTGGTGAAGAGCAGCAGGCAGACCCTTGGACGTGGTGAGTGGAGGCAAGCTTTCTCGTGCTTTTGCTTTTTGACTTTGTCTTTCCTGGAGAGGGGGGGGGGGACGGGGCTTGGCAATCGAATGAGGCCATCACCAGATCACGTAGCTCGAAGTGCGGAAATCGCGGAACGCCCCAGGCGAACGGGGATCGTCTCAGGAGGTTTTACGTACCGAAAAGTCACAGTATAAAGGCGCCCATGCTGATCGGTCACCGTTTTCGAAGGGATGGATGCATGGGGGG